TCCCCTCCAAAAAGATACCACTTTCCTGTAAGAAAGGATTTTTTTGTCCTGTCTCTCTTAATTAACTCTTAATTTAAATACGTAACTTTCCTTTATTTAAAAGTATTAAATTTATTTATAGCTGTATGCTTGTACCTCAAAAATATTAAAAAAGGAAATTTATTTGAAGATACAACATGTGTTATTCGCAAATTTTTTTTTTTTTTGAATGATCACAATCCAGCTTTAATTTGGCCGCCCATTTTAAATAGAACTAAATAAATTGATAAATTAAGAAATGGTTTTCTTTCTTTAATAGTAACTCGTTTGTTTGACGATATTTTTCAAATGAGGTGTTTGATTCGACACTATCACAATTACCAAGCCGATCGATAACTCTATGTTGTATTTTCCATATATTTAAATATGACACTTCTATACTGTTACTTAAATTATTTTTTTCTCGTTATTATAGAAATTTGGTCTTTATTTTTGCGCTTATTGCAATTTCGGCTATGATCTATATCACATACCATGATTTGACAATGCATTGTAATATTAGATAGATTAATTTAAATACCAAACTTTTTTCATTTAATATTTTTCAGCTTTTTATTTATTTATTAATTTATTCTTAATATCAATGTTATCGCTTTACTAACTCTGCGTTTGTAAGATCGTGCGTCGTAAATATTGTAAATTGAATTTATTTTAATATAATGAGCAAATTTTTATTTTGATTCTTCTTAAAACTTAAAATGTTAATTTAAATACAATAAAAAGTGCTGCGGTCGCAAATGAATCTTTTTTAATAACTTATTTATTTACTTTATAATAATTTGTAATTGCTTTAATTGTTTTATTTTATTTCTCTTAATCACAGGGTCCGTACGCGCCAGACTTGATAAGTCATGGAATTGTCATAGAAAAACGTAATTTTACTTGTAACGTACTTGTACGTTTTTGATAACGTAATTTGCGACATTTCCCCTTTCGAAATTGAAATTTAAGAAGGAAAAAAAAGTTTTTTTCCACACCGATCTTTATTAGGTGCATCCATACCCAGATAAAAAAAATCTGAATTGGCAAAATCAGTGGTAAGTCTCCACTCAGGGGGCGTCGCCTTTAGGCAGGGCATAATTAGTACAGTGACAGTGATTTATAATAGAGAATCACTTAGGCTGTTCCATGGTCATTCAATGGTTAAGAAAATTGAACAGTGCGAGCGTTAGTTTCTTACACTTCAGATAAGTTATATACATTTCTTTTTTTTTTTTTAAATATAGTATTACTTTTTGTGCTGATTTAGTATTTATCATGAAAGCAATTTTCTTTTTTTTAGTTATTTATTATTAATTTCGTTTCTTTAACATCTTAATTTATACTTCTTTTTTTATCTATTTATCCATCTTATTTATAATAATTTTTTTTTTTTAAGAGAAAATCTTGACTAAGTGCATTTTTATTATTTTTTTTTCGGGTTTTTTTTCCTTCTCTTCTTGCAAAAGTTCATGAATTGATGAAGTACGATTTTACTTCGCTTCAATGCAGATTATTGGGTAGTATTTTTATTAAATTTTTTTAGAATGACTTAGTTTTTGAGAAGTTTTTTTATTTATTAGTTTGTTTATTTTTTATTAATAATTTCTCCGTTTATTTTTCGTTGTCTTGCAGCTTTGTTTCATATTTTAGGATAATTTATTTTATTTTTTAGCAGACAAAAATATGCGATTTTATCCTTTATTTTTTTTTTGCTTGTACTTTGATTTGTTAGTTTCTTTTTAGGGTGATTTGATATTAAAAATATGCCTTTTTTAATGTTTTTTTTTTCTTTTTTGCATAATTTATTTTTATTGTAACACTTTATTGCAATCTTATTTTCCTATAATTAACATTTTAATTGATGCTCATGTATTGGATATTTTAACTGTTTATTGCGTTTTTGTGTTAAAAAACAACGGTAGCGTTTCTAGCTTTCGGTAGCGCTTTTGTGTTCAAAAATGTTCTTACATTAATTTGGATTTAATTTTGATTTCACACAGATTTATTTGTATAAATTTTTTAAACAACTTCGTAACTATAAAAAAGTTTATTTTCTATTATTTTTTTATTGTTGCTCTGTAAATTCCTTTAGTCTTATTTACCCTTTCCTTGCAATTAATTATCATAGGGGTGCATAACCTGCGGCCCGCCTACTACTGAAGTGCGGCCCGCGAGAGCTACTGATCACAATAAAAAATTTTAATCGCACTTTTGAGTCATCGCGTTTTGACACGTTCAATTTTAATAGATTCAATAGTAAACGTATGTTTAACGCGCTTTCTTTAATTCGAATTCATCGTAAATATAAATTATTTTGTTAAACACTTATTTCCACTTTGTAACGTGATTTCGAAAATCCTGAATTTTTTATTAATTTCAATAAACACTTTTTGGTGCAATTTATTTGTGACAATTTAATCTTAAATCTAAGTAATTTTTTTCCTTCTTTTTTTTGCTTTTCTTTCTTCTTTTAAGCTATTTTTTTTTTGGGAGTTATTGCTATGCATTCCCACGTACTATAAAAAATTCCTATAATTTCATTACGACATGCGAATTTTAAATCTCACATTCGACAAACTTTATTCTTGCTGAGTTAAGCATAAATTTAAGTAATTATTATTACTTTTTTTTTTGAATTGCCATACTTTTCCACGTGATTTTGTAACTACGATGTTATTACAACACGCAAAAAGGAATTTTTTTCTTCATTTTTTTTTTAAAGAAAAGTTTATTAATAACGTTCATTGAAAAAAATGCTGTGTCATAATAAAAATGCCTATAAAAAGAAAAGTTAATGAAAAAGAAAAACAGAAAAAACAAATTGTTCTTGGTTCCTAAAACAAACTTTTAACACTGAAAATCAGTTTTCTATATTTCCAGTTATTTATATAACAGTACAGGGAAAGAGTGATAATAAATTAATAGTATGAGACGTTCTGTTAAAATGCTGCGTTATAATAAAAGCAGCAGAAAAAGTCAAGAAAAAAGAACTAAGTCAACAGAAATGCTCTGAAGCAGAATAGAAAAAAGCAAAAATGAAAAAAAAAAAAAAAAAAATCGTTCTCAATTCTCAGAATTAGAAGTATCGAAAAAATAACGAAATAGATTTGTCTGATTAAAAAAAAAAATTTTTTTTTTTTAAAAAAAAGCAGTAATTCAAAAACTTGTGGTTCAGAATAAAGTAATCTAGTTTTCCAACTTTCTTTTTTCCCTTAGTCTTCTAGAAGATAAATTTGCAAGCCATGTGCAGAAACATGGATTTTAAAATTTTTGAAATTTATGTTAAAACTATTTCTTATAATAAACAATACTATAATATAGTCAAAATACAATTTTATATTTTTTATCATATCTATACAAATTCAAAAGAAGAAAAAAAAAACTCAGAAAAATATATTTTTAAAGAAATATTCTGAGGAATATTTGACTGCTCATTTAACCAACTGAATTTTTGACTAAAGTGCCAAATGCTCATTAAATCCTTAATTTAAATGCAATATGATAGCAACCTGAGAAATTCATAAGTGGTGGAAAACGTGAATTTTTAAACTGCTCACTGTTTGTTGCTTAAGTAATCATTTTCGATAAAAAAAAAAAAAAAAAAAGATAACGTTTACTATATAAAAAAATCTAAGAATTAATAAAATGAAATAATAAAGTACATTACCAAATAAGTATTGAATTTTATTTTGAACTATAAGTTTTGTTTTTATTTTAGGTTTTTGTTGAAAACTTATAAGTTTTCTTCAATTAAAATATTTAATTTGAATTTATATTACTTAATTCAACACAAATTTTTTTCTTACTTTCATTCTGCGAGCATTGAAGTTTTTTTTTTATTAGAATTTATCTTTAAAATGAATTTTTGTATTGCATGATTTGATAAAAATGGCATTTTTTAAAAGTTTTAGTTTTTTTTATTTTCAAATGAATTCTAATAATTGAACGACTTTAATTTTCAACAAATATATTATTAGGTTTATTGATAAAAAAAAACTAGAACACTAATGTTAAAAGAAATATTACTACATTTGCCATTAACGTGTAAGTTTGATATTATTGCTGCGACTGAATTCAAGTATAAAGTTTCCAGTATTTTTTATTTAAAATGACTGGAAGTATGAATTTTATTTTGCAATTTTTTTTGTAAATATTGTTTTTTATGTATATACTTCAGAACTTCGTTTTCAACAATTAAGCTTAAAAACGCAGTTTATTTTATTTTTTTATAAGGGAGAGCCAGATACATAATAAGTTTATTTTCAAGATTAATATTCATATTTTATCTAAAAATAGTTATTCTAATCATCAACTCGAGAAAGAAAAACATATCTGAAAAATTTCAGTTGTTTCCCCAGGTCTTTCAAAGGTATGTGTAAAATTTTAAATATATTTTTAGTGAACTAAGAAATATTGAGATAAAGTAAAAAAAACCTCGTTTGAATTTTTTTTTAAATTTTTCAATTCAAACTGTAGCCTTTTTTCCTTGGAAAATTGTAGTTGCACATTTGATAATTATAATTGTGATTAGTGATAAAAGTAAACTTATATATAATTATTCATTTTAACTATGCAAAGAAGGGTAAGATATTTGCCCTTTTTATAAAATACAATGTCCTTTTTTAAACTTGCTGCCCTTTTTATTAAAAGTATAGTGCCCTTTTCAATTTTTAGCACCCTGCCCTTTTTTTAGTCTAGAATGAACCCTGCGATCATATTAAAGAATATAAAATAGACTATATTATTTTATAAATATTACATTGAATCGAGAGAGTTTAAAGTTTTCAAGTTGTTGAAAGTTTCCCTAACTTCGATCAAATATCTTTGCTCTATACTAATAAACACTAAATATACCAACTTTAGGGGGAGAGATTTTGACACTGAATGTTTGTATCAATGGGAGAGTTTAATATCCTTTAATATATTTATTAATATAGATTCTCAGAAATTGTATGAAATTTTTAATTTGTTTCTTAAAGGCTCCATCAAGTTCAATGCATCCTAAACTAAACCCAGTACCAGCAAATGCTCTAAGACAAAAACTGGCTGACTGTGCTAAGCGATCTGAAGCTGTAGACAAACTACTTGGAAAGAAAATTTTTAAAAATGAACAAATTCTTAAAACTGACAATCCTACAAATACAGATGACAGCAATGTCTGTGACAGTGATAAAACTTTGCCATTAGCCTCAACAAAAGCAAGCAATGAGAATGATCCCGACAAAACTTTGCTTCTAACCTTAACCGGTAAAAATGCAGCCAATAGTGATGAACAAAGTGTTAAAAATATTCCTACAACAAGTTCCTGCTCTAAAGATGAGGTAATTTTAGTTTTTTCTTTAAACTTAATTTTTCAAACATTTTATTTTAAATTTACTTTATTTTTTAATGTTAATTATCTCATAATTTAAAAATGAAAATTTATCTTAATTCATTAATTTATAACTAAATTTAGAAATCACAAGCTCTTGTAGTATGTTTCTTGTTGTCATAAGGAAAGGAACATTAAAATTTGTGCTGAATTAAAAATTGTAAGTTTTATGGAAAAAAATTTGAATGCTAACTGATTTGATTTAAAACAAACAAATCTTTATTAAATTCTAAAGTTTATTTTATTTTGATCCCCTTGTTTCCATACAGATGATTTAGTAATACAATTTTTACATGAAATTTTTAATAACAAATTTCTTAGTTCAGTGTTTGATTTGTGTAAGTTTTTCATAAACTTTTCAAAGAACTTAAGACATGTGGCAAAAAATAGCTTTCTAATTCCTATTTGTAACTATTATCAACATAGTTTTTTAATATTTATATAAATTGTTACATTTATTTTAGATTTAAATTACAGTTGAATTTTTTGAATTATATTTGACAGTATTAATGTTTAATACTGAGGTTATTTTTAGTTTTGTTTTATTGCTTATATTTTTCTCTAATAAGAATATCATATTTTTTATCTCTTATCTTATTCAAATGAATAATTGTGATAATTTTTCCAAGGTAGCCACTGGTGACTAATAAAACTATTAAAACAACTAATTTGATAGAATGGCAACTATTTTTGCCAAAATCTAGACAAAAACTATTTTTAAAAAAAATTTAAAATTTGCTTTCAGAATTTGATTGTTTTTTATCATTTAGAGAGCTTTAAAATAAAATTCCTGCCTTTTTTTTTCTCATTGCTGCTCTACGACAACAATCATCCTATTTTTTTCTTCTGCAAATTGATTTAATAATCGTCTGCTTCATAAAGCTACTGTCCAATGTATGCAATTTTGTAAGCTTTGATAGAAACTGATTGAGCTTTCAAACATGTCCTATGGCATAAATATAAAGTGGGTCTCTGTAGAGAAGTAGAAGCTCATTGATTACTAATTAAGACTTCGTTAATATCCATCTTACATGATTGTCCCTTTTTCAGAGTGTACTTTTTTATGATTTAAGGCTTTCAAAACAAGATAGTTTTCTTTGTTTCATTTTATATATGAAGGGGGAAAAAACAATTCTTAAAAGCTCGCTCTTTTCTTTTTTAAAAAAAACTGACATTATTAGGAAAAATGTGTAATCTTTACTTGTTTTTTGTTTTTATATTACAATTTCAACAATATAGCACTCAATATCAGCAATTGTTTGCTGATTTGCTTTTTAGTTTACATTTGCAAATAAATATTATTTATATAAATATACCTCTGATATTTCTTAATGTATCAAAAGAATTCTTAATATAAAATGGTTTCACGAATTTTCTGACACTGAATTATTCAAAATCAGCAGCAGAAAATTAAAAATTAGAGAGCGCAAATGGTTATAGATTGCACACACTATCAGGAAAATTCAAAAGTTAAACAGGTGCTGGATTGGACACCCCAAGGTAAATGATAGAAGGGTGGATCTAAAATGGCCTTGTGCAAAACTATTATACTCTTCTTTACCTCTATTATCAAAATCAGGCTTTAATTCAAATATTGAAGGAATTTAAAAGTATGGGGATGTGTCTTGGGCAGTTGATATTCTCGGTATCAACTTCCAGAATATCTTCAGTCAATTTTGTTCTTGTTTTTCCCCATCTTGTTTTAACCTAGAATGCCTAATGCATTTTAGTAGACCCTGTGCAACGTTGTAGAATACACTTTCGAAGTTTCTGGAACATTTCTTTCGAAGCATCTCGTAGATCATTAGATTCAAGAAAGATAAATGATTTTCAAGCCAGTTTATTGTAACATTCCATAAATGATAGGTTCTTTAAATGATTCTAACATTCAAATATTAAAGTGTGGTAAAAAAAAATTCCACTCACAAACTTTAAAATTTAAGCTCCCATACTTGACCCAAAAAGCAGGGTAACATCTATAACAGATGCTATAAAACCAGGTTTACATTGTAAGTGGTTTTTATTAATGCTAGATTATTATTTTTTTTCATGATCCCAAAAAGAATACCATCTTGAAATTTGGCACAAACAATGCTAAAGAAAAAGTTTAAATTTTTTTAATAAATTTTAATTTGATGTATTTATTATCGAAATATTTTTTAAATGATTTAACTATGCTATGTATTTTATAAAATTTCATTAAAAACTGAACAAAATTTAGCTCTCTAGGTTAAATAGTTCTCAAGTTAGTTTTTTAAGTATTAAAAAAATTTGTGAATATTATAAACCTATAACTCAGAATTTATTGGAAACTATAAAAATATAAAACTTACTATTTTTAACGTAAGAAGTAGATGTAACAAATTTATTTAAAATCATAGAAATCTAAATCATTGGCCTAAAAAAAAAAATTTTTTTTTTTTATAGGTTATGGTTGATTTAATATGGAATTATGGTTGATTTAATATGGAATTGCCTTATGAATAAAGTTTTATTTTTTAATCAAAATCTTTAACTAATTTTTAATCTAATGCTTGAATGCTATTTACATATTTTTTTTCTTCTTTCTTTTCCAGGATGTATTTAAAAAACCAGACGTACCAGTTCCAACCAAAAAAACTGCTCATAAGTCATCTGTTCCTAGTAGCTCTGAATCTAAAAATGGGTAAAAAAATTTAATCCAGCCTTATTGTGTGGCACACCATACGATTCTTTGGACTTGCTATTAAACACAGGGTTGCAAAAAACCCACCTGCCCAATAAAACCCGCCTGGGTTTTACTGGGTAAAACCCACTCTGAAATACCCAGTAAAACCCACCCTAAAGTGGGTTTTTCTAAGATTGATTTTTTTTTTATCCTCTGTTATATTAAAGAGCTGTTCTATTGAAATATTTATGTAGTCTAGCCTAAAAAAAAAATTAACCTATAGTGACAGGGTGCGTAGCGTTTGTAAAAAGTACTTAAAGGTGCTTTTTGGGGTATTTCGTTTTTAAAAGCTTTTAAAGGTGTTTTTTTCAGCTGGCGTTTTTAAAAAGTGCTATTTATCCGAATAATTTTTCCCCCTTCAGTGATATCTGGTGGATCCCATGCATTTAATGAAAAATGGGGAGTTTGCTATGTAATCATTCACGCGTACTTCATGTCGTACCCACGTTATGACTTGCGCATGCGCGCACACTAGTAACTGAAACCCAAGTGCTCCAATTCGGATAGAGAATATCTGATCCTTATGAAATGTTTATCTTTTTAATTTATTTTAATTTTATTCTTGTTTATTTTATTTTACTTCTAACACTTTTTTTTTTGACGTATGGGGTAAGGGTACTTTTGTTCTGAGTTCAGGGTGAAGTTGAATTCACTCGGTGATGTGGGAAAGTACTGATTGTTTCGATTTACGCTCGTATCTTTTTGGGTTTTTTCAACGCTAAAACTGTTTATAAAAAGTTTTTGTTTTTCAATAATATCATTGATTGAATATGGATTTTTTGAGTGCTTGAAAATTTTTGTAAAATGCTTGAAAAGTTTTTAAAAAGTGCTTATTTTTGATTCAAAGATTTGGCTACGCACCCTGAGTGAAAAAACTAATTGTGTTGGAGACTGGAGAGTCACCTTGCTGACTAGATTTGACTGTATAGTCATTGATTATTCAGTGCCATTTATTCGCTTTCTATGCAAATAAAGAATATTCCTCAAATATTTTTTAAGATTAAAATATAAATAAAAAGTAATCCTGTGTTAAAATAAGTTTCAAATGTGTGATGTATGTGAGTACATATATCATTTGGTATCGTGATGTCAGAAGAAACTTTTTTCAGGCTTTCACATCAATTTATTTGTATTAATTATCTATATGAAGTCAATTTATATAATTAAACTTAATTATTAATATTAAAATAAGCTTTTTTTAAAATTGGGTACTTATCCCTGCCCTCTCTTTTGAAAAAGCCCCCATGAAAACATGAAAAGCCCACCCGGGTTGGGTTTTCTACAAAAACCCGGGTTTTTTGCAAACCTAAATAAACAGCATATTCATTTCAATTTCAATCTGCATTTTTTCTTTTATTTCATTCAAGCTTGAATGATTGTATCAGCCTATTATATATTTTTTTTCTCCAGAAGCGAACACTTCCAGAACAAAAAAACATTTTTTCTCTGAGAAAACATTTTGTTCTTAAAAATTTCGTAATATAAAATAATTATTTTGAATAAGTAGAAGTATTTAAAGAGTAATGAAACAATTCAAAATGATTATAATGAAAGAAGGCTGATTTTATGATTGGTCAAGCCCAGTAAATAAATTAGTTGTACTATATCAAAGTGCTTTTCATTTTATTATAGTTTCACGAAAAGAAAAGCCATTGATTTAGAAACAATACAAATTAAAAAGAATTTATATAAAATTAGTAATGCTTCTACTATTAAAACTAATATCTGAAGAATGATTGCTTCCATGTCCAACCTGCTTTTTCTTTGAATTTGCTTTAAATCTAATCCTATTGTTTCATTTCTGTTTTGTTAAAAAAAATAATAATTCAATAAACTAGGAGGCTTCGCCCCCTGCTCGCTGGCGCTCACCAACCCCCGGAACTGCTTTCACAGTTCATTTCGGATTGCTTCGCAATCCAATGCTCGCTTTGCTCGCTCATTGGATACGTTCTTAACGTCTAGTTTTTGTATACTTTTTTTAATACTGAAGTTCCGAAAACTTTTCACTGTAGAAAATTCTAAACCTGTACATTTCAATATTAATTTGAAATTGTAAACTGTTCGCATATTTTTCTTAATCACACTATTCTAAATTTCAGTTGTTGAGAAAAGTAACTGTTGTAAGTTTTGTTTTAAAGTCTTTCCCACCAGAGGGCTAAAGCCATGTGTTGTAAAACAATATGAAATAGTAGTCTGCCACTGAACGCCGGATGTAAAGCATCGGTTTCGATGAAGATACTTTTGTATTTTTAATTCTCTGAAGGGCGCCATCCTAATAATATGGAATTTGTAAAATAAATGTATATATTTTTGATTGCTGATGAAGCCCATCATTTTGTGTTTTCATCAGTGTTCAGAAGCAGAACAACTATAAGTTTTTTATTTTATCCCAAAAAAATAAAAGGTATAAAAAACAAAGAAAAGAGTAAGAAAATGAGTATAGTCATAGAAAAAGTTAAAATTATAATATAGTATTTGTCAGTAAAAATAAAACTTTTTGCTTAAGTCATTATTAACAATTCAAATTTTTCTGAGGCAATTCTTAACCTCTAAATATTATTTTTTTTATGTACACATTTCTAAATGTCAGTATTCAACCACAAAACAACCTAAAGTCCTCAAATGTAGCATGAAGTTGTAAAATGTATTGAAAGAGCGTCATAGCATTAATTAAAGTAGAAGTAAAGTTAGTACTGTAAAATTAAAACAATATTTTAAATCAATGAGCCAAGTTCTTCAAGAAGCAGTTGTAGAAGTAGGTTGTATATTTAAAACTTTTTATAGAATTTCTTTAAGAACACAATTGTTAATTTGAGCATTTGGCGATACAACACTTTTAGAATTGAAGGATTTGTTACGTCAAGCACTCAGGTATCATAATTTTGATCTAGTTGCGCTTCTGTGTCATTTTGATTTATGTTGCTAAGTTAACTTTCAGGAAATTCTATGGCTGGCAACAGCATTTTTATTTTTTAAGTTGTTTATTTTTATTTCTTTTAGAATTCGTTATTTTTTTAGCGAAATGTTTTTTAACCTGACAGAATTCTTTGCCGACTGTTTTCTCTATGAATGAAGAAAATAAAGTAAATATTTAACTGTTGTGAAAAGAATGTTATTTAGTTGTACAAAGTACTGCAGTCAAAATTTGGGAGCCACGTAAGAGAATTATATATATTAGATCAGAAACACATAATTAAAAGGCAGAATGCTTTGGTGTTTTCAAAACAAAGCAAATGTTGCCACCGGTGGAAAAGAAATACAGCCAAAATTTGGGAGTAACGTAAGAGAATTATATATAATAGATATTTAAACCAGCTATAAGAGTCATCATTGCTCAGAGGATAAAGTGTTCTCCTGTCAATGAAATGAACTGGGTTCAAATCCCAGCGATGAGAGGTCAATATGAATTTCTCACCAACCGCAATGCTGAGTTAAAATATCGTCAGTGATAGATGGATCAGTTAGTCCTTTTGCTGTCCAGCTAACCATGGAAAGTTTTCATTGTTTTACTCTCCTTGTAATGCGGGTTAGTTTCCTCAAAAGGTTCTCCACAAGGCGAATTTCTCCCAATACTTGATCCAAAAGCTTCCTTGTCTTCTGGATTGGGTCTGCTGTTCAACGACTGCTAGAAAATTAAATATAACCCGCTATAAAACAAACATTTTTACAAAATCTCATTAAATTTGTCCGATATATGTATAAATTTTTTTTTTCTTTCATAAAAGTGGGAAAACTAAGCATAGTTTTTTAACTACTTTTGTAAAAGATTTTATAGGTTAGGTCCTTTGTTAAATAATCTCGAACTGCGATTTAAAATTAAAGTGTATTTAATTTGATATAAGTGGGAAAAGGTAAAAATTCTTGTTTAATTTTTTGTATTTGATACAATAAAGCAGGGTTGGGTTTTTGACGTCAAAAAGTGGTTTTTGACATGACAAGGGTATAATACTGGTTTAAACCGTCAAAAACCCGTCAAAAATGTCAAAAACTAAAGTTTGCCAAAAAAATATATAAACTTCAAAACTACCAACAGTTGCCATGCATTATATTGAAATTTAATTATACTATAGGTAATCAGCAGGTTTTAAAATATTTTTTAATTAAAATTAAGGTAAAATAACAGATTTAAAATCTCAGAAATTTATATTCAAATGCATGTGCAGAAAAATTTTGCACAAAATTTTTTTAAATATTTATATTTTGAAAAAAAAAATTTTTTTTTTTGATACTTAAGAAAATTAAAAGTTTATTACTATGCATTTTTGACATATAAGGAACATATAACTAATATTTATAAGGAACTTACAAGTTATGTTGTATAAATACAAACTTGATACAAGTGTATGAAAAAAAATTTTAATGTTATACCGAATATCTTTATTATCCAGTATGTTAATTTGAATTTAAAAGTAGTTATATTTGTGAATAATGATAAATATAATTCATATTGTTTATTATATTTATTTATAATTATTACACTTATCATTTTAAAACAATTTTTACCTCTTAATTTTTTTCCCCCACTTGTATTAAGAATACAAATAATGCATATCTTGAAAGCAAGAAGTAATTATTCAACAGCTGAATATTTAGATATTCAACAAAACTATGTATATAGTATTCAGCAAAATGAAATTCACAAGTATTTGGATAAACTAAATTTTCAGCATAGTAAATGAATAGGCTGAATATACTGTAAATCGACACTAACTACTCTGTGTATTTAACAGAAAGCACTTAAATTTGTATTGTCTTATGTTAAAAAGATTATTAAGAAGATTTAAAAGAATATTAAAAAGATTTTTCTTTAAAAGATGTCTAATGTACAAAACTGCTAATGTTTATCTTTAAAAATGTCTAATTTTTAGTATAATCTATACTATACACTAAATTTGGTTATAAATAAATTTCTTAATAATATCACTGCAGATTTTCAATAACACATGAAAATGAATACATAATATTACAAAAGATGTGAGCTTTCAAAAGTACAAGATTTTGGTTACTATTCAAAATATAAGTGTTTCTTCAAAATTTTAAATTTATTTTTTCTAGAACATATTTAGAAACACTATCCTTTATAAAAAATATATAAATTTTATGTATTAATTAAATTTCACATATGAATATAGGTTTTTGACATTTTCGACATTTTTGACAGTGAGGTTTTTGACGTGACGGTTTAAACCATGGTTTAAACTGTCAAAAACTGTCACATGTCAAAAACCTGCCAACCCTGCAATAAAGCTGTCAGTAGCATTGCTTTAAAAAGATGGTTCTTGCTTGTTACTCTCCCAAAAGTTTATGTCAATTTATTTTAATTGGAGATGATTCAATGCCTACAAAGATTTCAGGTGGTGACCCAAATTTACCTAATAACTGTAAATCCACTATCTAAGACATTTTTTTTAGCCTTCTGATAAAAGCCAAAATTGTTGAGAGAAATTGAAAATAGATATCTTAAGATTTTTTTATTTGTTACATTTAATAATTTTTAAATTTGAGCATCCCCTTAGAGATTTCCTAGATTAAAAACAAATCAGAAGGTTCTCATTCTGAAGAATATATTTGTATTTAAAAAAAGAAATTTTATTAATGCCTAATGACTAAAAATAGATATTTAGAATATCTGTATAAACTATCTTTCAAGCATTCTTAAAACTTAACAATCAGTAGCTAAACTCATCCCTACAAAATTTTATTATACACACAACAGATTTTTGTCATGTTGCTTATTTTGATTGCAGTAGAAAATTGTTTTTAAAAGAAATTTACTAGCCTTCTCTGGTCTAAAAACTTATCTATTGGGTTCCACTGTTTTTCGAATTGATAGGGGTGCACTGCATTAAATGCTTTTGCATTTTATCTACATTTTGGGTTGAGAAAAGGTAGATATATGAGCACTTATCCTTCTAAAGCAAACATTTTTTTAAAAAAAATATGTAAGTTTACTATGATCTAATGTCTATTCTAAAGAGAAACTTTTAAAATTAAAAGATAGCTTAAACAATTCAAATCCAAAGTCTGGTGCAAAAGCATATGTAAAAAATTGGGTTGTATGTACTAATTTCAAGTTGAGTTTTCGTAGCTGTAAGTCTGCTTACTTACTACTTGACTTTTTTATTTACCTTTAGAGCTTACAATTTAAAATGAACTTTTTTTTGTTCAATAAACTAAGCTTGCTGTTTCAATTTGCTTTAAAACAATTCGAATTATTTATATCCCTTAACTTTCTCCATGAAATTATGTTTGTCTCTAACACCTTTTTTTACTTTTAGTGTATTCTTTTCTCATTGTTTATTTTGCTTCCATTTAGGAATCAAAAATGGACTTTAGATGACTTTGATATAGGTCGCCCACTTGGAAAAGGAAAGTTTGGAAATGTATATTTAGCTCGAGAAAAGAGAACAAAATTTGTAGTAGCTTTGAAAGTAAGATTGTATTTCATTTATAATTTATTTATAACTCTTTTTATTGATGTAGTTAACATATTTTTGTAAAGTAACATTAAGTTTTAATTCGGCACATTTTAGGTTTTTCTTTGTAATGTATATTGTTTTCAAATTTTGCTCCAACATTAAATTTTGTTCGTAAATATTTAAGAATATAAAATTTTATTTATGAATTTGATAAATATTAATTAGAAACACAGTCACAATAATAATTTTGAGAACAAAAATTAGTAAGTTATAGATTTTTTTTCTGTACGTGTTCACTTATAAATTTGATAAATTAAATTAATAAAACATAGGAAGTTATTTAATCATGTGAACAACTAATAAAAACATGAAAGTTATTTAATAAAATTATCTTTACTAAATAATAAAAAACAATATTTTTTTACAAATGCTAATATTAAAAAAATTTCTTATTTTTTTGTCTCTACCTTATGTTTTTATTATTATTATGTATGTATTGTTAACTCTGTAATTTAATTATAGGTTTTATTTAAAGCACAATTGGAGAAAAATAAAGTTGGACACCAACTTAGAAGAGAAATAGAAATTCAGTCTCATCTAAGGTAAACAGTTTTGAGTTTTTATTGTTTTGAATTTTTTAGTGCAAGGTATGTTAATCATGAAATCCTTTAATTTAGAGGTAGTCATGTTATAAGAAAACAGAAAAGTATCAATAATTAAAATTTTAGGGTATGCCACCTTTTTATTATAAAATTTTCAGCTATTAGTATTTGTATAACACACCTAAATATTAATTTTGACGTTTCAAAATTATGAATAATTAGTAACATTATTTTTTACATTGTTGTAATTCCACCTCTATAAATTTATTTTAATAAAAAAAACTGAAGTTTTGTTGATGTACATATCTAGAATATGTTCTAAAAAATTAATGATAAAATTAAGTTATTATGTCACTATTCAGTTTCATTTTTGATGAAATATGATTTCCTCATCATATAGTGCATTATATTGTTTTTTAAGTTATATCTACAATAGTTTGTACATATACAAAATAATTGGTAAATTCATATCAAACTTGGAATTTAGTGAAGTTGAAATTGTAACATTAAAATACAAAAGTTGTTCTTATTATTATCTAAATGCTTTAAACTTAAAATCTTAATCTGTATAAAATACTATAAATTTCTCCTTTTCTTTCTTTTTTTTTTTAAGAGGAAAATTTATTTGAAGAAATATATCTATTTTTAATGTGTTTGCTAATTAGGATGCATCTTTAATTTTTTTCCCTATATTTTAAAAAAAGTTTTAAGAAACATTTGCTTTCTTTAAATAGGCGGAAATATTTATAATGTAACAAATGAAGGTATAACCTTGAATATGCTAATTAAATAGTTCCAATTATATGCGTCCAATGATCACATTCAAGCTGTTAAAATATACTTCCACTGAATTAATATCTTCTTTTTTTATAAGTGAGTCACTGCAATCAGAAAAATATATTTCTAATAGTTTTATCAAGAGAACAGTCTAAACATTTGTCCCCATAAAATATTAATTTCACTTTTTGCATAATTCGCCTTATTTCTGGAACTATTTAAGAAAACAAAAAAAAAAATTTGCTCGTAATTATAAAACTTATTACATCAAAAAAAAATTCATAAATATTTATTTTTTTTTTTTTTTTACAGATTAAAAAGAGGTAATAAATATGTACCGACAACTCAAATATTAATTTACAAGGCTATTTTCTTACTTTGTATGAGTAACGATTTTTTATTGTAAGAATTTTTCTAATTTAATCTTTTATTGTTCACAAATGTAGATCGATTTTTCTGCTTTAATGAGCCAAGTTTGATACATTTATCAAAATTTCTTTATGTTGAAGAACAATTGTTTTTTGTCAATCATTTATATGATTTAAAAAGCGAAGTTTAGGATAATTGAATCGTTGTAATAACATCTCTTAATTACTTTGAAATGATGTTAAAAAATTTAATATATGTTTTGGGTTAATTGATGTAATATATTTTTTGTGTTAAAGATTGTGTATTTTTAATACAAATTTTATTTTCGAATGCTATTATTTAGGCATCCAAATATCTTGAGGCTGTATGGTTATTTCTATGATGATAGTAGAGTGTATCTAGTCTTGGAATATGCCCCTGGTGGTGAACTGTATAAAGTTTTACAAAAGTGTAAACGATTTGATGAAAAAACTGCCGCAACTGTAAGTAATTTCATGAACTATATATTAAAAATTATTGTTATTTTGTCTGTAAAAAGCTTTTGTAAATTAAGATGAATTTCCTTCTGTGTTCTGTCAAGATTCATGGAGAATTTGCAAAATCATTTTAATGTTTATTGACTAAAACAGATCAATTATACATTGTTTGTACACACCATCAAAAAATATTGAAAATAAATTGTTTCGATTGTGTTTTAAATGTTGACAGCCTTGAAAATTTTTCACTATTTGTCTTACTATATTATATAAATTAGTAATACAAAACAATTTTTATTCAATAATATAGGTTAAAACTTGTGATTTATTTATATACTTTCTCAATTTTAACGTTTTGCTTACAGCACTTTGCATGGTACAACTGGCCCATCATTCTGGTTTCAGTTGTACTATTTTGTAAATAAATAAAGCAGGGTAAAAAAATTTATAATAATATTTTGTATGGTAATAAAACCGGGTTCACACCCATCAAGAATGCATTGAGTCAGTGAGAAACGTAAAATTCATGCAAAAAAACACTACTTCACGCTTTTGTTTGGTGTTGCACAAAAGAATATAAAATTAATTGCCAATCACCTTGTAGATTATTTAGTTTCTTTTATGCTTTGAATGAGTTATTAAGGAATTTAAATAAAGTTAAGAATTTAGTGGACCTTCACTTATCTAATATTTTAAACGCATAAGGTACCTATTTTTTTATGGGTAAATTTATCATTTTGAAAATTATAAATTTATTTCTTTTATTGTATTTAAATTAAAATATTAAAAATTCATTGAGGTGAATTAAAAGTACTCTTAAACAAAAATGTTTAATTATTCATAAATTTTGCTTTTTTCTAAAACTTTTTTTTTAATTAATTGATTAAAGAAATATTAAACCCAATTACTAATTCCTGTTTCCTATATTTCTAATAACAAATCAATATTTATTTCCTGCCAGTATCTGTCTAAGATTGCTAGTGCCTTGAAATACTGCCACTCAAAAAAGATTATTCACCGTGATATCAAGCCGGAAAACCTACTATTGGGTTTGAATGGTGAAATGAAAATTGCTGATTTTGGATGGTCTGTTCACGCCCCATCTTCTAGGCGCACAACTGTCTGTGGTACCTTGGACTACCTTGCTCCAGAAATGCTTGAGAATAAAAAGTATGATGAAAAGGTTGATTTATGGTGTCTTGGAATTTTGTGCTATGAGTTCTTAGTAGGAAAACCACCATTTGAAGCTGAATGCATGGTTACTACACAGTCACTCATCTGCCGTGCAGCAATTAAGTTTCCCCCATCTGTATCCAGTGGAGCCCAGGATTTCATTTGCAAGGTAATCAACATTTTCGATTTTCAAAAATAGTTTGTATTTTAATAAATATTTGGGATTGGATAGAAATATTTAACTATGTTTATGAAAAACAATTGTTATAGGAAAATCTAAATGAATGTTTAATTTTTTAAAAACTTTGCTACTGTTAATGTATTTTATTACATCTCCAAACAAGGTTCTTGTTATCATATTTACCATAATGACCCAAGATGGACCTAGACCAAGATTCCTCTGTGACAGTCTTTCTAGACCCTGTCTGTCTATTTCTTTTTCCAATCACTATAAATCTGATTCAGCAAAATCCAACTAGTAAAAGGCTTTGCAACAAAATTCTTTTCACTGGATTTTCTTTCATGCATTCCAGAAATTTGAGAAGTCCAATTCTTTCTTTTAATTATATGAAAGCTGCAATTTTGTATTCTCCATTTTTAGTTAAGGACCAGATTTCTCCGCCATATATTAGAATTTTTTTTGCAGATAAAATATAATTTTGGAAAGAAAATTACACTTTAATAAAAATTAAAGTTCAAACAATCGTTTTGTTGGCCAGTGAGATAAAATTCTTAATTTCAGAAGTAATGCTGTACTTTATTCAAGGTATCAAAACCAGTTATAGTTTCAAACTCTTAATGGCCATTTATTAAATGCTTGAGTGTACACCAGATGGTGTTATTGGTGCATATCACATACAGTTTGCAGCTACTATTAAAGAGGGAAGTGTATCTTGGTTCCTGTTGTTATAGAAATTGAAACCTATTTTGTTTTGTTTCCTTTTTTTCTAAAATAGTTATGAAAATACTAGATTCTTGATAAATAATATTTTTAAAAATTTTATAGTGGTAGAATACAAAAAAAAAGAAAGAAAGAAAATGAAACTATAATATGAAATTTCTGGTAAATTAAGAGCTAATAGCAAATATTTACTGCAAATATATACTGCAATTTTTAGCATTTTTATATTATATATCTTTATCCCTTATTTTGTATTCAATCAAAAATGCTTTTTTTTCTCTCTCCTTTTATTGAGTTTCTTGGCAACTTTCATTAAAGTGTAACATTAGAAAATATAACATAGTTTTCTAAATAAACTGTTCATTCCATATTAACTTGTTCTCATTGTATTTAGCTTTTACGAAAAAACCCATGTGAACGAATGAATGTTGATCAGGTTTTAGCTCATCCATGGTTGCTAGAAAATAAACTAGAAAAATTGCCAAATGTTTAGTAAGTAATACTTATGTTCAATTTATTGTATTTTGACTGATATTAATTAGAAGTATCCAATATTCGATTCTTAAAAAAAATTAATTCTTAAGCATCTATATGTGTATATAATTGTGTTTATTTCATAAAAACAATTTTTCGAAAATAATATCCTGTATTTCCTATTATTTTAAATTTTCATTGTAAGAGTTTTTGAGTTTTCATAGGTTATTATGAACAATTCATAACAGATTAATAAGAAACTACCCATTCTGTATTTTTGTTTCACAATTTGATATAAATAACTACGTAAAAAAAATGGAATTTTTCAACGTGTGAATACTTATTATTTTTATTTAATTATAATAAATTTCACCTACTGTTTAAATTTTGTATTCTTAGAGAAGTCTGATGAGGAAGTTCCCATTTATTGTACAATATATTTTAGGCCTCAGTAGTGTGAAGTTCAAATTGTCCTAATATTAATCTGAGGCAAACTATTAAAACTACTAAGGTTAATTTTTCAACATTTCACAAATATATGGTTGTATTCTGTTTTATCTCCAATTTGTAAAAGTGTATTTTTATTTCTTTATCTGCTAATGAAGAATATTGCCTTAATTTATTTATTAGTCATGTATGAACATTTGTTTCTATAAAATTAAAATATGTGTTTGAAAGATAAATAGAATATTTATTTTTACAGGAAATGATGACCTGATTCAAGTGTCTGGAATATTGAAAGATTTTCATATGAGAAATCTGTTGCTATTTAGAATATTGATCAGGGATTTTTACGCTGAAACGTGCATAGCTTGCCATAAAATTATAAAATTTTAATTTTTGTGACTAAATCAACAATTTTAATGTATTGATTATTTATATATATAAATTGATATTTTAAGAGCAATGTTTGCTTGATATTCTGTTCAATGTATCAAAAGGGGTTTTGCATCATGCTTGTGTTTTAATATTTTTCATGTCCAATTGCGTAATTGTGTTTGTATATATAGAAAACTTTTTATGTGTATAATAAAATTTCAACAATCTGTAAGTATTTTGAAATTTGTTTTTCTTTTATACTAAACTGAAGTATTATAGAACTAAAAGTTAGGTGTTTGACTTTTTTGGAAATATTAACAAATTTGAATAATTGCACTAAGTTGATTTCAAAGTAAAGTTTAGTTTCATATAGATTAAGGGTCCCCAAAGTATTTTGTTCTGAATATATTCCAGCTTTTGCAGGCCTCTTGGAGATCATTCTAAAATCATATAAAAAAAAATTTAAATAGTTAATAAGACATGATTGTTTTTAAATTTTAATAATATAATGACTAATATTTTACTGATATATATTACATGATAATATTGCCTTTTTTTATTTTATAGTCCAACTTGAAAGTAGTTCTTTGTTATCTCTTTAATAGTAATATATGGAAGTAGTTAGTTTGATTTTTTGTTTTGTTTTTAGCGTCTATTTTTATATGAACTTTCTTTCCTAAATTATTGCATAATTTTTTGTTTTGGGAATTTAATATTTTGCAGAGATTTCAAAATATTAGGTATTTAAATAATTTTCCAGTTTGTTTCCTGTTTAATATTGCTATACATAATATAATTGAAAAATTGTGCAAGGCTGGGGGAAAATTAAGACATAAATTTTTTTCCAAAAATTATAACAGAATTACTCGTTCATTGAAATATAAACATGCTATTTATTATTACTAAGAAAAAAAACTGAACCAAAAATATTTTTTAACCCTTTTTTTTTTTCATTTAAAGATCTTCCTCATTCAGGGTGCGTAGTGTTTTTGAAAACTGCTTAACTTTCCCATTTCCAAAATAAGATTTTTTTTTTCTTTGCCATGTCAATTTTTCGCCACGAATTATACAAAAAGACATTTTTCTGTTCAACGTTTTCGCAATTCATTCAAATCTGTTTCGGCATACCGCACGTCCGTGGTGTATGAAAACGCCAAGTGTTTGATGAAATACTTGCGGGGATCCGCATATGCATATATAAAGCTGGATTCTAAAAAATACACTCGATTAACTTTTTAGTTAAATTAATTATGATTTTAAATTCATCTTTTACATAACTAAAGTGATTATAAATTTTAAAAATAGATTGAGACACTAAATGTTGACTGTTTAAATTTCTGTATTATTGCTTTTATGGTGGCTAATATAATCAAGAAAAGAGAAACTAGTTACTTTATCATGATTATGTAAAATCTTTGGAAATTGTTTGGCATTTGTTTATGTATTTGAAGAATAATAATAAGAAAAAAAATTTATTAGTGCACATATCCTAATTACAAGGTTGGGATTTGACACATCAAAAACTTGTTAAAAACTGGCAATAACCTGGGGCAAATTTATTAAACATTAAATCATGCACAAGTCTTGCAATATATACTATTTTAATTATGATTTATAAAAAGTATAGCAGAAATTATTTGGATTTTCTAAAAACATGGATATATTTCAAATAATAATTATGAGTTGTTAATTAATGATCAATCTAAATATTGATTTTAATTATTTTATGCCACGATTTAGGTGGATTTTTTAGTGTTAACCTGCATATTACTTATAATATACAGGTTAACAGAATGTGTCTAATCATGTGAAAGTTTTGAGGAAAATTCAGGCAGCCATAGGAACATTTACAAAATTTTTCCTTGTTAAAAAACATTAAATTTCTATTCATGTATTGATTAGTTTAAATTCCTTAAGTTTATGAGTGGGACTTATAATTTAATAAATTACTATTTCCATATATTTTAATTTCTAATAATTTTTAACATATACTTGTTCATTCAAGAATTGTGTAATATCAAATGAATTTCTTTTCTTATGTAAACTTAAATTTCCAAAAATATTTTTAAAAAGGTATTGTACTTAAAAGATAAACATTAAAATTTTGGGGAAAATTTCGATCAAAAAAAATTTTTTTTTGTTCTGAGAATTTTCTGCACTCTTACTTTTTTGATCATGAATATTTCCAATAAATCATGACTAAAATTTTTTTAAATCAATCAACTCAAGGGTTTAATTATGTAACTATCGATATTAAGTACAGTTATTAGAATAAATTTCTTAATTATATGTTATTTTTATTATGTTATAATTACTTAATATTTTCTACATCGAAATTAGGGTTTTTGACAGTAATTTTCAAAACAAAGAGGTTTATGTTAAAATAATGCAAGAGAATAATTGATGGAACACTTGTAATTTTACATGTATGTCAGTTAAAAAATACTTCTAATTTACAGGGATGATACAGAGATCAGAACAAATCCAAGGAGTCCAAAATTTTAAGGGCTTATCAAACATTTAAAAACTTTGTGTAAAATATACTAGACAGTTTTTTTTCATTAAAAAGCAGTTATTATAAAGAACTTGCAGAAATATATATTGTGCATATTTTTTTCTAGCCCTTTTGAAATAAATTATGACTTTGTCAAACTTCATCAAGAAAAATATATCACTTTTACACATATATAATCTTATATTTTTAAATTAGAATACATAAGAATATCTAAGGCATTTTATGCAAAAAAATAACCACAGTAAATTAGTAATAAGGTTGGTTGTAACATGTAAAATTAATTGCTGTTATTTTTTTCTTCTAACTCTTGCAATTCAATTTTTTTGTCTTAAACTATTTGATTTCGACAGCTAAGTCATCATTTAGTTTCCCTGTTTGGACAGCAAATTCATCAGTAAACTTAGTAAGTTCATCTATGCAACGCAATAATCTAAGAAGTTTCTAAGGACTAATTTGGAAATCTAAGTAGTTCCAAGTACTCCTTGGAGACTATTTTATTTCTACGGAGTCTGTACGCACCCTGTATTTATAATAGCCAATAATTATCCTTACACCAAAATTTTGGGTTTTCAACAATTGTCAAAAACTATATCAGTTTTTTTTTCCTAGCATGATGATAGAACCATCAATTGTCAAAAACTTGCAAACCCTGCCTAATAATATTTCTTTAAAGTGCTTAAAAATATTTTTTCAGTACTTATTTTTTGTTTAAAAACTTGGCTTCACACCCTGTCATTATTTTTAAGAAATTTAACTACAGATCCTCTTCAGCTTTTTAAAGCTAATAAACACTTTACTATGGATCATAGCATCACTGCCCACTTAAAAAGTCAAAAAATTACCCGTGTAAGAAAAAGCAAACAGTAAATAGAAATGTTTCTTCCCATTTTTGTTACAATACTGCTTTTACATTATTAAAAAATATAGCATACCAATTTATTGGAAACTTTATTTGAATCCAATTTTATGAAAATAACTTCTGTAAGATCTTCAAGTGTTTATATAAAGATCACTTGGTATTTTATATTAAATACTGTATAAATCCACTGCTGTTGATTATCATTTGTCAAATGACATTGGAGGGGGGTGAAGGTGATTTTTTTTTTTTTGTGGTGGATGAAGTGGGATCCATATGTGGGTCCATTGCTGTGAATCTGACACAAATGATGTTCTCAAATCTTTTAAATTTGTAGCTTTATGGTATGTTTTATAAGTTTTCATTGTGTTATGTTTTTTTGAAAAACTCTTGAATAAATTAACTTTTTTTTTTTTTAAATGACATTTTATGGAAAGGAAATGTGATTAGAGAAATCAAGGTTAATTAACATATTAAAAATATTTTTTTGAAAGGTAAATTGATATAGAGTTTTATTGTTACGGGTGTTTAAGTCAACCTGATTTTTGTCTAATTTTAGGGTTTAAAAGATCTAAGGCATATATATATATTTAATATAAATGTGAAAAATAAGTGTTTTTGTTTATAAATATAATCAGGTAGACCTGCTATCAATTGCCTGTGTTTTTTCGTAGAGCTATTTTCAATAAAAGATTTTAAAATCAAATTAGTTATATTTTAAAATTTAACAATAGTAAACTAAAGTCTATCAAATTTTAACAGCTTTGAATAATTTCACTAATATATTCAAATACTTTCAAGTTTTAGAACAATAAATGATACAAGACTCAATTTAACTTGCATTTTTTCCCAGTATTTAAGTTAAAGAATACATCTGTCTTTAAAGGTTAATTTAGGAAAGTGACAGAGGTAAATAATTTTCAAATTCACATATTTCTACATTAAAATCGTTAGTGGGTACTATAATTTATCTTTGTTAAAAATGTTTTTATTTCTTTTGATCAATTTTTTAATTTATGAATTTTAATTTGTACAAAATACTAAATTTAAAGTTTGCTACTGACCCTTTAAAAATTCTTAACACCTCTTATGCAGACATGAAAAGTTAAAAACATGGAAAATTTTTGTTAAGTTAAAATTAGAGAATAAGGTTAAAATAGTTGTAAAAATTGTAATGAAATTTAGTAAAATATAACTTAATTGCCTGTGATGAAATACTTAATGCAAGAGTTCATATTCTTTGTCCCGCTACGACATTAAAATGTCACTAATTAAAGTGATAACTATTTGTTAAAAATTTCCAAATACATTATATTTTTTATAAAATTTCAGCTAACTGCATTTTTGAAGAATAATATACACCATTGCTTTCATTTATATATATATCTACTTCATTAGTTGTGTTTTCTTGTTTTATTACTCAATATGACAAGAGCATTATAATTTCGTAACAGAAAAATAGGACATTGAATTAACTATTTGTTGATAGTGGCTAGTTAAAAAAAAAAAAAAAAACTATGGAATGAATAGAAAAATGATTTTATAACTTGATTAATTAGTACAACTTTGAGGACCATGACCTTATGCCATTTTAACAATATGTAAGTTTCACAAATTAAAGCTCAATTTTTGATTTATTAAATACAACATATTGCATTTTAATAATTACATTATTTTTTAAAACATTTTAATAGTCTTTTGTTTTTAGTGCAATTTTTGTGCATTGACATGCAGAGCAAATAATAGAAAATTCATACATTTACAATCAATGAATTTATTGTACTGCAATATTTTGCATGACTTACTTAGCAATTAAAAAAATAGGCAACAATCAACCAGGCAACTTTAACATCAAGAACAAAGTCTTCAGCTTTACACCAGTCACATAAATCCTAACTTTTTTTTTTGGTTTTTGTATTTTTAACTTTGAATAATGTTCTTTTATATGTTGCACTTCCTATTTAAAATTGTCCCAAACTAATGATGAACTAAAGTCTATCATGCAGATAAATTGGTCTCAAGAACAACTTTTGTTAGCAGTCCTCACACAGGCCTATAGACAAATATGCATACATGAATATTTGTTACAGATGAATTACAAAGCTACAGAAACACTATGAGCTAAAAACCTTAGAAAATTAACTTCTTGAAACTGGATTAGTGTTCACACTATAAATATCTGCAACATTATACGGATATATATAATAGCTAAATAAAAATACAAGTAAGCAAATTGAATCGTTTCGATTAAACTTAGATGATTTTTAATATCCTATAAACTAAAAAAGAAAACAAAATGAAGCTAATTAATTTAAGAAAGTATAATTCAAAAGACATGTATTTCTTCTTAATTTTATTAGTAAAAAAAAATTATAACTTTTATTGCACCTGAACTAAGGTTGAATCTTTTTAAGTAAAAAATAAATAAACTGAAAAAAATACTAACACAATTAATTTATTTTTGATCGAATTGAGAAAATTCTGTTTTAGAAGAAATTTTTTTTACTTATTTGGTTAATTTATATGAATATGAATTAGTTTGAATACAACCCATCACAAAAAAGAAATCAATTAAAAATAAATCATTTTTCACTACTTGAGTAAAATATTAAAATAAATGACAGTTTTAAATATAGAAAAATTACATTATAATTTTATGAAATAACAGTGCCCAGCAAAAATAAAACCAACACAATAAAATAATATTAAAATTTTTTTTAAAACGTTTGGCCTAATATACTATAAACCATTTTATTCTAGCCATGGTTTGCAGACATGTATGACTGGATTTTAAATGTTTTTGAAAATTTTACACATGTTACAATAAATGATGCATGATATTAAAGAAAAATAGGCAAAGTGTTTTTAAGCTACTAATGTTCTGCGTGAACTTTTAGTCACAAGCCTAACACCTAATTTTTAAATTAGGTTCATTCCATACATTTAGTAGTTTCACACTATCCAATGTTATACAAATGCCCTCAAGTTCTTGCAGTGTTTTCAGTATTGGTGGTTCATAAATAGTATTTGGGGGTAGTGATCGTCAATTGCAAGACACCGGTGACTAACCTTGATTTCTACATCGAGCTGAACTTGGTGACAGAAAAAAGTTCCATCCTTCTCATTTAAATTAATAAGCCTGATAAAAAAAAATATTCCATTTGTTATTTCTTACTAACTACACTTCAATTTCTTATTCCAATTTTAGCTTCTTTTTATTACATACAGTTTGATTTTGTTTGCCTCAGCAATCACTGACAGCGTGTAACTGAAAAATGCAAGAAATGAACTTTACAAAAAAGGGGGCACACATCAAACATTTGTAAGTGGGGATGGGAACTTCGTTATTAAATGTTTTTAAAAAAAATTAGCATTTATTGTAATATGTGTAATAGAAGTATTAACATTTAAAATTTAATCATTAAGACAAACTTATTTTCCAAAAATTATTTTTCCTAACTTACCTTAAAACACTTGATAAAACTGATACTAACAAACTTTTTATTGAATTTAAATACAAGTACTGGTAATTAACGCAATATTTCATATAATTCGATTCATAAGCTATTGTATCTATATAGTAAGAAAATATGCTCTCAAATAAACAATTTTAAAGTTAAAAAAAATTAATTTCAGTAAATAGATATGAATGTATCTTTTAAACCCTAATTCTGAATATAGACTAAATTTGAAATATATTTACATGTTTTTTCCCTTGGTCCAACTGTAAAACATATATTTTTTTTACCCTTATGTTACACATTGTTTACTTGATGGCTTTTGATTCTAGTGGAAAAACCTTCAAATACAAAGTGACAGTTATAGAGTACCTACTTAGTTTTAAGACTTCTGTTAAAACTGTTTAAAGTTTCTGCTATGAATAGCTTGTAAAACACAGCTTTTGATGCCAACAGTAAGCAATGACTTTTGAGACCTTACAATAAATAAGAATAAAAAAATATTCATATTTATTTTTGAAATCTGAATCCTCTGCTTAAAAATGTTTCCATGACTATTGCAATTGATAGGATATATTTGTTGCTTGGAAGCAGTGAGAAACAGGATTAATTTAAATATATAAAGCTTTTGAACAATGATTTTTTTTTTAATTAGAAAGAAATCAAAAAATCTGTTTTTTAAGCAAAATTTAATAAATGTTAACTTAAAAATGCTAAAAAAAATTTTTTTTGAATAACCATGCACGACTTTACTGCAAGCATTTAAATGGCAATTTAATTTTTTTTCTCCTTCCCCTTTCATTGTCAGTATGCGTCCTATACAATCTTTAAAATAAAAATATTCTGATGTTGAGAAAAAAAATTAGCTTTTTCTTATTAGACAATAAAATTTACATATATATGTATAGATCAGTAATTTCTATTTTACAAATAAAGCAAAAGCAATGAAAGAAACAATATATGAATTCACAATGCAAATGGCATATTAATGGCACAAAGATATGTGGTTCAAATATTTTATTCAAATTAAAAAATAAAGAGATAAATGTTTAAAAAATATTAATAAGTTACGCATAAACAGCCTTGTTTAAAATTAAAAAGCAAAAATGCATGTACATTTCACTTTTGCAAAAGATTGTATATTCATGAAAATTATAATATTCCCAACATTAATTCTAAAACTAAGCCACATATTCAGTGACTAAATCTCACTAGAAAATAATAAATCAAGTATAAACTGTTTTTTTTCTTATAATATCACAGAAATACTTGACCATGGGGAATGCAGTAACTGTAATAAAAGTGCACAATGTTCTTCTCTTTCTTTTATAAAAAGAAAAGATGATTGAAATTCATTTAAAAAATTATTTTAGAAATACTTAAAATGTTATTAGGATGTTCATGGCCCTGTAAGCCATACTAATAAACCGCCGAACTTTTATTTTTCAAATTAAATTATCTAAGAAATGTTAATGATGAATTAAGTATTAGCAAAGAAATGGTAAAAATGTCCCCTTTATGATCCAGAAAAAATATATATATATAATTACATAGTACAGTTTATTTTAACGATGCACTTACACAGCAGAATCTTTAAGGAAGACACATAACAATTTAAGCTTCATATATCATTTTTGCACAGTTTACATATCATTTTACAACATTCATATAAACTGTTTTTTTTTTTCATTCCAACATTGGTAAAAAAATTATTTCAGAAGGAAAAACAGGCAACTATAATCACCAACCAATAAGATAAAAGCACAAAATCACAGAAGATGAGACAAAAATTCAATGCGAGCATCCGATAATTCTACATACATACAATATATATATATATAATATACTAATGTGGTCAAGAAAGAAACGGGCCCAAGGATTAAAAAAAAAAAATTAATTACACTTCGCTATGTAACCTTTTAACTGAAGAAAAGTGCTTTCAAAGTTTTAGTTGTCTTTCCATTAAAAGAAACTGAAGTGACTGATTAAATATCAATCAGGTTGTGTGAATTCCAGTCTATTTATTTTGCTCAATAGGAATGTAAATAAACATTGAGCACCTTGAATGAATTTTTTTTTAAAGAGATTTAGCATGTCCTAACTTATTGCTATTTTCAAATACTTTCAGAAGGAGCAGGAGTTAAATATTCGTCAACCCGCTTGTGGTCCGAGAGAGCCTTCAAGGTTAATGTATCATGTGGGAGTTCCGATTTTCTACGGAGAAGAGTTTTTTCTTTTGGAAATGGTTTTTTTACCTATAAATGGAAGAAACATAAATAAGATAATTTTCTATTTAAAATTGCAAAAGTGCTTTTCATATGATAGCACAAAAATATATGCTCATAAAGAAATAAAGTCAAGCAAAAAATTGAGATAAAGTAGCAAAGGGGCTTTTACTTTAAGTTATTCATGCAAAAAAAAAAAACTAAACTAACAAGTACGAAATCTATAAAGCTAACCTAATCTACTTTACATTTTGCGTGATGGAAATAATTTTGCTCATAAAAATATTTATTTATTAAAAATAATCATTAAAATTTTTTAATCAAATTTAAAAGATAGAGGTGTTTATTGTGATACAGTATATGTAATTTTCAGCCTCATTCACTAACTACTGAGGTTTAGAATGAAATTTTTTAGACACTGCTACCAAAGTGGGAATAGTAATAAAGTTTCTCATCTCTTCACACAAAGTACAAAGAGACTGATTGAATCTCATTTTTTTAATAACATTTAAAAACAAGCATAAAAATTAATAGGGAGCTAATAATATTTTTAAATTTAAGTACAAATAATAAAATAAACACATAATTTAAAAAAGACAAATGAAGTGTTAACATAGCATTTCAATCTCTTATCACATTTCTTGGTAAATGCAGTCAAATTGCAGTAAAGATTTAAAAAAAAATTTCTTCCTTTTAAACCTTTTTTTTATAAAAATTATTAATTACTTTTTATTAATTTTTTTAAACTTTTCTTGTCTTTAATTTACTATCTTACATTCAGGATTCTATAACTTCCACAAAACTTCTGAATTTTATTGCTAAATATGTAGATATACAGAATTTTTGCAAGGAAAAAAAAATCCACAATTTTTTTTTTTTTTTTCAATGTCTTTTATTAGCAACAGAAATAGAAAATTATTAAGTGAGAATCAAATTTTATAGCTACTTTTTTTTATGCAAGCGTTTTAAAATCTTGATTGTTTAACTTTTTTAGTTTAGAGTGTTTATGTTTTGCTAATCATTAGTTATACAAGCATATTAACAGATGGCTAAAACGGCAAAACTTTAACAAATGCTTTATTTGTATCATTTTTAATCATTTATATTTTCTCCCAACATTTCTTTATGTTTTGCTCCTATTTCTAAAAAAAATTGTTTGAAAAGCAAATTATTTTATTTCATAAAATATTTTGTAATTTCTAAAAGGTTGGAATGTTTCAACCGTTATTTAGTTGATATAAAAATATAATGCAAAAAATTCAAGTTTTTATAAGCAACAGTTTAAGAAGAATGTTATGTATCAAGTGTTCACACAAACTTTGTAATACAAAAATTTTTAGAACCGCAAAGTATAAACCAATGCAACTTAAAATTAAGAAATGGAAATGGATTGGTCATGATCTTTGTAAATCTAAGAAGTTTAAAATAAAACAAAAAAGATGCATAAAAATAATTATGATCCATTTTCTCATCCTACCAAATATCTTCCAATCCATAATTCTAAATACTGAATTTATATTTACTATTATTTACAGCAGGTTTGAAAAAAAAATTAGAACATAATTCACAAAAAAATTAAGGAACATAATTTCAGAGTAAGTATTAAAAAGAAAGCATTTTTTCTTATTGATTTTAACATGCTTAAACAAAACAACACACATTTGAAAAGTTAAGGATGGGGGGGAAAAAAATTTCTTCTGAGCTTCATGAAGTACACACTAGTTAAATTTTCATAATTTTTTTTTAATGATTTTAGATATTAATTTTGCTTTTAATATTTAGCAAGAGTTATGGAAAGGTTTAATGAAATATCTAACTTGGAAATTAATAATATTAATAAAATTAGAGTAAAATTGAAATTATAAACTGTTTAATAATATAATTGCATTTTAAAAAGAGCAATTTTTCCACAAAAGAGCATTTTTTCTACTTGGGTTGGATGAAACTCGTCACCTCCTCAAATAATATGACAGAAAGCATCCACATTGTAAGTTTTTTAAAATTGGCTATCAATAGGTACTAAAAAGTAGGTAAGCTTGGTGCGTTCTCAGATGCGAGCTACATAAAAGTAGAGTAACTCCCACATAGTATAACAATGACTCAATAAAAATAACTTTGCATTGTTAACGTAAATAAAAAAAAAGCTTGTGTATACATACTATCAATCAAGCAAAATTATTAAAAAGGTTTTATTTGTTAGAAATATACAGTCAAACCCCGCTATAGTGAACACGGCTTATAGTGAACGAAATGCTCGGTCCTGTGCCTTGCTATACACGTATAATGTTATTTTTAGTGGATATAGTGAACCAAAAAAGTGAGGAAGTTGGATATAATGAACTTTTTTCTGTCTTCGACTGATTTCCCCCCCCCCCATTTTCTTTGTAATAATTTTGAAATTTGTACTTCAAAATAAATAAATATACCAATTTTTAAAACCATCTATAGTATATCATACTTTTATGTGCTCGAATGGCAGGTTAGACAGGTTTAAAAAGCAGAATAACAGAAATTCAAGAAAAATTATCTGAGAGTCGGGAAGTGTTTCCATATCTATTGTTGAGAATTGCTCATCAGCTAAAGATTACCAATTTTTATTTGTACGCAAGACGATGAGTGATGAAAAATAACACATTTTTTGCTACTACATAATATTTTTCAGTCATTTATATGAATATAATGTAATAAAAGGGAGGAGTTTGGGAACCATTACCAAACCTGCGTAATGGATATAGTGAACCGAAATTTCGGTCCCTTGAAGGTTCACTATAGCGGGGTTTGACTGTAGTAGCAAAGTTATACGATCTTGCATATGTTAATGCTTCATTTAAGTACAGATATATTGTTTTGTTTTTTTAATTACTGAATAAAATATACTCCTCATTTATTTTTAATGTTGCAGTCACATAAAGGAAAAGATACAGTAATGCAACTAGTGTGAAATAAAATACAGTCAAATTTGTCAGGAGAAAAAGAATATAGGTTGGGTATCACAGATGTAGTGTATGTGCTATTAAAATCCAAAGCCTATGAAAACATACATTTCGAACTCCATTGTCAGTCAGAACATTCTGTGCTAGGTAAATATATTTTGCAAAATCCTTATGCAATGAAACCAATATTTTCACAAATTCAAACATTGTGTATAAAAATGATCAGTGCATACAAAAGTTTAATGGGATTTCTAAACATTTATTTTTAAAACTTGGAAGATCTAGAGGATACAAGCTTTTAAACAACTAAGCATCTAACATAAGGGTTAACTAAAGCAACACCAAGATAAAAACTAATGGCAATATATTACTTGAATGTCACTTAAGCAATATTAGGTGAAATCAAAAGGTATACCTCTTAAGCCAAAACGATCAGATAGTTCGGTTGGCAGGTATGCAATAAAAGAATATTCACCTGAGCCACTAAATACAATTTTATAATTTGAAAATATACTAAAATAATATAAGTGCAATATACAAATAGTGTATTTTAATGGAAAGGTGCGTAACAAAAGTAAATAATTCCTTAGCATATATCAGAACTTTAACTGCTAAAAAAAATTATTTTTATTTAAAATTATAATTGATATAATAAATAAAAAATTGCGTTACAAAACATAAATTTTTATGCATTGACTATAGAATATATGCAGTGGGATTTAACTGATATGAACATGAAATGATTTTCAGCATATATACTAAATCGTTTTGACAACATCTTTAAAATTGTTTCAAAATATGACTATTCATTTCAAAAACTAAATGCTAAAAGCATAGTCCTTAAAAGAAAAACTTATCTGTCTCCAATTTTTAATTCCTTTCACATGATACTGGACTTACAGAGAACCCCCCCCCCTCAAAAAAAAAATCAGAAAACACAAAATAGTCTTCCAATTATTTATTGGCAAATTCTTGCATTATTTGGCAATGGAATGTGTTAAAACTAATAGAAAACATAACATAGTTTTAAGATATTCAGAATCAAGTTACTTTTAAGATTTTTGCCAATAAATGAAATCATCACAAATAAATTAAAAATATTTCACATTTATTGGAAACCTTATCTTTGATATTACTTTTAGATATTTCCCTAAAAACCAGAAACTAAAAAATATTAGAATATCATAAATGAGTTACTAAATGTTTTTATAGCTGTAATTCTTGCATTAACAGTTTGGAGGGTGAAAAAAAAGAAGCTGATTGATCAAAAGATGTTTAACATCTTAGTCTTTAACAATTTTAGGAAGAAAAAAATGAAGCATTAAAGCTAGTTCTTTCATTGTGATTTTTCTAATCAATCTAAATGCATAATATAATAATGTTAGCACCATGGTTTTGGTTTTATCACCATAGTAAGTATTACAGTACTGTAACAGTGCATGAACAGTGCTTAATTTCTTTCTTCCTTTTAAATACCATTATTTAATATTATACATGTAAGACAAATATTTTGACAAAATAATAAATGTAATTAAAAAGTTAATATGCAAAAAAATCCTAACAACTAAGGAGAAAAAAAAAAAAACTTTTGAGTAAGGATTATTTTCTTAAGAATCACTAAGCCATCAGGAAATGTTTTCTGTCATTTATGTTAACTTGTAGTATCTTGTAAACATCAGATGAGTAAGGTTAATCATCATATGGCTTTTAACAATTCTAAGATATTTATGCATAAATTTTCCTTGCCTATAGATAAAAGTTATTAAAAAATTAATCAAAAATTTGAAATTGAAAATTAATAAGATGGAGCAGGAAAAACTATAAAAATAAAACCATTTGAAAGTATTAAAGAAAAAAAGTTATTCAATTATGCATTAAAATAAAACAGATAAAAAACATCAAATTTCTACTTATATTTTAATCCTAGTTTCTGTAAGAAAATCAATTGTAAAAAATTTCTTGAAACCTGATTATAAAAACTAAAATGATAAACATATAAATAAATAAAAAATTCTGAAATAAACAAGTATAAAAACAATCAAATTTATACTTACATCTTTTGCTTCATATTCTATTTTTTCATAATTCATTAAAAATTCCTCGTCTACTGGAGTTGGTAAATCGGGTATTGCATTTTCGGACAAATTATTAGCTAGGTTGGCATTTAATGGTGCAATTTCTTTAGACTAAAAAATACAATTAAAAAAGTTTTTAACACATCTTTGAATCATTGGTAGAAAATATTTAAATTTTGCACAAGTTATCAAACTTAAGAAATAAATTTGTGAAACATTATTAATTTTTCTGTAAAAAATTAAACATTCAAAAATAAACTATTAAAGAATAAAATGCAATCTCAGAATTGTAAATTTTTTTATTTTTAGTTCTTTTTAAGCAAATGTAACTAAACTTTAAAACTTAATAAAGCATTACATAAGAATCAGATAGGTTATAAAGAATAATAAAATATCAAGAGTAGAACTCTCAATAAAACTTTGCTGAAGAAATATTACAATGAAGAATTAATAACAGTTAAAGACTTCTATATTTATCAATGAAAGTTATAGCAGTTCAATTAAGATCCCTGCATTGATACAATGTATACTCGTTGATAAATGGTTAGTGTATCGTTCTTTCAGTTTAAATGAAAGTTTTGTGACTATTTCCATGCATATATTTTACTTCAGGGGTGATTGTGAGTCCAAGTCGAAATTTCTTAAGTAAAAAAAAAAAAAAAAAAAAAAAAAAAAAAAANGGAAAAAAATTTAAACAAGGTTTTTTCCTTTTTCTCAATCTTTCTTAGTTTACTTAAAATATATTTAAAATTTTACACATACTTATACCATTTACACATACCTATGATAACCTGGAGAAGTAATTGAAATTTATAATCTTTCTTTATTGAGTTTATGATTATGATAACTATAAACTGATAAAAAATTAATATTCACCTTTCAAAATTTGATTTTCACAAACGTTTGTGATCAATGATTTTTTGAAACTTCTGGACCTTGACCTCCGGAAACTTCCGGATCACGGTTAGCGAAAAATCCGGAAATCCGGATTTTTTCCGGAGCACAATCAATCAGCCCTGTTACTTTAAAGAAACAGCTCTTTACAATGACACACTCATTCCTAAATGTGACCAAGTATTTGGCCATCTCTCTCAAATTAGTTTAACCTCTTTCACAGAAAATAAAATTTAAAAAACTTACTTTAGGATTCTTTAAAGCTAAATTTTCTATCTTAGACCATGTTTCATCTCGCTCTTTCAGTTTTGCTTTTTCACTAAAATTATTTTAAGGCATTAGTAAACAACTAAGCTATAGGAAAATTTTATTACCAATCAGAAAAAGAAGGATTTGCAACTTACCTGTGTCTATCCAGCTTGTAATTTTGTACACACTCATCAAATAACTTTTGATTCATCTCCATGAAGAGTTTCAAGGCATTATAAATCAACCCATGAATTGTCCTGCAATATTTTTTTTTTAAATTTAAAATAAGCAATTCTCTAAAATATTGTGAAATTAAAAGAATTTAATATTATTCAAATTTTAATTAATAGTAATAGTGATAAACAACCTTTTATTTCTGATAATCTTAAGCTGCAACATGACTTCATGGAATAGCATTGTTCATAGACTTACTGTGTTTATCAATAAATTAACTAAACTTAAAAAGAAAAAAACACTGAACTAATTCAGACAAAAGCCAAGTCAATAGAATTGAAATTAATTTTTCGTTTTAAATAAAATTCTACATACAACATTCTACTGCCAAATTGTATTTTATGTATATAATTTTAACATTTTTATGTTCCTTATAGAAAATATGACTGTAGAGTTTCCCTATAGTTTACAGAAATATTTACAACTAAAATAAAATACAGTGAAACCTCCAGGAAAGACCACTTCTGTGTAGTGACTATTTCCAATCACTTTTGGGAGGCACGGAAATCTTTCCACGGACTTTGTAGTGAACAAAACCTTTAGGAGAGACCATCATAGGGTTGCCACAGAAAAAAATGAACAAAATAGTTGCTTTTAGTTGCCTAAAGCATGAAAATAGTAGCCAAAAACTAGGAAAATAGTTGCCTTAATAAGAACAATGACTAAAATTTTGTTAATGACTTATTTGTCATATACCATAATCCATTCAGTCAAGTTGTTGGCAAATATGATAATTTTTATATAAACGTTAATGTTTATATATATATGAAAAGTGATTACTAAAATTCGAAATTCACTCATCGTAATATCGTAAAAAAAAAAAATTCCCTTCCTTTTTTAAAATCATGATGAATTTCGTAGCAATAATCATTAAAAAGGCGATTGAGAAATGAAATAGACTCACAATGGAATCTGTGCAGATTGAACGAATTAAAAATATGCTTTAAAGAAGGAGAGAAAAAACATTTCTAGGAGTACAGAAAAGTCTCCCAATAGTCTCCTTTTCCTGAAAATAGTTGCTTTTTCAACCTTTTCAGGCAAAAAAAAAAGTAGCCATAGTCGCCTCAATCCAAAAATAGTTGCATTTTAGTTGCCTGTGGCAACCCTGCATCCAAACATCCCGCAGCGACTGGGCAAACCTCTGCACCTAATGCGACAAAGGTCAAATAATTAAACACGAAAAACATCCAATATATATATATATANTATATATACATATATAAACATATATATATATACATATATATATATTAATGAAAGAAACTATCTAATTCAAATGTAGTTAAAATATTTGTCAGTGGCTCTTATTTAAAAAGCTCTTTTTGACAATCTCTGAATGAGATCGACCACCTCATGTTGCAGTCAGAGTGCATTGAAGACAATGCCATCAATGATTTATTTTTAGAGTTGAAAGTTGCATTTTAAAAAAGGGCATTTTTGAAAAAAATTAAGCATCTCAAACAAACTTCATTTTTCAACAAACAACATTTTTTAAAGCCAACTATTTCTCATATAAAATTAAATGGATACTTAAAAAACATAATTGCGGATTTATTTAAAAAAGTTCTATCATTAAATAATACTGAGAACCAAAAAAATATTACAGAGTGAAATTGAAATTTCTTGTGAAAAATCATGTGCCATTGATTACATTTTGAAGTCAATGAAGGTAACCTCTTAACGACAACTTCCATTAACAACCAATTAACTATGGAACAGAGAGTGGTCACTCTTGAGAGGTTTCACTGTAGATACCCTGATTGTAATCAAATGATTAATTATATAATACACATTAAACTCAAAAACAGATATTCTTAGGGTTTATATAAAAAAAAATTACACACAAACGGAGCTTTATTTGTAACAGGTTTCTATTAGCTAGAACAAATAAAGGATTGTGAATAAATGAATCAACTTTATTTATATAAATTAATTTATCCAAATTTATAGTTAGTCATCAGATTAATATACACTTTCTTTAAACTATACTCACTTGTTCCAATGAGATTTTGAGTTTCTATACAGAGAAGGAAACATAATTGGTAACAAAACTGTGGCATTATCATTGATTAAACTCATAATGTATTCGTTATTCCAATAGTATAAAGCTCGCTCTGCGACCTGCAAATGACGAGAGAAAGTAATGAAATAAATTATCACTTCTACAATAAAAAATTTGATAAATAAAGTATAAGTTATATATTAATTAATAAAATAATAGCTAACTTGCCTGAAAATGGGGAGATGAAACACATTTTGCAAGCTGTCTGAACAATGGCACCATTACTTTGGTAAATTCGGCTGGTTCAATAACATCGAGGATTTCTTCTAATTCATTTAAAAACATTACCTAGAAAACAAAAACATGGTTGGTAAAAAATATTTCATTACGTGTATATATTAGAATAATAATATTTAGCAATTCATTTAAATTTTAACGATCACATTGATAATTAAATGTCATAAATAGAAATTCTAGTGAAAACAAATAAATATAGGCAACTGCGATAAGTGAAAAGTTTGATAGTTGAACTCTTTTTTGGTTAAAGAAATAACAGCAAACAAACCAAATTCCTGTACCTTTAATCAGGGTTTGTTGATTTAAATCAACTTGATTTTAATCACGATTTAAATCATGATTTAAATCAAATGATTTTTTTAAAAAAATCATTGATTTAAATCAACAAATTTTTTTTATGTATATATTGATTTAAAAAGTTAAAAAACAGTGTTTTAAATTATTGATACTTTTATTATTTCTTTTCTTAGTTTTAAAATTTATTTTAAATAAATTGCTGCATTAATTAATTTTAGTTAACGAAATTACTTTCTTTCTTGGTATGTGTTAAATTCTAACACAATCGAAATTACATCTTTAAAACTCTTGACTCTTGAGATTGAAAGTACAGATTAAAGTAAACATTTAAGTATTTTTTTCTCATATGTTTACAGTATCTTTGACATTATCAGATTTTTTATAAAGAAATTTTGTGAAAAAAAAATTTCAATGAGTATATAGATTTTTTTTAGCTTATCTGTTTTGATATAGGATTAAAAACAAATATTTTAATATAAAAATATATAGATTAAATATTTATTTATTTTTTGATGAATGACTGCATTAATAAACACAATCTGTTACATTTATTTAGTCATTTTAAAAATCAAGAGAGAGAAAAAAAGGAAATCACAATTTTAAATTAAAATTATGATTTGGTAATTGAAACTTTGTTTTATAGTTAAAGTATTCCTTAAATTCTCTATTTCATCTAGTCTTTAAATTTCAATCATGCATTTGTTTCGAAATAGTTGCTATGCATTCAAAGCTATGTACTATAATGAAAAATTGTTTTAGGTAGTTAGAGCTTCTAAAATATTCTTATAATATAATTTTAATATTAATTTAATTTTAATTAAACATTTATAAAGCTTTTTTTGTCATAAATCAAAGTTCTTATAGTGTATTTGAATAAAAATCAAAAAAATCTGATTTAAATCAAAAAAATCCGATTTAAATCAAAAAAATCTGACTTCTTTGATTTTTTCTAAAAAAATCAAAAAAATCACGAACCCTGCCTTTAATTTTTAAAGAGTTTGAAAATCAGACAGTGGTGAATAAACAATAAAGAAAATTTTTTATTTGATTCTTTTACTAATGAATTAAATATCAATAGTTTTTCATTGCAAGCATTTAAAATCTTCTCTGAACTAGTTGAAAGCAGTGGAATATTAGCAATGAAAAAGGAAGATAACATAAATCTTGATTTAATTATTCAAATATACTGAAAGTAAGAAGCAAAATTGGTTCATAAATTAAACTATAATAACATAAAACAATATACGGTCAAACTCATATATTATGCAACATGCCAATTTTTTTGTGAATTCTTTGACATTTAATCTCCTGGAGAAAAGACTGCAAACATGCAAGACCAGAGTTCTATCTACTGGTAGTGACTTGAAGATAACCCAGCTTTAGATCGATGAGCACCAGCTTGTCTGGGAACTAAAGACTACCAATACACAATATTGATCCCATTGCCACTATCATGAAGTTGAACTCAAATTTCTGTAGTTTTAATCTCCATGAATCCCTTAGTCAACATCTAGTTGTTGCAATGTTTAACTTTTCTTCTAAGGAAAAAACTTTCTTTTTGTTACAAATCAAAGATGTGTGTTGATAAAATCACTGTGACACTGAAAATGAAGGGCAGATGCAGACAATGTAAGCAACAAGAGATAGCATACATTCAATCATTTGAATATAGCAGTATCTCCTTATAGTCATTTCAACGACCATATGTATTTATTATTCATTTGTTGACACAAGACTGATCAAATGGTAAATTTTTATTGTTTATCTACATGTAGTTTTTGACTTATTTGAACTAAAAGGAGTGTGTTAAGAGTGCACTTTCGAAGGAAAGAACATTAAGACAAAAAGTTAAACTTTTTTTCACACTTAAGAAATTAGCCAATTAATGTTGAAAAAAGAAAAAACTTATGATAGTACTAAGTTACACAATGTTGTCAACTATAGACAAATGATGACAACTTTTGATTAGAGACAGATTTAATATTTTTCTTATCCAACAACTTATAAACCTGGCAATTTATAACTTATAACATATGTCTCGGCTGAAGAATTCAAATTTTTATTTCATTCAAGTGAGAAAAAAAACTATAATAATTTTTCAATGCAAATTACTAGCTTTGTTGCCATAAATTTAAGTTGCTCGAACTCCCATCTTTCCTTTTGATTTTTTGTCTTAAAATTATTCACCTTTTAAATTAATGCTAATTTCACAGTTATTTAACTTTTGCTTTTTTCCTGAAGTGGCTTTTTTGATATTTCTGCACAGTTCCTTTCCTCTAACTTCTTAAGAGCAAGTAATTGTTCAATACCGGATTATCCTGCTGATTTTAAAACTTTACTCTCAAATCTTTTTCTGAAATTTTTTGACAATAATTATAATTAGCAGTTTGGAGATCCTTACACAAATATTTCTTAATAGGATGTCAACATACATCTTTCCCATGAAAGTATATTACAGCTGAAATGTTCTTAGAAATCAAACTAGATCTAACAGTCTGAATGGTAGAACAATGACTAAAATCTATATTACACCTAAATCTTGAATCTTTTTCTTAGTCCATGCTACTAAAAGAACTTTCAACACTTGGGCTATGAAAACAGCTAATTATAGCCATTACCTTCTTTGACAATTATGGAAATTCTTCTGCCCTTAAAATTAAACTACATTCAAATAAATGGGGGTTTTATTATTCCCATTCGTACTAGGAGGTAATGCTGCCAAATGTACTTTCTGACTTCCAACATATATTCATCAGACAAAGCAGTTGTCACCACAGAAGGCAAACTTCAAACTTCTTTAAGATAAAAATTTTAAATCTTTCTGCTGATCTAGTGCTGATACATTAACAAGGAAAGAATTCATTAAAAGCGATTTCTTTTTCAAAGCTTTTTAAAGTCTCTAAAAATTATACTCAATAGTTGTTTTCCTGCTTTTAGGTAATATAATCAGTGCACCATAACAGGGTTCCCAAACTATTCTAGATTATCTAAAATTATCTGATTTTTCAAGGTTTTCCAGAAACAATTACTAGCATTGGAAGAAAGAAAAAATTCACCCAAGTTACGAAAATTGGAGAGTATGACATTGAATTATCTATATGATAATTTTTTTAAAAAACTTTGTTAAATAAATTGCATAAATACAGAACACTATATTGATTTCAAAATCACATGAATACAAATCGGTTAAAAATACACGAATATGCATCGCAATATTAAATTTTAAAAACGAGTACATAAAATTTGGCCAAATAGGAATTGTGATGTACGATTTTTAAATTAAACGAATACGAATCACAACATGTAGAGTTGAAATCTTGTAGATACAAAAGGTGGTGTTTCACATTAAAACTCGTGAATATGAACTGCAATATTGAATTTTAAAAGCATGTAAAAACAAATTGAGATATTGAATATTTAAATTTAGTAAATACGAATTGAAATGAGTGAATCACATAAATAAAAAATCTGTGTTTGATATTAAAATCATATAAATATGAATTACAATATTATCTCAAATATTCAATATGGTAGTCCAACCAAAAGAATAAAATTTGTGGAAGAATTATAAAACACATAGAATGAGTAGCTCACCTCTTTAGGACTGTGCATCTTAGGCCAAAATTTTAATAGACTATTGACAACCTATAAAATAAACAGAACATAAGTAATTACAAACACATCAACTGATCATCTGTGATTAATCTACAAATAATATTTCTTAACAGGAACATAACTACTATTACTACTACTACTACTACTACTATTTACTACATTTAATTTAATATTGACAAGCAAAAATCTTTATACAGTGAAACCTGCTTTTAAGAACACTCCTACAAAACGGATGTCTCTCATTACGGGCATATTTTTAATTCCCCATTAATTTTCTATGAATAAACCATTATGTACCTCCTCCGCAAAATGGACACTCCCGTAACCGGACAGTCATATTATGCCCTGAAAGATTACTTTCTATCTCTACAAACCAGAAACCAATTTTTCAAAAATTGAAAAAAAAAAAAAAAACTGTTTTTACTTTAAATTCTAAGCAAAAAATATGCAACTTTTCCCCATTTTCAAAACATGCAATTTTTTTCCCCTTATCCACAACTAAAAATATTAAGCTATAACAGCACTAAAACATCAATGATTCTCCTTACACCTTCCTTTATCTTTTCAAAGAAAGGAGAAAATGATACTGCTTATGTGAAATATTTCAGAAGAAGGCATCTTTTCATCTGGACGATACTGGCTATGAGACCCTAAAGCTGATATGCCTTAAATGCTCTCAATTTCTCTTTCCCACTAAAAATTCCTTTCTACTTATTATCAATTTGGAAACTATATTTATTAACATAACTAGGTAAAAAAAATAATAAAAATATTGCTATTGAGGTGTTCATATGAATGAAAGATTTATTTAGACATTTAACATATGATCAATTGTAAATAGGACTAACTTATAGGTATGCACTGCTTTCTTATTTTTTGTGCATAGGGGGAGGTTTGTTTTAAAGGAGGTATTATCAGGTTTCCTATCAAGTGATGGATAGGTGTTAGGGGGTGTAAGCCTAATAAACAATCCTACTGAGGAAGTGACATAGGGCTAATCGCCTATTTGGTTTCATATGACTAATTTGAATGTCTGTGTAAATAGGAAAAACAATCATTTCTCTGTAGCTAAATCTAGCATTACGTATCAACTTTTTTTTTTGTATTGAAAAAGTATTTTTTAAAGTTTAAATAAATATCATTGTAAATAGTTACAGTCGAATATTTAATCTTTCCTAAATCATTGCAATTACTCCAAAAAAAATGTATAGCGTGAAGCTTCGTTATTAGCGTACTCTTCCCATAACTGTCGTAAGCGGACAATTTTATTGCTCCCAAGAATGTCCGCTTAACCAAGGTTTCATTGTAGTTCTCAATATTGTAAAATTATTACCTTTTATATCTTAAAGAACGTGAAATTCAGAGCACAAAACATTTTTAATACTCACTGATTCTGTGAGGCTTGGATCCTTTTCTAAAAACTGTACTACACAATAAGCTAACTGAGGATGATACACACTAAGGGATTTAACTTTATGCAATGGCATTAAGACCTTCAAAAGGAATACTTTGTGCTCTTCTTTTAATGGTAAGGCAAAACCATTTATGATACTAAAAAATAAAAATAAAAAATAAAAAATAAAAAAAATTTTTTTAAAAATACATGATTTGTGACCAACAAAAATAATTACCAAGAATTGAGGCATCAAAATACTATGCACAATATATACCAAAGATTTAAAACAATAAAATAAATCATAAAAAGTTGAAAAATTCAATAATAGCAATCCATTCACCTTCCTAAGATTTCCAGCAATTCAGCTATACCGTTATGATGTTCAGTTTCATAGATAAATCTAAGAAGGAAAATATTGAAAATTGATTAACTAATTCAACATACAGAACCCTGAATAAAAAGCAATTTTCTTAAAAATTTCAACATTAATAAAACCTTCATGATGTTCGGTTTCTTAAATAAAGCTAAGAAGGAAAATAATGAAAATTGATTTGCTAAATAAACATACAAAACATTGACTGAAAAAGCAAACTTCCTAAAAAGTTCAATTTATAAACGTTTTAAAATTAATAAATTGTCACAATTTTCTTAAAAATTTCAATTGCAATTCATGAAAACACAAGACAATTTCTTTTTATAAAACAATAAACCTTCTATGACCTATTAGCAGCAATGCATAGGTGACAAAAATACTTATCACTAACATTTGACCTGATTATGGTTGGTATTTTAAAAAAAAACTGTCTTATGGAAAGAAAAAAAAGAAAAATTATTATCAAAAGAAAAATTATAATCAATTACTTCATAAACAATTCTTCATAAATAGTAACTAAATGTTAATGCACTTTATATAGTGTTAATGTATCTTTTATAATTTTTGATCAAAGTATCAGATTTTCAAATCAAACTCCCTCTTAAATGGTTCGAGGGTCTAACCCTAAATTTGTAAATCAATTTCTACAGACAATAATTTAAATTGCGAAGTTAGACACAAAATTGTAGTTTCTGAATAAACATGCTCCTTCGCATCATATTTGGATTTCTTATCATAAAAAATTTAGGGATAGCTGCAATCTTAGAAAATATGGTCCCAATATTTTAGGCAAAACAGCAGTTGAAAGTTTGGACCCCTTAATGCCAAGTTCCTTAACTGCATACTTCACCATAAAAAATTTTTTTTAAAGCAAATAAAAAAAATTTTAATAAACATTGTCCTTAATAATAAAACTCACTTATCCAAAGATGTATCTAGAATTAAAAAGCCATGAAAAAAATTATTTTCAAAAATTATTTACCACTTTTATCATTTAATTTATTAAGGATCAAAAAATTTTAAATCGCAAGGTGAACAAATTTATACACCAATTTAACCTACTCGGTGTAAAGTTTCGAAATCCAAAATTAGAACAAAATCAGTCAAATAGTTTTTGAAGAATAAAAATTTTAAAATAAGACTACTTTTAGTATAGTAAAATTAATAGTAAGAGAAACAAACTTTTATCAGCTCGCTCGCCTAAACTATTAGGACAATATTTTCAAGATTGCAGTGACCCTCTCCACCCTCATAATTAAGGTTTATGAATCCAAATCTGTAAAAAGTAGGGTAGGGGGGGGAAGAGTTTATTTAGAGAAAATACTTTTTGTATCCAATTTGGTAATTTAAAATACTATCTGCTCAAATTAAGTTGCATGCTTAAGGTTAGGCCATCAAATCCTTCACATTAAGTCCTAGTACTAGAAAACATAATTAAATCAAAAGTTACTAAAGATTTTCATTTTTTTTTAAATTTGCCTACTGTATATACTTTAACAAAATAAATATCAGAGACTATAAAAACCCTATTTCAAAAAGTGTGTATGACAACCTCAGAAACTAACAAATTGGTCCAAAAAAATTACAACAATACAAGTCTACATCTGTCCTTGAACTAGAGATTTAAGAAAGACACGCTAGAATTTGTTTGAACATGTTCTGAATTGAATTATCCAACTCCATATAACAGCACTTACTAATGTACCATATGGCCTCAAAAAGAGTAGATAACTAAAATCGATCTTTCGTAACAGGATTTTAAGAAAAAACACTCTTTTGTGTAGAACAGTTGGGAACTGGGGGGAAAAACTGGATCGGAGAGGTTAGTACAAGAAATTGATGCCATTCTGTACCCCACAAAACACTCTTACACCCTCTCTTATCCATACATGTTGCAGATTTATCTGGCAGGGGCACATTTCAAAAAATCAACATCTTGAAATTTTTTGGTGTTTCACTTTAGCAATATTGATGTAAGCAATTTATTAAAAAATTTTTTGGTATGTACTTCTCACCTAGTAATTATTAAAAAACATGCTACAACGCTAAAATTTAAATTTTTTTTTCCCTTTAAAAGATACTCAATAACATGTAAAAGGCATGTGTTTTTGCAAATCTGATTATTGAGCAAATAGTGCCCAATCTATATTTAGGGACAGTTAATAAGAATGAAAGACTTACGGAAAGTGTTTTATAAAAAGGTAATAATATTAAATTATTGAAAGTTATGCTATTTTTGATAATTGCATCAGAAGTAATGATGGTTATTTTACTAACACCTTGGTAAAATCTTAAACACAACATAGTACTTAGCTTTAAAAAGGTATAACATTTAGACTAAAATAACCCTACAAAATATTTTTGAAAAGTTAAGACTTGGGTATTGATAATAATTCAGAATTAAGAGTTTCTGAGTACTTCATTTTCCATTTAACTTAAATTAAAATATTCTTACTTAAAATTGAATATAAAAAGTTTTTGAACTGATGCTTAATTGCAAATTATTTCAGTTATATTGCAGACAACTACTGATAAAAAGTTATAAATACTCTGCTACATAGCATTTTTAAATATTTGGGGAAACAATAATTGTGTAAATGTAACTGGATTATAAGTAAGTTAAGAAAACTATGCAAATTTTTATAATTTTAAAAAAATAATGCGGGTTAAAAAAATGTATTTAATCTGTAATTTTATGAAAAGAATAATAAACAATACATACCTGTAAAAAATATTATTTATTTGCTTACGTATGTATGCTCTTAAACCCAAAAATTTTCCATATATTCTGTGAAGCGTAGTTTTTAAGAAGTCCCGTTCACGTGGATCTTCACTATCAAACAATTCCAATAACTACGTAATAATAAAATGGAATAAAAATACCAAAATATAGTTACAAATACTTCAATACAATAAATAGAATTGAAAGATGAAAAATAAATCCTACCTGAAGAACAAATTTTTGATCAATGTAACGCTTAACAATATTTGGCTGAAAATCAGGTGATTCTAAAAATCTGAGGAAAAATTCATACACCAACTGCAATCAAATTTATGAAACATAAATGTTACTTCATGTTAAACAAATAAGATATTTTTAATGTGCTTCAACATAGAAAATTAAAAATAGTTCATCATTTAAATATTTTTGAAAAATATAATAAGAAATAAAAACTTTTAACAAATTTATTTATAATCAAAGGAACATAGTAGAAAACTTGATGTTCAAACAGAATGAAAAAAAAGAAAGAAAGAAAGGAACATTTATATGAGGATATTTTAAGTAAAAAAATCTATTAAAAATACACAAGAGCAACAGGAGTTAAAAATCAGCAGCACTAGGCATAGTGTCTTTCTAATACAGTATGAATATTTTTAAGTATTTATTTTACAGATCTCCTCAAAAATGGCCTAGAATCTTTGAAGTGAAAAAAAAATTTCTTTAACATCAGTGATGTATTTAATAACATTAACTAGTTCAAACAACTACATCTTCATTTTACTTTGAATATAAAAGAGGTTGCAGAGAAAAGGTTGTTGAAAATTTAAAAAGCTGATTTGTTCTTCCGGTTTTTAAGTCATGTTCAAAATCTGAACTTTTAGTATTAATTAGGGGCAGGAAAATCAGTCGCTTTGAGCAAAATAGTAGATTTAAAATGTAGTTAAGTTCCCTACAGTGCATCATAATTCTTTGTTATGGGTGGGCAAACAAGGTTAAGGCAAGGCAATGCGAAAATAATAAAAATCAATTTTGTGATTAAATAATTGTTAGTCACGAACTACTTTTCCAGAAAATATATATACATTGATACCTATTGAAGAAAAAAAAAAATTTAAGAGATTTTTTTGATAAAAACCATTTGTATAATTAATAAGAGTGGAATTTATTTTTTGAGAGCAAAATATATCAAAATTGTATACGATTAAAAGAAAATTAAAACTTTTTTACGCAGGTTGCAAGAAAATTGAAAACAGTTTTATTTTAAAAAAAATTGAATTAAGAGTTAAGATCTGTAATGAAAGGATAAAAATAGTAATTTCTGGATAAAGCACATAATACAGAGATTTAGCAATAATGCTTCTGATTCTCCATCATTCATATACATATGTTCTGAAGTCAGTAACTACATAGATAAATCATTTCAGAACGTGAGTTCATGAGCCTATGAGTATGTAACATGTTAGAGCTAAAGTCACTAGAAGATAATTTTTTTTTACTTGAAGGTGTGGCCAAGCAGCTTCCAGAGTAGGTTCATCTTCCTCAGGATCAAATTCTGCTCCACTAGGATTGGATGATGGCGGTAATGTGCGAAACACATTGCAACTAAACTATAAAAGGAATTTAGGTCATCATTGTCACTTTAAAAGAAGTTAGGTACAAAAGTAGACATTCCAACAGAAATTTTAAACTAAAAATAGTTGTTCAATGTATTGCCAAAGCAAAAATTAGGAATTAAATTTAAGCCCTGCAATGTAAAATATAAGTATAAAGTTTATAGATAGAACATTCAGCATTAAACAAATCAAAGGTGCAAATAATGAAATTAAGAAGAAAAAAAAAGTTATCCAGCAAGCACAAATAATGACACAAATGGACATATTGTAGTTCCTAGTTCTATAAAAATAACTTTTATTAGTGACCCAACACAAAATGAGAGAAGAAAACATGAGAATAATATGTTTAACTAATAGTGGTAGAAGAAAAATGGGTGATAAGATACGGGTGTGTAGGATAAGAACAGCAAATGTGTAAGATGTAGATTTTCTAACTTTAGAAAAGAATGGGATACTAGAAAGATCATCAACTTAATTATTAAAATCTTTCAAAATATTGTAAGATTCCCAGAAGTTGAGGTGATTAGCTGAAAAGTAGTGTAACAGTCTTTTTACAATCAAATGCTACTGTAGTTGATTTGATTTTACACATAATTTTTACCCACTTTAAACCAAAATGTATTATAATACTTGAGTCCACATTAGTAAATTTTTAAAATAAGTGTAAATAATTTTAGAAATGTACTAATAGAATCAACTATCCTAAAAATAAATATAAGATAGAACAATTGAACTTTGTTACAACGACACAAATTTTTACTCAAGCCGAAGGAAAACAGCTTCTTTGCAGCAATATCGTGCAAAACAATCAAAAATGCATTATTTAATATGAACATAAAAAGTAAATTTATCAAATTTAAGAGGAAGTAAATATTACACCTAATGAAATCAATCTTAATTTAAGCAAGTTAATTCCTTTTCCTGAACAGAACAAGTGAAGATAGTGCATTTGTTCTTCGAACTGATAGAGGGTTGCCATTAGTTCATATAAACCTATAATTGGTGAAGTCGGGTGGATTTTAGACAATGGGGTGAAGCACTATTTTTTTCCCCTGCTAATGGGTGAACTCTAGTGACAGTCATTCTTTTTGAACCTTTCATTTAGTTTCTAGTACAAGGTGATTTTTTAGTGTATTGAAGCATTAGTTGTGAAAATGAGTGGGGAAGAAGGTCTCTCAGTTCATAAACAAATCAGAAGATTTTATGTAATTGGATTTCATCTGGAAGTTGATGTAAAGGTCAAAATCTCTTTCATGTTCATCAGGGAAACAACAGCTGCTTTAAAAAGTATTCAGTGGTTTCCATTTGACCAAAAATTCCTGTTTAGGAAAATTTGAAAAAAGTCCTTTTATTTTACTGTGTTTTGAGACTGTGACTTGATACGAGACTTTTTACTGTGTCTCGAAGCAATATTTTTCACACAGACAAAATTTCTTTCATTTAACTCAAAACTACATTTATATATAAAATGTTTTTGAATTTTCTTTACTTAATTTTAATTATACATGTTTATACAGAAAAATAATTTCCCAAAGAAAATAACTTACCATGTGTACAATTTCAGGATATATTGCCTCTGTTATTACTCCTCTTTGAGTGAAAATATAGTCAAGCATTTCATTTAAAGCAGCTCGCTTGACTTCTTTATATTTCAAGTCACTGAGGGGATCCGTAGCAAAGTCAAATAGTACACAACATTGCCGGAGCTTTTGGATGAACAACTCTTCCCACTCATTACCTTGCGCATCTAAAATTAAATGACCAATTTTAAAAATACATTAAAAAGTTAAAATTAACAAATTTGTTTCTTTATAGTGGTAATAATAATGAATAAAAACACTTTAAACGAAACTTCCTATACTTTTTCTTAATCTACCACAGATTCTACTTTCAATAGGTTATATTTAAAAACTGAAGAGTTGGATTTACAATGATATTAAGTATATATAATTTTTTAATATATATGAAGCTTCACATACCTTTGAGTAGAGGTAGTTTCTGCAGTTCTCTGTTTTTAGATATATTAAACCTAGATGAAGTTTGTCGCTTGTCTTTTTTGATATATGGGGGACCACTGTATTTGATTTTAGTTAACTGTGTAGGTGGAGGTACAGCGTTTTTATTATCTCCAGTGACAACAGTGGAAAACTGAAAAAAGAATAATGATTATGAGGGATGACAGTATCAATGCTTGAACTCAAATACTTAAAAAGAAGAAGAAAGAAAAAAATAATAAAATTTATCACCACGTCTAAATACATATTAAACCTGAATTTACTCTTTAAATAATGCATTCTCTCTAAATCAAAATATTTGCAACTAATCATGTTATTCTCATATCAAGTATGTTATTAACAATTATAGTACATTATTATGTTAAAAATCACTACTTCAGCACTACTTGTACCCACTAAACATGAATTTAATTATTAATATTGCAAATGATAATTTTTTAATATTATTTTTCACAATGATCTTCGCAAAAAAAAAATTTCTGACATTTGAACAGTAGCTAGGTCACAATTCTGATCAGTTTTAAAATAATTATGGTTACTCTTTAACAACAGTAAAAAACTAGTAGCACATTTATAATAAAACTGTGATTATTTAAATATCTTTCCTCTGAAAACCTTAAGTGAATTAAATTTTTTATTTTTCAAATTAAACATGCGGTTACTCAGTATTTGTTGAATAGTGCAAGGATGACAGTGTTGTACAGGGTTAAATAGGGTATTAATAATTTAGGGTATGATTTGTGCAAGTAGAATTGGCAATTTGTACAGCAAAAGTAAATTTGGTCCTAATTACTAATAATAATCAAGATTTACCAGAAAGATATTCAGAAATACATTATTTAATTTAGTTTTACTAATACATGGATGATTTTGGATTAAATTTTCTTACACACACTTATAATAATAAATAAACAGAGTCATTTATTTAGTTTTATAGAAAAAATCTTTCACTTTTAATATTATTAATGTTGCTAAACACTGAGATGGAAATAAATTTTTAAAAAAAATACTAACAGAAACAGAGAATCTTTGATTCTGATCTTTCTATTAGGAAATTTATTTGAAAATATTTTAAAAACATAATTTTATATTAGTTGAAATAATAATTTATAAATTATTTTTATTAAAAAACATTCTAAAAGACGGCCAATTGGCAATATTCATATCACATGTAACTTAATAAATATTTTAATTAAAATGCAAGATATTTTTTCACTATTATGTAGGAGGGACCAACTTAAAATTAGTAAAAGCTTTAGTTTATTTAACGCTTTTAAACGAAGTTCAGTTATAAATACGCGCTTTGTTGAGTTCAAATATGCGATATGCTATATAGAAGAAAATTAACTCTGCATGAGAGTTTTGTCTCACTATTATTTTTGTCATCCACAGATAAAATTTAATAAAAGAAAATGTTTTGTACAAGTAATAAGTGACTGGTTCATTTTTTTCTATAAACCAGAGTATCACACTTGTAAATTCATTTATGAGATCTTAGCACCCAAATATAATACTTAATAGATGGGCATCTTTCTTCTCAATATCTATGAACTTGAACTTTATTTTAAATGAATATATGTAATTTCAAGTTAAAATATTAAATAAGAATAAGTTTAAAATTATCTAAGTTATATTGTAATTATAACAAAGTAAAACATAAGAAATCAAGTTGTATTTAATTGTTTTTAAGAAAAAAATAAAAATTCGACAAACATTTGAGATTTTCGTAGAGGAAAAAATTATAGAGTACAATTTTTTAAAGTTTTATTAATAATTAGGATTTAAAAAATAATCGTCTTGAAGAAGAAAAAAATAGTTTTCTTTTCATTGCTAAAAAAGCTACATTTATAAATTTTTTTAATGCCTGATTAATAAAAATATTTTGAATCAAGTGTGGTTCTATCTGCACAATGTCGAGGAATGAATAAGTAAGTTAAATTTTAATAAATTTCAACCATTTAACTACTTTATTACATTATTCAAAAACACATTAGAAAAGTTTAACAAATTTCTTTTTTCCTTGAAAAAAAAAAAAACTAAAATATTTTTCCTCTTTGCAAATAGTTAATATACGAAAGTAGATGTTAAAAAAAATCATTTAAAATATGAAGACTGATATTCACAAAGAGAACTTTCAATATTTAGCTACAAATATAAATTTCAAACTACAATAATTCTTTACATTCCAAATTAAAGTACCATTTTATCTTTTAAAAATTTACAAATAAATCAGGGTTTTTTTGTTATTTTTTTTGGAAAAATTATACAAGCATAAATTATGTAATTAAAACCAAGTTAATTCAAAAAAGCTTCTAATTTCATCACTCGAGAGTTTAATAGTAAATGATAAACATAGAATATAGCATATAAATATTAAGCTAAATTAAAAAAAAAAAAAAAAAAAATTAATTAGGTTTTAAAACCTTAATAATTCACTGCATAAAATAGATCAGGCATTTTTTAACTGTTATTAATTATTGAACTAAAATCCACTATTTGCACACAAAACTTTTTCATTTTTAAACTAATTCATATTACTAAATGAATTATGAAATTACATTGTTCTACACTATGTTTTAAAATATCCTAACGAAAGCATTCAAGGGATTTTATTTTCTGTGAACTAATAATTAAGTACATTTGCAACTTATTATCTTTATTACAACCTAAATAAAATTTCTAATGCAAACGCAGATTACGATAATCATATATGCAGATGAATGTTCGCATCTACGATGTTACAAAACACCATAATACAGACGTCACAAATACGTTACTAAGATAATCCATGAATTAATCAGATGCGAGAGCAAGCCTCTAAAAGTAAATCATTTTGAAAATGTAAATTGGTAACAGTCAAATTAGAAAAAAATTGTACGGGAAGGTTTTATTTGTAAACAAATGATGACGTTCCGGGGACATAAGACTTATTCAATTAATCGAGGAATACACAACAAAAACCAATAATTCATGAATCCTTAACATCGCATTGACTTTATTAATATGCAATAACAAATCTAAGAATTAATTAAACATTTATAAGACTATATTTAGCAATGATTGATTTATATCCAAGATAAATATGACTTATGGGATTGTGATGACAGCAAACAAAAGTAGCTTTGATGTAAATGTTTCAAAGTAAAATGAATATTTTATAATTTACTATTTCATAATTTGTGTTGTTCTAGTAAACTTCGAGCAACAAATACGAACCTTTTCTTTTTCAGATTTATTCGGCATTTCTTTACATTACACAAACATTACCATGGCTCAAGGCCTACGCTACGCTACACATACATTTGTCGTTGCCAAAAATTCCATTTTCCGTGGTGTCAACCGAGCATCAAATCGAAAAAATAAAGAAAGAAAATAAAATGGCAGCTGTTTATCTTTAAAAGAGTCGTTTTGTCTTTAAATAGTAAATAAAAAAAAAATTTAATTTTTTATGGAGTACAGAATTGTTCATATTTAAAATTTCTCAAAATGAATTTAAAATTTCTCATTCTGGCTGTTGCTTGGCTACCAGACGCCTTAATTGAATTCACCTATTTGATTGGCTGTAATTGTCATCGTTATTATCGTTATTGCTTAATCGATGTTTCTGATTATTATCGCTCGCTAACTTTCGAGCATGCTTCTCACTCTTTTCTTCCATGTTTTATTTATTGCTCCATTTTTTATACTTTGATATTTCTTGTAATTTATTTTAATTACATTAAGGGCTACGATCGGTAGATTCTTAAATAAAATGAGACAAAATTTATTTTCGTTAATATGTTGAATGGCCTAGCAAAATTTGCCGAATGGTTAAAATCTTTGGGAGTCACGGAAACCATCCGTGACCTCCCATTGCGACGCCCCTAGTTGATAAAATATCTATAATTGTATAATTACATGCTAAAATTTAACTAAATTGAATAGCATTAAATAATTTTTATCTGCTTACTTTAATCATTCATTCTAACATCATACAATTGATGCACTCAAATTAAATAAAAAAAAAGGTATAATATGAAGTGAAATGTTGGATTTTAGTGAACTTAAAAGCATCATATTTAAAAGAGCCCTGTAATAGAATGGCAGAAATGATTTGTTATTAATAATTTTTTGCATTTAAATAGAATTTAGGATGTAATTGGGAGTGGTTGTATTTTTCTTCCGATTTTTAGTATAGATTGCGTATTTTGCTTTACTAATAATGATGTAAAAGAAAGGATGGCGATGAATTGTGTTGTGATATTGGTTTTTAAGGGAGTACTTTAGTTTTGTGAAGTATTTATTTATACTAAGAATTTTTTATGTCTTATATAATAACATAATAGTCTGAAACCATCTTTTACAATTGTCGTAAGCGCATTTGTGTTAATTAGAAAACCCCATATTATCCAATTTTCTCACATAAACATCCAAATTTAACATCATTCTTCGGTTGGCATGAGCTTAAAATTAATAAAAGTTACATATGTATTGTTTAATCGTTAAATATTTCGTTATTCCGACCTTAGAATTATTTACCTGTAAACTTTATTTATATCCTTTTTTTATATTCTCTGCTATTATTTCATTTTTGATTTTGATTACAATTCCAAATTAAAGGCTTAAAACTACAATTGGCGGGTTTTTTTTCCTAATTAAGTAATCCAACCATTTCAGTAATTTCACATTTTTTTTTTCAATAGTTTCCCATATAACATTATTTAAGCAAAATTTTGTGATAAACTTATTTAAATAAGTGTCTAAGCTTGCTAATCGTTTGACATTTATTAAACGGTAAAAAAGTACGCTTTATTTTTATTGACAATAATCTTTGTGCAAAATTTTGTCCAGCCGACGCATGGAATTAAAAATAATAATTAATAAATTGTAAATTTTTCAGAATTCTTTTTTTCCCTTTTAATTTTGTTCTGCATTAAGTTGGTGGGTTTATTTTTGAGATATGTGACCAGAGAGGTCTCATAAATATTTTTTGAGTTGTGAATAAAAGAGAATTTCATCATTTGAACAATATTTTTGTTTTTATTGTTTTAATTACGAATCAGAAATTCTAACCTACAGTTCAAACTGGATGAATATCGCAACAGGTGAATATCGCAAATAAAAAGGGCCCAAACTGATTGACTTGGTCCCAAAAGTTAGAGTTGAAGCAAGAAAAAAGCGATGCCAAGGCCCAATCTTACAGAGGCTGAAAAAGCCGAAGCCAAAGAACGTAGACGGGAATACCTTAAGCGTTACATACGAACGGAAAAACGAAAGGATTCCGTTCGAAAATACAAGCATGAAGCCCGTCCCTCACAAAACTACCAAAGCGGTTAAGAGAATTGAACCCTACAGAAGAGCGAATGGTAACTCTCTGAATCACTTTCATGCAAATACGAGAACTGGGTGTTAATCACCAGTTAGGGACAAAAGGATCCATTATCAACGTACCCAATGACTTGCAGAAGACCGTAGATTGTCTTCCACGCAATATAAATGATTCATTCATTATTCTCGTAAAATTGAAAAAAAGTCTAACTTTCAAATCATATTTCATGTATGAACTTGTGAATCCGAAACAGGTGCATGATGCAGCCCACAATCTCCTTCAAACACCATTGTACCAATCCAAAAATGTTAATATTGATCTCGATTGGCTGTTCAATTCCTATTTAGTTATCAAAAGAATTTACAATAGAATGAGTCTGAACTGCATTCAAATATGTCTGCGAAATTGTTTATTGAGCAGTTCGGGATTAACAGTTAACGATAAAAACAAAATAAAGTTGCTTCTCCAAAAAAAATTAGAGAACAACCATTTTGACAATGGGTTACCTGTGATCGTCTTGCGGCGATGAAATCTTTTTTCTTTTAATAATACTGTTTTAAGTACATTTATTTTATTTATTTCTCAATGTAACTTTTCTTTAAATTTTTTTGAAATTTAAGTAATTTTTTTGTGTATACTGCTATTAACTTTAATTATAATTATTGTAATTTATTATAATTATTGTTATTTACTATAATTATTATTATTTATCATGGTTATCATTATTTAGTATAATCATTATTATTTATTATATTTATCATTATTTATTATAATAATTATTATTTATTACGTTTAATATTATTTATTAAATTACTAAAAAGTCTGTTTAGGTGAGCCAAAAGTTCAAATCCTTGTAATGGCTGGACGATATGAATCTTGCTCCAGCCTCGCGCCTATCTGTGCTGCCGTAAAATATCTTCAGTGGTAGACGGATCATGGATTAGAAGCCCATTGGCATCGGCTAACCGTGGGAGGATTTCTCGGTTATCTTCTCCATGTAACAGGATAGCAGGTTAGTTCCATCAAAAAATCCATCAAAAAGAAAGTATGTCCTGATGTGTAAAACAATAGAGTTTTTTTTTTTTTTTTGGTTTTAAATTATAAGGCTTCGAAGTTGAATATTAAAAACCACAAACCCTATTGCAAATGGAAAAGATTATATTAAGTTTTAAGCTTGATTTTACATTGTTATCTATACTATGAGGTTCTACACCCCTGCTAGTTCCAAAATCCACGTAATTTCGTAATTGATTCTCATTCATCATTGTTTATTTCTCTTTAAACATCAATATTTTTCAAAAAAAGACATAGAACATTTTGGTTTTAAAATATATAATTATTCTAACTTTATGTCAGAATATTTTGCTAACATGTTAATTATTACGAAATGGACAGTTACCTGAATTTGAAAAATAACCATCTGAACTTGAAATAATTTTTTTTTAACTTAATGAACACAAAATGTGTAATTCAATACTAAGAAATAAATTAGAAGAATTTTATTCGTTGATAAAACTTTCAAATATTCAAATAAGAAATGGTTTTCACGCTTTATAATTTTTTTTATGTCTTTCAAAATTTCATTGTAAATGTGCACGCAATTCTCTCTCTCTCTTTTTCCTACTTTTGATTGACATCCACTCGATTGCGAGTTTATAAAAAAAAGAGAAAAAAAAAAGAATAGAAATAATGATCTTGTGAGGGGGAAAATGAAATTTCTACCACAATGTATAAATAATCCAAATTTAAAGTAAAAAGAATTGAAAAAATATCAAGATAAAGCACTTTAACATGCAATAACTTTGGAACAAATGGCAATTCCGGTTAAAAAAAAGATTATTTTAAAATTTTACTGTAAAATGGTCCTATCAGAACATCAGATTTAAATTCCGTATTTGCTTTCAATAGATAGTAAAATGTTTTTTTTTTTTTTTTCCAACTACAAGTTTAGCAGTTACTAATTATCGAACTAACAATCGAATCGTCATAATTTTTTTTTATTCCATCGAACTTATTACACTTTTCTGTATAACCTCCCCATTCCACCATATCTTGCCACCATATCCATCCCCACCCCTCTCTATTCCAGCAAGCAAAAAACAAATACAGTTTTTTTTTATTTAAACAAAAACAATCTTTTATATCAATCTTATCAACAAAAAAGTTTTTTTTAAATTATATAATATATATTCTGTGATGGTATATTATCATATTTAATGTATCAATAAACTGTAGTTTCTCTTTCAATCTTGCTTTAAATTGAAATTATTAACAAAACTGATGAAGTGTTTTCGTTTGCGACAATTATTTCCAAAATCACTTCTTAAAATTTTTTTCTTTGCAGATGATTATTATATCATAGAACGGTAGATGAATTATTAAAATTGAGAACGTTTCTAGAATTCCTAACAATTTAATTAAAATCTTTGTGTAAAGCTTCTTTCCGAAAACTTTAAACTAATTTCCTTCCGTCTTTGCTTTTTCGTTTTTTTATATTTTTAAATTTACACGTGATAATAGCAATTTTTCAAACATATGGTTCAGGAGATATAGCGCTCGGCTTCCAATCAGATGAACCGGGTTTGAATCCCAGCAATAGTTGGTGGATACGAATTCCGCATCCGATCACAGTGCTGCAGCGAAATATTCTCAGTGGTGGACGGAACATGAGTTATAGTCCCCTTGCCCTCAGGCTAACCGTGGGATGTTCTCGTGGTCTTCCTCTCCACGTAGCGCAAATGCGGATTGGTTTCATCAAAAAGTCCTCCACGAAAACAAATTTCTCCCATTTCTTGATCCAGGAGTTCCTTTGTCTTCTGGAGTGGGTTCAAAATTACACGGCTACGGAGTTGAACATTGATAGTTGTAAACTCAAAAGTAGGTCGGCTGTTCAACGACAGTTATAATATAAAATATTACCAGCTATTAACCGGACAGTTTTCGAAATTTCATTAAATTTGTCCTAAATGGTTAGTTTTTTTCTTCTTTTTTTTTGTGTGTGAAAGTGGGAACTAAACAAAAGTTCTCAGCTATTTCGTGAAAAGAATTTATGGATCCTTGTTAAGTAATCCCAAACTTTGATTTGGATTTGAAAAGTAAAGTATATTTAAAACGATTTCACATAAATATGAAGCTGGAAAAGGCAAAATATATTTCACAACTTTTTCTTAAGACTGAATACATATTTTGTTAAAGTTAACTCACTCCTCATGTTTATTTTTCAAGAATCCGTCGAAGCCAATTCCAATAATTGCTTTTATTCCGCACGCGACAAATCCTTCTGGCATGGTTGTTGTATTAATATGAAACGGATATCTTATCCATTCATTACTTTTTTTTTTAAATCGGGGAAATAGTTTTTCAAGTTCTTCCCGAATGCTGTGCTAATCATTTCAGAGTATCAGCATCAATTGTAGTAGCGGAACTTGTTATAAACTCATGAAGAGAGGGATACGAATCTATTTCTCCATTTTTATAACTCTTCTTTGCCATAAATTTAATTTTGCGATGGTAGCGTTTACTTTATCACACGCATGAAACAATATAATTTCTTTACCTTGTAAAGATAAAATCAAACAATTTAAAACTGAAAATATTTCAGCTAAATATGACAGCTTACTGAGCCACTGAATATCATGTAAACAACTCTTTAGCTCATAATTATCTTTAAGAAAACATTGAAGTTCATGTCTCAGTTCAAATAGTCTGCTTAAAATTTCCCCCCGTGATAGCCAACAAACATCTGTGTGAAAAAGAAGCTGGGTGTGACTACTTCCCATTTCTTCGCATATTAGCGAAAAAAGTCATGAATTCAAAGGACGAGTTTTGATAAAGTTAACTATTTTCACGCTTTCATTCAGAACTTTCTGTAGATCAGCGGGCATTTTAATTGCGGCCAAAGCCACTCTGTGTATGCAACAATGTGTGGATATAACAGTTGGCTCAACATTTTTAATTTTCGCCATAAGTCTGTAGCGTAAAGACCACTAAAAAAATACAACTACAGTTCACTAGTATATATAAGACATGTTAACTCGAGTCTATGTCGGGGTACCTTTTCATAGATGAAGGTTGACATGGTCGATAACTACTAGTCCCTCAAGTCTCTTAGTTGATCATTAGTAGTCGTAAAACCAAAAATTGGGTCGGCTGTTCAACGACGGATAAAAGATATAAAAAATAAGTCCTTTATTTATTAATTCCGACCATATTTTTTTCTCCATCCGAGCTTATTTCTACTCATTTATTCCAAGAAATTTTGTTTTCTTGCATACATTTATTGATTGATTGTTGTTGTTGTTTTTCATTTACGTCGCACTAGAGCTGCACTATGGGCTATTGGCGACGGTCTGGGAAACATCCCGGAGGATGATCCGAAGACATGCCATCACAATTTTGATCCTCTGCGGAGGGGATGGCACCCCAGCTCCGGTAGCCCGACGACCTGCACGCGAAGTCAAGCACTTTACGGTAGAACAGTTTAACGAGGACCAATACCGCACACCCTCAGTCAGTCCCTAAGCAGGCTGATCGAAGTGGTCACCCACCTCCACACTGACCGCAGCCAGTGATGCTTGACTTCGGTGATCTGCTGGGAACCGTGTCTTAACGATCAGTCCACTGCGGGACTACATTTATTGACAACATTAAATATATCTTTTCCTGTTGTGTGACCTAATAAAAGCTGACAAAGTAAAAAGTCATCATGAATTTCTTGATTTTTTTCGTATCTAATGGATGGTGTTTTCAATAGAAATGTAAACAATAACAATCTCGAGCTCGGGACCTACTCTAGTTCCGGTTAAAAAGTTTGCAGCTGCTTACTACATGTTATTCTGATAGGCGATGTTTTCAAACGGATAATTTTGATTTCAATAAAAGAAATAAATTAGATAATTTCTGAGCTCAAATCTGCCGTCTTTCATAAGATATTAATGTTATTATGTAATTCTGGGGAATTTGGAATGAAAAAGTGCTTTGGCTATTTTGTTATTTATTATTAAGAATGGTGACATGGTTGCTAGATTTTGAATAACTCGCTTTTTTGGCAGTCTTGATTTGGCCTCTTTCCATTTGTTTATTACTGTTTGTTCGTGTTGCAACTGTGCACCATCTTACGTTAGTGTTGGCACTTTTAGTATTGTAAACACAAGTATTGTTAGCATTGTAAACATAAGTAATAAGTAATCAAATACATTGTTTGCAAGAATCTCAAAACACAATGATGCCAAATGGCTTTAAAATACAACGGAAACAGTTACCCGGAAATTTAGGCAGTCCCGAGCTTGCAGCGTTCCCTAGTGTAGAAAACACCATCCATAAACGCCATAAGATTTGCAAATTTATACTTTATAACAATAATCAAGAGAAGTAGAATTTATTACAAACCTTTACCATAAAAAAATTGCACAAAAGGTAAAAATCACAACCGGCTATTGACGCCATTAATTATTAACTGTTAACTCTGCAAAAAATAGCCAATAGAAAAATACGTAATCGTAAATTTTCATGGCCAGCTTTGCTTTTGAATAATTTTTTTGGAAATTTTCATTTCTTGCAAGATATTTCACATAAGAACGCGTATCCCCGCTAAATTGTTCCCGTACTCCTAGGGGTACGCGTACTACATGGCAAGCACTGCTTTAGAGGATACATTTCATGAACCGATGACGAGAAAGTCAAAACCTGCAACAAAACTAAGAGCAACTCATCTGGATATACAAAACACGAAGACTCTTCATATTATTCTTAACTATGAAATAAATTTTAAAAATGTCATTTACAATAATAGTAATGCTTTCTTAACAGCATCTTACAAACTAAAAATACAAACACGAACTCTTAAATTCCTAACAAATGTAAAGCAACTAAAATTTAATGAGGGAAATACAATAGAATATAAGTACATCCAAATTCTTCATGCTTCTTGCCATTGATTACTTGATTCGCTATAAACTAAACAAAAAAATAATTTGGATAAAGAATAAAAGTATTTTTTGCTTTAAATAAGAACAATGATCCGACAATAATGCTACATAAACTTATGAAAGAGATACTAAATTATTTATCACCCAAACGAAGTTAAAATATGTGCAAATAAAGAATTTAGGAGAGGAAAATATACATACCGAATAACAGATATTAGCAGTGAAAAAGCCGCAATAAATGGTTGTTGTTGTTAATTTACGTCGCACTAGAGCTGCACAATGGGCTATTGGCGACGGTGTGGGAAACATCCCGGCGGATAATCCGAAGACATGCCATCACAATTTTGATCCTCTGCGGAGGGGATGGCACCCCCGCTTTGGTAGCCCGACGACCTGCGCGTGAAGTCGAGCACTTTACGGTAGCACAGTTTAACGAGGACCAATACCGCACACCCTCGGTCCCTACGCAGACTGATCCAAGTGGTCACCCACCCGCACACTGACCGCAGCCAGTGATGCTTGACTTCGGTGATCTGCTGGGAACCGTGTCTTAACGATCAGTCCACTGCGGGACCGCAATAAATGGAGATCTGGAAAAAGTAATTTCAAATTATTTCGGCATATTCAACATGACCACAAATATCTTTTATTGACAAGGATATTGAAGATATTCTTGATTTTGAGAAAGGAAGTGTTCCAGAAAATATATATTTCTTCGATGATTTCATTTCATCACTCCCGCTCAAACTTTTCGGCCATTTCAGCTCAAAATTCCGTTAATGCTTTTGGTGATAGAATTTGCTTGGCGATCATTTATTTCAACTGATCACCAAAGTATAGGGTTATCAAAAAAGCGGCATTCAAGACAGTGTGTTTCACTTTAAATTTCAATAATAATAACAACTCAACTCAAGGTCATCACAAACATTTACTGTTTGCTGACGGCTTTCTAGTTTCGTTGTTATGGTCGTTGTTATGTTGTAAAATTTTAGTCTTGAAAAAACCGGCAATTTATTTGCCAACGGAAATTAATTTATGTGGATTTATTTATCGATATCATCTTCTTCCATATGTATAAATTTCATAACTTATTTTTAAATAGTAATGGATGAGAATTTTTAAATAATGATTATAAAAATAGCTTGACAAAAATTGCTCGTTTTCAACAATCATATCTTAAATTATTAAGATGTCTGTAAAAAGTAAAGATGCTTGGGTTCGAATAATTGATGTTTCCGATTCAGTATTACACTCTAAAGGATACACATTATATAAAGTAACATCCAAAGTATGTTATTTTCTTACATTCTTGTTAAAAACTAAAATTTGAGTTAGAATTATAAGTTTGTGATGAAAATTGATATCCAAGATGCAACAGATGCTTTCAAAAGTTGTTGTGAAGTCAAAATTTTGCAAATTTAAAATCCTTTGGTGTCTTTGTGATTGCAATGGTAATATTCCAACTGTGTTCAAAGCTTCTTGAAAGACCTCTCTGTATGCATCTTAGGATCTATCGTATTTTATATCAATAATATAAGAGTCAATGTTAATTGGAATAGCCAGTCTTTGTAAAAGTTATCGACAATATGTGTTGCACCAAGTTTATTGGAAAAAAGTCTTCAGTATTTTCTGTTCAGCCTTATATTTTCCAAGATTTCTATAACCAGCTATCTATGAATCTCGCTGCACGTCTAGCCGAAGGAGTCTTTCAATCAATGACTAAGGACAGTAGTGTCTAATTAATATTATTATTTTTCATCATGAAATTTAAGTCATTATAATTAAAGCTATTGCTTTGAGATGCTCTAAACAAAAACTCATAACTTGGAAGTTCATTAGATTTTTGCTTAAATTATTGTCGTAAATTAGAGTTTCTTTTTTTTCTTCTTTCAAATTTAACTCCCATGAACGAAATACATAACAGTTTTTTCTATTAATTAAAATATTATCTTTGTTTTTGATCATCATACATTTAAAGGTCCTGTTAAAATAATAATCTAAAAGTGTTAAAATATGTCTTATTTTTTTACTTCTATGATTTTTAATTTCTATGAGTATTGTTGTGTGGTGAACTTAAAACTAAATTCGAATGTCTAGATTATCATTTCTATACTTAAAATCGACAACAAATCTTAAAAATTTTGATTAAGAAAAGGGACACTAAAAGATCGTAATTATCACTAAAAATTCTGTTTTGAATATTATAGGCAATAGAAAAAGAGGAAAAAATAAATTCAGTTAAAAAAAAGAAAAATTTAAAGGTTGTAATTGTCACTAAAAGCCGTTCCTGGGGTGGCGAACGCCTGCGTGCGAGAATAATTTTGTGCGCCCCTATATACTATGCTTAAATATTGATGATAAGGCCAATTTTCATAATCATTTTTAGTTTGAGGTTTAAACTGAATAGTTTTCTTATAGACTAAAGTCACTTTAGTGTAAGTGTTTGATTATGAAAATGGGCGTAATGAAATAAAACAACGAAAAAATATGACAAAAAATTTATTTTCGAAATCAAATAAAATAGACTATTAACGTACAATATAGGTCATAAATAAAACATGTCCATTCGGTAATTAACAAAAAATCTAATGTAACTCAATTCACTCAACTGAGTGAATTGAGTTAAAACTCTCAAACGGCCCTCAACGCAAACAAATCCGTTAACTTGAAAATGTGCAAGATCTGTCTAATACCTAAGTACCTAATTATCAAATAACAAGGTAGTTTTAGAACATAACACGTCTTGCTTTTGCAGATGCAAGTTTCTTCCTGTAATCAAAGTTTACAGCTTTGCTATAATTTTAATTTTTAATAATTTGCTATAATTAGAATTTTTTTTTGAATAGTTGAATTTGGCGCCCCTTAAATTGGGCGCCTGCGTGCGGGGCATTCGCTGCATACCCACCAGGAACGGCACTGACTAAAAGTACCACTTTGAATATATTTTCCACCGGGCTAAAGTCCTGCTCGCCTTATCTTTACAACGGATCTAATTTCAATTTAACAATTTTATAAATTTAAGAAAAATTAAAAATAATTTTGTTTTTATGAAATTTCTCTCTACAGAATATATTTCAAGTGTACATTTATGTAAAATTAAGTTAAAAATAATTTTACATTTTTTTTTATTTTTTCATGTTTTTCTTATTTTAATGAAATAGTTTCTTTTTTGTTGCTATTTCAATAAATACTTCACTTGCATTTTTAGGACTTTTAATCATGGAGTTTTCCCTACTCATTTATATACTTATTTATTCTATTGATGATAATACACATATTAATGAATAAAATATTGCTTTTTGTTGAAATAATTGCTTTTAATGCTAAAATAATTTTCTTTGAATTTTTTTGATTTTTGACTAATTGTATTTTTTTTAATGATTTTTACTGATTGTTTTTGATATTTCATTTATATAATAGTGTTTATAAGATAGATACATAAAATGTAATAGTGCTTATAAGATAGATACTTCTTAATGATCAAAAAAAATCTTCTAACAAGCAGTAAGAACATTCTCAAAGAATATGATAAGTCAAAGATCGCACAAGTACAAAATTGAAATACATTTTATTTTACTAACAGCAAAGGCAAACTATTACACATTTTTTAAAATTGGAAATTTATCTGTTTTTATTAAAATTGTGCACTTTATTAACTAGCTGAACGTTCTTATCACATTTCATGAAAGTACAGTAGGGAACCGATTATTCGGAACGGTTGGGACCATCGCTATTCTGGATAACTGATTTTTCCGGTTTTCTGAATCGCTACAAAAAGCCGTTTTTTTTATTATTGTTAAACCCAACTAAAAAAAAATTTGGAAATAATCTTAAAAATAAGAAAAAACGATGAAGTAATACACTAATGATTATTTCCAAAATGATGGTAAGGTAAGATAAAAGAAAGAAAAATCATAAAATCTTACGAGGAAATTTTTTTTTTTTTAAAAATGGCGAGAAAATTTATCGAATTTTGTTCCGGTTTTTTGGTTTTTCTGATTTCCGGATAACGGGCTCTGTACTGTATATGTAATATTTAAGCAATATTTAATATCTCTGTAGGAGGGTGTGTTAAAATAAACAGTTCAAATAAACATTTACAAATAAACGGTTTTTAAATGATATTTTCAACATAGATTTGCATATTAGAATGATGATTTCAAAAATAAGTATTTATTTATCTTTATCCTATGATTTAATTTTTCCTTATTTTTGTTTCTTTAGATTTTTTATACGTGTACTTGTTAGTCCCTTTGTTGACATTCTGCATACAATATTTTTTTTTATCTCTTTCATACCTGTTACTTCAATTCTCTCCCTATGCCAGATGTCTTGATGGTTCTTCTTTTTTTATCCTTTTTTTTTTGCCTTTCTCTTTCATATTCTTTCCTCCCTCTGTTGTGATGTTATGACCGAGTTCCTTCATTTCTTTGAACCCTTGGTGACCTACCATAAAGTTTTGCAAGTTGGCAACACTTGGTCTTGCCATAGTTATGATGAAAAATCTCAACTGTAAAAGCACATCGCTATGAAATTTAAATATATATGTTTTAAATAAAATTATTAAAGTTAATGATAACTGGTATGTTAAAATAAATGTGAAACTAGGTTGAGAAAATTATTCACAGATAAATATAGTATTTTAGCTTTCATTGCTTATAAAATTTCTACTATTTTGTTTTAGGTATTTCCTAAAAACTCGGTTGAAGCAGTGACTGAAGTATGTGAAATTTTTGATCATTTTTATTAAAAGAAATATTTGAATTTATGAAATTGCTTTAATAATATGGTTTATTTTACAGGTAGTTGTATGGAAGCGCTATAATGATTTTAAAAAGCTTCACAAAGCTTTGAGCACCATACATCAAAATTTACATTTAAAAGGCACATTTCCTCCACTTTCAAAAACACGCTTTTTTGGTAAGTGAACAACAGGGTTGGGTTTTTGCCGTCAAAAAATGGTTTTTGACATGGCAGTGGTGAAAACCGTGTTTTTAGCGGTAAAAACCGTCAAAAACTTACTGTTTTCTTTAATTTATGGCAAATAGCGGACAATATATTATTTTCACTTAATTGCCTTTATAAATGAATGTTGTAAATGATTGCTATTGATTTTGCAACTATATACACGTATTCTTATAGAAGGATATACATTCATACAGAAATATTGTAACATACTTATTGAAAATAGTGATACTTAACTTTTATCATTATAGCTTGCTTTGCAAAGGATTAAAAATTTTGCGCTTCTTAATTGTTAGAAATAAACAAACAAACAAAAATACTTAAAACTATTAATAAATTCAAGAACTAAAAAAAAGAATTTAAAAATCAGCATTTCTTAAATATTAGAAATAAGCTAAACAAAACTTTCAAAACTTGTAACTACTAACAAACTCTAAGTCAGGAAGGACTTGACATTCTTCAGTAATGTAATATGCCAAACAAAATGATGCTTGGAAATGTTGAGAATTTTGTTTAAAATGCAAAAATCTGTTCTTAAATATCTTTTAACAACTTTTTTTCTAATTTCATTGCCCAAAAATGAATTAATTTTAAATTATAAGCAGTTAAACTCAAATTAAAATACAGTTTTATCATAACTATGGGTTTTTGACTGTTTTTGACGTTTTTGACATAACGGTAAAAACCATTGTATAAGCCGGTAAAAACCGTCATGTGTTAAAAACTTGCCAACCCTGGTGAACAAGTATTTGAATGATATAAATTTTTTTTTGTTTAAATTAGAAGATTGAATATCATTAAAAGCAATGACAAGTAATTTTTCTTTTTTATCTTTTATACTGATAAAGTGTTTTTTTTCTTCTTTTCTTCTACATTTAAATTTCTACAGAAGTTTTAGTTGTTTCAAGCAATTTAGTAGCTTAAAATAAAACCAATTTTTGAAAAAGAGAAAGCTTGGTACCTTGTCCAAAGTTAGTTCAGGAAGTAAATTAAAATGTCTAATTTTTGCAAGAATTTGTTATGTGGTCAAAATAGGTTGATAAGTGTGCATCTTTTGATTTTTTGATATTTGCTTAATTCTTGAGTGGTTACTTGCATGAAAAATCACTTTTTAACATGCTGTCTTCTGTGCATTACAAAACCAGTTTTAAAATGCTACTACAGAAAAAAACCCATCAAATTTGCGTTTTTTTTTTTAAAGTGAAGGTTTGAAAGCAAATAAATAGTTACATATTTGCCTCTTACTGTTTACATTCTCTGACGATGAGTTAATTTTTTTTTTTTTATTAATTAGGTTTAATTTTCCTAATGTTTATTAAAAAGCTTAGTATTGTTTTTATAATCTTTAGTCCTCATTGAATTGTTTTTATAGTGTTTAAAAATTTGTATAGTTTTTTTTGATAATGTTTATCAAAAAATTATAAAATTTTTCCTAATGTTTATGTCAGGGGTTTCTAACTTACATGAGGCCGGGGGCCACAATTAAAAACACCAGTCAAATGGCGGGGCGCAACTTTATCAAAATTTTATATAGGCCTTTTTAATTTTTGAAGGAATATTAAATATTACTGTCAGATTTTTATCTAGTTGTACAAAACAAAAGTATTGAATTACAAATAATAATAAATATTTTCTTGGATGCAAAACCTGAGGAAGAAAATTTTTTTTGCACCGTTGGTATGTTAAATTTCACAGAAACGAAGAAATTAGGTTTTTTTAAAGAAAGAAAAGTATTTTAAACACATATAGACTTTTTACGAAAATTGTCCTCAAAAATTGACAACTAATATATTTTAGCTCACTGGCCACACACACACACAAAAAAAAAAAAAATTGGTGGTCCGTGGATGTGGCCCGGGGGCTGCCAGTTTTTAACCACTGGCTCTTTGAACAGATTAAAAATTAATACAAATGTATATTTTTTAAAATTAAAGTTTGTTTAAAAGGAAATAACTGATTTAATTCATTTATTTTTTAAGTATAACTTATTATTATTATTAAGTATTATAAATATAGCTTAAAAAATTATTATTTTTTAGCAGCTTTGAATGATATTAATTTTTTTTTCAATGCAGAATATGAATAATTAAATTAGTATTTTTTCTTTAGTAGTCAAATTCCACCTTAAAAAAACCTTTTGAAAATGAAGAAAAAGTTGTAATATTAGTGTAGCAAATTTTCAGCTTTGGAAAATGTTTTACAGCCTTGTAATTCATCATTATAAGATTCGACTGTAAATTATCCAAAAATATTATCTTAAGTGTTCCAATTCCAAGTTGTCTTGAATGCTTGTTAATATTTGAACATTTTTAACTGTTATTGATAATAATTTTATTAATTAGTATTAGCATTGACTATAGTATTTTGCTATCTAATTAAAATTAATAAACATAAAAAAAAATGTTATAAATAATTGATTTTTGTGTGTACATATTTATTGCTCTTCTTTAACAGGAAGGTTTGAACCAAAAGTTATTGAAGAAAGAAGACAAAGTGCGTTAAATCTTCTTCAATTTGCTGCTAACTCATTTCCTCTGTTTACTAGTCAGATATTTGTTAAGTTTTTTGAGGTATTCATATTTTTATACATTTAAAAATTTTTATTATTATTTTTTTTTTAGTGAGAATGTTAAGTCTTACTCATTTCTAAGTTAATTTACTTCTCAATTTTACATGCCTGTCTGACTTCATCAAACTATATAAAATTAAATGCAATTACTGAAGCCCTTACTTATAAACTGCTAAATTGGTGGTATGGGTATGATGAGTGTAACAATATAAGTTATTAAGGTTGAAAGTGCAACTCATGGATACTAAAAATACTTAAAGGAAGATTTATTTTGTTAGTCACTATCAAAGATGGCCTGCCAGAGTGGCAAACTGATTTATAATTCCCCACTTTTTGTATTAAGGATAATTAAAGAACAGGATTCTCTGGATAGTGAACAATAGGGCAGAAAAATGTACCACTCAAATAACGCATTATTAGGATGTCTACTTATTAGGATTTTTTTAAGTATTTATATTTCTGTCCATTAGTTTTTATATCTTTTCATCGAAACCAAGCCTTATATTTGTGTGTAATCTTAAATATGACACATATACAGTTTAAAATTTCATATTTAAAAATTATTTTTAATTAAAGTTAGAAAAATATTTCTAGTGAATGAAAATAAAAGTTATACAATATAAAAAATTTATGACAAAATTAAATATTAATGTAACATATATTACATTTTTGTAATAGTACTATTATGTTTTTTAACTTAAACGGACACTAAAAGTTACCTGGCTATTTTTTTTAAAATTTAATTTTTATGCACATTTTTATAATCTTTTTATTTTTATGCTAAAATATACTTCTTATTTTATTACATAATGGTAAATCTGAACTCATGATTCTATTAATTTTAAAATGTGTATTTTATAGGAAGGACACGTACCTGATAATTATCAGCAATCTGTACAGATACAAGAATCATCTGTAAATAATATTTTACAGTCTCAGACTTATTTACAGCAATCTTCAAATGAGAGTAAAACAAGTAAAGACAGGTAATGTTATTACTATGATTATCTTATTTTGCTTGATTCACTATATTTAAAAAAAAAAGTGAATAAAGCACACAAGAAAAACAAAGAATTATATTTGAATCCTTAATTTTATTTTGTTAAAAAAATATATGATGTGTTAATTACAATATTAAAATCATTTCTAAACAAATGATATCTTTGCTTTTGTTTCAATAGATTAATAATTTCTTAGATTTTCTTATAAATAGCTTTATGATCAAATAATGTTTTTAAATTTAAAATTGATTTTGTTTCATTTGAACCTACTACTTAAATTTTTTTATATGAGTACATCATGTAATCATATACACCAGATACTCATATACATATTCATGGAATACTCATATATATCTGAAAGAAGCACTTATATATTGACACATATATGAAATTATCTTACAAAAATTTTATACTCATAGCAATTTAGAGTATATATCAAACTCAAGTACTTTCTATTCCATGGAAGATTTTTTATTGCATTTATCACTTTTGTATAGTTTAATCTTAAACCCAGACTTTGAAAGAGTTTTTTTTTATGCTTCCATTTTATTATAAGAAATATGCTCACATTAGCAATAAAAACTACATCAATTATATATAAATTGTAAAAGTTTTAATAAAATTAGATAATTAGAGGTTTTAAAGAGAAGTCTGGTATAATCAATTAGTCTTACATTAATTTTAATTTAATGCATTTTTTTTAAAACTGATTTTAGTTTAGTTCAAGATATTGTTGTATTATTAAAATTCTATTTTGAACTTAAATGTTGCCTGCACTAATTAATTAGCATATTTGAGGACAACCCCTCAAACCATTTAGATTGAATCGTGAAAGTTAACGCGTGAAAGTCTGATCATTATATCAAAATGGTACAGAGTGGTTTATTTTCGTTTTTTTTCCCTCCACAATGTACAGTACGCCAAGTAAAAAGATGAACACCTTTTGAACACAGATTTTCATGTAGTGGGGGTTCAATCTTAATGGTTCAAGGGCTTAACCTAAAATATACTAATTGATTAGTACAGACCATATTTCAAGTTCAAATATAGTCAGAATAATGTACTTTCTCTGAATAAACATACCTTTTTTAAGGGAATTCAGATTACTGACCCTAAAAACATCGGTGATAGCACAATCTTGAAAATATGATTCCAATAGTTAGGACTTAAAATGTCAATTTTACTCTTTAAACTGCACTGATGAAGGTTGCCCTTTGAGCATCCGAAACAGCTGTCTGCTTTCTTAAATTTTTTGTGCTCTTAAACGTTGTTTTACCTTACTTTGTATTCCAGCACAAAGTTCGCCCTTATGTGTATTTACCATGAATTCTAAACTTTTTGTACACAATTATAAAATTTGTTTATCCAAATGTAATTAAAAAAAACGCCTTTTTTAATAATTTTTTATTTTATTTATTAATAGAAGAAAAGGTTTCGAATTGTAAGGTTTGAATATTTTTACATCATTTTAAGGAATGTAATTTGAAATCGTAAAATTCAAAATAAAGAGGAAATTGGTCCAATAGTTTCTGATTTATCAAATTTTTAAAAAATTGTAAATTAAAATTAATTTATCAAGAACTATTCAACCGTGTCATTCAAATTTAGTACTTTGCCATTTAAAATTACATTCATTAAACTAGTGTAAACATTTGTATACCTTATAATTCAAAGATGTTCAACTATTATTTATGTTTATAATTAATTTTCCACTATTATTAATGTTATAAGTATAAATGTTATATAAATGTTTATAATTTAAAAATTTTTAAATTATTATTAAATAAAATAATAATTATGATAAATAATTATTAAAAATTATTTTTTCACATGGAATTATCTTTGAATAAATAAATTTTATAATTGTGTGCACATATTTTTGAATTAGCTTAAAAAGTCACTAAGATATAAACAAATATGCAAAAAGTAAAATAACATGAAAGTGATCTCAATCACTCTCTTAGCCAACTATTCGGACTATATTTTCTGCCATCACCCATAATTTGAGGGTCAATTATCTGAACCTGTCTGAAAAGAGTAGGTTTATTCATTTTTGTCTTTTATCCTATAACTTAAAATGTTATATGCACTAATTAATTAGCATGTTTAATCTTAGGCCCTGAACAATGAAGATCAAATCTTAGTACATAAATGTCGGATCATTGAATCAAAAGTAATTCAAGGTGTTAATTTTTTTTTGTACACTGTACATTCTCTCTTATTATTTAAACAACAACAAGGTATAAAGGTTGAATAATATGGGCTACACAACTGAATTCTGTGGTGCTTGTATTATATTAGTGTTGCACCCATACTAGCTGAGTTTGAATCATAAGAAAATCAATTATTATCACCTAACTAAATGAAATCCTACAAGTTGTTTTGTTTTAAAAATAGGTGCATCAAATTTGATTTTGTTTTAAAATTAGCTCTTTTTATTTAATGCTAATCTGTAAGCATGTATGTTTTAAACATGAGTTTCATATGAATTTGTTGATTTTGTCTGTCTTTATAGTTCTTGTGAACAAGATGATTTATTAAGAGACACGAGTACTAGCCTAGGAGGAATCTGGCAACATCACCAGGTATCTGATACCATTAGTCTCAGTTCCCAATGCACTGACGATGATGACCGGACAACTTTCACGGATGACGATAGCATATTATCACGACCTTCTCTTAGCATAGCTGAATTTGATCCTTTAATGCAAACTGATAGTGCCATTTCAGAACTTGATAAATCTGTATCAAATAATATTAATTTATGTAATAGCTGGTTGTTGTCAGCTTTGGAGACCTGTAATGAAGCTACAGCTGATAAAGATCATGAAGTTATACCAGAATATCCCACTCCATTTGGAGAATTTGATTTCTTGGAAACAACAACTACAGCTTCTAATAAAAGTTTAAGCCATAAAGATTTAAAAACAGGTTCTTGTTTCATAATTCCAATTTTATGAATATTTTTCATTTATTAATCTCTATATCTTTTCAGTTAAATATTTTAACTTTTTTTAAAAACTCGGTGTAGTATGTAAAAGTATTTCCAATGGCATAAAATACAATGCTTATATCCATATCAATACTAGAGCTCCATTAAATCATTTGGCTTGGAAACTAGGCTTGTTATAACTATGCCCATATTTAATTCAATAATTTTTAAATTGAAATTTTCCTAAGTATAAATTTATTATTCGTCATTTTTTTGTGATTTCTTAATACCCCTTTCATTAACTTATTTAATGATCGTTAGATTCAGTATTATTTCAATTTGACAGACATGTAACAAAACACTAATATCTAGACACTTGCCTAAAGTTCTGTAGTCTAAAAACAAAAAATTGTGTTAAACATTTAATGTTTCAAAACATTCAACAGATAAATACATGTTGATTAGACATTTTAGAAATCCCGATTAATAATTTTTTTAATGTCGATAATAAACTAACTATAGGTTTATTTTTTAATCACGTTAAGCTCTGTAGTTAAAGTTTAAGGAAAAGTCTAGTAGATAGGGCTAGGTGTAGGCATCCAAACTTGGTATGGATCATCATTAAAGTTGGAAATTTCTTATGTGTCTTTTTAGTAAACAAGTATATATAACAAGCAAATATAACAAGTTTTTGCTAACAATAAGCCCATAATTCAATTATGTTTTTTGCCTTGTGAATATAAATAAATTTCAACAAATGATTAAGTTTTTTTGTGTTGTTACTAGATACCATGAAAATGATAAGATATTTTATCAAGCATTATGAAAAGTATAAAGGCTAAAAATAAAAACTCCTTCTAGTTTTTGTTTTGTATTGCATCACAAGCTTATTTTGTTAAAAACAACATGTTTATATCTCTTTGTGTGCTCTACATTGAAAGATATTGACACTGGGGATACTTTCTCCTTTTTTTTTTGTATTGGAAAGCAAGTCAGGGTATGGCCGATGCTGGGCCTAAGATTTAAAAAAAATTGGATCAAAATACAATCAATTTGTGATTACTCAAAATATATTTCAAACATTTATTTTATTAGGTCCTAATCTTTTTACGTTCAATTTCATCTTAATTTTCATCCTTTGACTTGATTTCTTTTAAAAAACAGTTAATTTGTACTTAAAAGAACAGAAAAAAAATTCTACGATTTAAAATTTTATTCTGAAATTTTTACCATCTTTTGTAATTGCTATACATTGTATAATAAGACCATTCTTAGACTTAACAGCACATGTTATATTAGAGTGGAAAGGGTTAAATTCATATTAATTAACGCCAAAGAATATCTGAAGATGTAACAATATCTGAAGATTTTTAATTTATTTTGAATCATTTATTTAGCAGTCATTTATTAGCAATTTATTAATCAGAAACATTTATTTTGGAAACATTGATATTTTGTTTAAAAGATGATAAAGAGATTTTTTCATTCAAAATTATAATCTAAAGTTTTCACCTGAAATAATTTTCTGAAATTTTTTTTTTTAGATTCAAATAAAAATTTCTTTACATTTGAATTACCTACACCTAAAGTTGAAGAAAATGAGTCAGTTATTTCTGAATTCGACCCATTATCAGATGAAAAAAAAGATTCACAAAATAATGAAGAAGTTTATGTTTGTGACGAATTTGCAATGACACCAGATGCTTATCAAACTGAAACTACAAAAAGGCCTTCATATATTGTACTTGCTGCCAAATATGTAGAATCTGCTCAAGTAGCTGAAGAATCTCAAAAATATATGGATGCATTTGACTCATATAAGAAAGCTATCGAAATTCTTCTTCAAGGAATTCAAAGTAATTCATTAATCATTTTAAATTACATAGTTAAGAGAAATATTGGATAAAAAAAATCTGTAAAAATTCGTATTAATGAGTATAAGTACTTTTTTAACTTAAAAAAATGCTTTTTATTAAAATTTTTTATTTCTTGAGAAGTATAGGGTGGCTACAAAATACTTTTACAAATATTGTACAGATATTAAATAGAAAATGATAAATACACAAATATGATGAACACTGTAAATGAAAGTTTACCTTAAATTTTTTTTTATTCGAATCAACTACCCCCTTTATTGATTATTAAAGATGATCTCTTAAGCTGTTGTCTAATGGCGACACAAATCAATTTAAGAGTAATTCTATTTCAGAGGAATCAATTTAAGATTTATGCAATAAAGAAGCTCTGAGAGAGTCCAAACTTCTGTGCTGCTTAGCATTAACTTAAGATTCTAGAATCCCCCAAGCACATTAGTCTAAAGGATTTAGATCTGGTGAAGAAGGGGGCCAATTTTCTTGTTTGATAAACTTCGGACAATTGTTATGGAGCCAAGCCTGTGTTGTTATGTCTCAGTGCGATGATGTAGAATCTTGCTTAAATATCCAGTCCTTTTTGGGATACAATTTGTCAGCATGTGGCAATAAATGTGAAGCCACTATTTTCTTTTTGTAATATTCAGTATTGATTTTTACTCCTTTATCGATAAATTTTAGAGGTAATTTTCCGTTTATTTGACACTGCAGCCCAAACCATTACAGTATTCTTGTTCTAAAAGTGTTGTACAGTTGGAACAGTTTCAGGTGCACCATCGAAGGTTGCTGAATACACAACATTATTTTTACCATCATAACTTTGTTCAGTGCAAAATATTTTCAGAAAATATTAGTAGAAAAGATATATTAGTAGAAAAGATTATTCTGTCAATATAGAATCAGAAAAGATTATTCTGCCAATACTTTTGCTACTATGCCGGTTCAGCAATATGTTATATCTTCGTAATCTTTTTAATTTTTGTGCTGTTGTCAAACCTTGATCATTTCTTTTACGATAAGGACAAATACACAGGTTTTCATTTAATATAACTTGCATAGTTTTCCAATTCACGTTCTCTTCTGTAATCATTTTATTAGCAGAACATTGTGGATATCTTCATATTTTTTTCACACATTATTTTAATGCTCTCTTTTGTGCGACTGAGCATGGACAACTAGATCTGGGTTGATTTTTACAGCTATTAGTATCCAATGATTGATTTATAGTTCAATGTATAAATATCATATTAAACCCAAGAGAATTTAATTGCTTAAGGATTCCACCTGCAGAAAATCCACGATCAAAAAGCTGTTTAGCCATCAACCTTTTCGATTCCATCTTGAACCTGATTCTAAATATTTTGCTTTAAACAAAATTCGTCCATACTTATAGAAAGTGCCACTCACAGGAATAGGGCAAGAACAATTGTTTTACCGAACAATTAAAATTAATTCCGATTTTTTGAAGTGTTTAGTAGCCACCCTGTAGTAGTATTTAATTTCTTCTAAGTTTATATTTTAGCCTGAAGAATCTATATAATACTTTACCTTATTATCAAAAACATTTTGGATGATTATTAAATTAATTACCAAGAAGAGGTAAATAATAGTAATTTCTAACTTAGTTTAACAAACTTTTAAAATTATGTTAGAATTCATAAATTATGCTTATTATTTTAGAATTATGGTTAAAAATGTAAAAAAGGCAATTCCATGGTCACTGACTATTTGAGAATTATGATTAAAAATGTAAAAGGGCAATTCCATGGCCACTGATATTACATTTTGGTAGGTTTTTCTTATTTTTTAACATTTTTTTATTAATTAATATTTAATAATTTTTAAAACAAAATATATAGGATATTTTTTAATAGCCTAATGTTATGTGTTATAAGAAAAAGGGATTAAAATTATAATATATATATATAGAACATTATATAGAAGGGACATGGAGTAAAGCATTATATTTTTAATTTTAAATTCTATTTTATCTCTCAGAAATAATGTGATTATTTTTTAAAAAATTTATTTAAAAAAAAAACAAATTGACAGAAAACATTAAAAGCATACAAAAAATGACATATAGAAAGTGGCAAATAGAATAAAAGCTCCAGTGACTCATGTTACAATTTTTGAAAGATGTTACAAATATAAAGTATATCAAAAGTATAATAAACATATTTTATTATTCTTACAAAATACTTAGATATAAAATCAAAATTTTTAGTTTTTATGATAGTTATTAAAAGCTAAGAAATTTATTAATGAAGGGTTGCAATAAATTTTTTTTTGTTATGTTGTCCTTTGTATCATGAACTTTACATGACAACTCGGTGCCTTGAACATTGAGACATAATAGCTCCAAAGATAGTAAACATCTACATAATTTTATAACTGACAATCATGAGACTGGGCAAATTTTTTTTTTTAATCCAATGATTGCATTTCTTACTTTCAATACATTTTAAAAGATGCTAATTCTTGAAATATATTTAAGTTTAGGGAAAACGTATCTATAATTTTTATTACATTATTAGTTGAAATTTTGATAATCTACCTATATTAAACTTTAGTTACAAAGTGAGAGGTTTTAATTTTCAACGCATATTTAAGAACATATAGATACACTAATAAAAATTTTCTAGTTCTCATCAGATATTTTTCTATTCTGGTAAATAAAAGAAATATTAAGTTTCTAATAAAAACTTGTAGTTTTGGTCCACCTGTTGTTGATGCCAAGAGAAAGAAAATAATACAAAAGTCACCCAATTTCAGAGAAAGGATAAAATATTATATTTATAAGTATTTCACTTTTATTATTTTTGATTTCAGATAGTATGCATAATTTTAATTCATTATAACTATCAAAACAAATCTACATAATGTATTTTAACTAATATTTCCCCCTGAAACAGAGGATAAGTGTTCTGATCTGAAAGATGCAGTTCGAAAGAAAGTTCTGTTGTATCTTATGCGTGCAGAGGAATTGTATGAAAATAAGCTTCCCAAAAATGAAATTCAAAAATCTAAAGTAAGTATACACTTATATAGTCTATACTCTTTAGTATGACTCTTATATTTCAACCACTCATGCATAAAGTTGCATTTGCTATTACATAGATGTAATGCTATTTTAATGTCCATTTGATTGTTGCCTTCAAAATATTCTTTCCAATATCGGGGCTTGCCACCTTGCTAAATGCCATAAAATCGTAAATTCAGTGAAAAAATTGTGTTTTAGCGAAAGATTTTTTCTACCAAAAAGAAAAATATATATTCTCATCAATCCTGAAAAAAAGGTCAAATGGAATTTTTTTGAACAAATCCTGTACTTTTTTATTCGATTACAGTCATTTCCGTTCTATATGTCCTATGACCAATTTGAATTATATTAAGTCCAGATAATGTAATTAACAAGAGAGATTATGTCAGCATGAGACAAGTTGCTGTAAAATACAGATTATCACGCTTGTTGCCGAATCACCCGATATCATATGAAATTCCCCCCCCCTACAGTTTGTGTTAATAAAACAGATCATGTGGTAGCAAGATGCATATTATCATCCTAATATTTTTGCAGAAAATTTATTTTTTGGTGACAATAGCATAATTTTGCCTAAGGTTTATCCTTATATTACTGCTCTAGTCTAAGAAGTTATCAAAAATTAACAAAACCCATTCCTATTTCTTTCTTCAACTGAAAAATGACTCTTTATTAGAATTTGCATTTTATAAAATAATTCAATTTATAGTAAATTTGTATTTTGATTAGAAGTTTTCTATGTTAAAAAATCAATCATAAGAATTTAAAATTTGCCTTTGGCTAAGAATTTTGAAATTTGGCTAATACTTTTGGTACATGGCTAATTCATTGTCTAATAATTTGAAAACCTTAGGTTCCGAATATAGTGACCAAAATGTAGCCATTTGATTTAGAAAAAGTTTCTAAGGTATTAATTTAACCATTATTTCTAAAATAAATGTAACACACCTCAAATCCCCTTTGAATGAAGAAAGACATGATCCTCTCAATTCGTATCCTAAGCAAAGAATATATAAGTGAGAAGAAGACCAGCTCTCATAGGCCCCCATGTAAACCTGTTCCGGAGGCAACGGTTTCCTTCATCGAGGTGTGGAAGTATTGCTAGGAAAACAACCTGCCTCCTTACAGAGGGGCTCCCTCCGTCATTACCCAGTAAGCAATCCCATTCCTCTCCGCTCCCAACAAACACCTTTCTCCTTGTTTCTCCCCACTCATGTAAACAGCTAATGAAAAGTGACTCAAACTCCGTCTGCTTTTGTTCTTTACAGACTAATATGGTTTTGAAAAAGGTTTACTTATTAAATAAGGAAAATATTTACTTGTGACGAATTCATTAAAAAATAAATATAATTTATTATTTAAACATAGGTGTATAATTTAAATAGATATCGGTCACCTGAAGATGGTGAAAAATTAGTTGTTAAACAAATTTAGAGACGCTATGATGGTTGAAAAGTGTGCGTATGCATCGGCTCAAAAAGCTTTGGCGCTTTTCTTGTCATGCAGAGGGACCTTGCTGGCCCCTGCTATGTATCGGAGAAGCTAGACTTCTTCTCACATTATATATTCTTTGTCCTAAGTGGTCGTAATTTGTGGTCATTCATAATCTCTGTAACTTTTTTTTCAAAGGAAACAATGCATTTAGAAATAATAATTTTCTTTCCGAAAATTTTATCAGGTAATTATAATTAGATAAGTAATTTTCCAGTTAAAAACATGATTTTTGGAGTTATTAGGACTTATGTTAATTACCAAAGATGGCAGTCTCTAACTAGCATATAATTTTTAATGCATTTTTCACCAATGAAGTCTTGTTTTAAAGAGTCCTTTTATGTGCATATTAAAATAGAAAAAGTTGCGTTAATACCAATTTTTCTGTTAAGTATATCATTGCATTGCTTTGTTAAAATTGATTAAATATTTTTTATGCTTTGAGTTAATATATACTGTATTTTTGCACACTCATGATATAACAACCTCATGTTATGTCTGTTTTTTGCCTGAACCGTAAGGGTTGCTGTATAACTTATTTTACCATTTCTTTGTTAGGTTAATTCATCTCATTCTGCACAGTCTTTGAGCAAAATAGGAAGTATTCTTGATAACATTGACCAATTGAATAAATACAAAGTAATTGGGATTCTTGAAAAAACCGTACTTGTCTTGGATACTACATGCAATGAAACATTTGTTGCTAAGGTAATAAGATTGAAAGTGCTTTTTTAATTGTTCAAACCTATAATTTATTTGCCTCATTAAATATTTCATATGTTTCACTGCTAAAATATTGTGCAATTTTATAAAATGTAATATTAATTAATCACTTATGATTTTTTTTATTCGTGAATTTTTTTAACATATTAATTTTTGAATGAATTTTATTTTAATATTATCCTTATTGCTATTACTTAGTATACTTTAATACACAATCGCAAAATGTAGTGGTAACCACATTTGAAAACATTTTGCTTAATTTGTTATTCTGACAAAAATGTGTTTTTCTATTTTTCTATTTTCAAATAGATTTTCAATCAATTCAACTTGAAAAATTACTGATAATGTTTTATTTTTTGTAAATTTTGTTTAGAATTTTTTCCCCAGAGTTTTACTTTTCGTATTATCTAAATAATGTTCCAAATCTCAAAACTAAAGTTTAACAATTAGCTAAAATATTATTAATTATGTAATATTTATTATATATATTTATTTCATTGGGACATAATAGCTTTATCTAAGCAATGTCACATGCAGTCCTTGACAGTTATTAGTTTTAAAAGTATTTTAAAGATGAAAGCTCTTATGCTCTCATCAATAGAAAAACCTAAAATTGCTGTTACAAAAGTGGAAATCAAGAACATTTATTTCTTAACAGTTATAGCAATTTTGAGATATAATATTGACAACAAGATTCAAAAATACAACTTATTACTCATCTCACCATTGCTATACACTCTTCATGAGCCAGTGTACTCTTAAAAATCATTCACTTATAATATTTTTTATCAATCTTAGACATTTTAGTTATAAACCTAATGCTGCATTTAAAACTTTCTTTTATATACCAGAATTTTTTTAAATTTTATTTATTAATTTAGACTCTGTACAAGACTTCAAGTGATGGTACAAATTACAGATATCCTATTGCACCAAAGAATGTACCATTCATGGTCAAACTTCATCACATCTATGAAAGTAGCTATGCAATATTTCTCATTCTGGAACATGCCACTGGTGGGCGATTATGGAATTATGTGTGTTCTTTCTTTCAACGTAAACCTTTATCACCTGTTGAAGATGGCACTTGCATACAAGGAGAATCTAAAAGCAAGGCAGATTTTTGCAATGTATATTCAGGCAAGAAAGTGTCTGAGAATCAAGATCCACTTTCATCTGATACTGTGACACCTGTTGATTCAGATCTTATTCCATCTGAGCAGTGTCCTTCTAGTTACATAGCCTTGTTCAAAAAATATGCTGATTCTGTTAATCAGGAGGACAATGTATCATTTGCTAAATATCATAAAACTTCTCTCCAAGAGAAAAAGAAAAGAACAGTTTCAGTTGAAGTGAGTAAATTTTTACTAGAGTCCCCATTGATTATTAAAATCACAGTCATTTTAAGGATATTTGATTTTATAAACTGGCTGGTTTTATAAACTGACAAATCTACCATTAGGGAAAAAAAAAGGATTTTAATGTTTAACTTCAGAAATATACCTAAGGTTAAATTAATTGTTGCATTTATATATATATTTTTAATTAATATTACTACATTTTTTAATTAAAATTGCTAATTTTTTTTTTTAAATTTACAGAAGGATCTCAAAATATTGACATGCAGTTAGTTTTGTAAAATTCGAAACTGAAGGTTCAACATTATTTAAAAGTTTATAACAGGGTGCGTAGCCAAATCCTTGAATCAAAAATAAGCACTTTTTAAAAACTTTTCAAGCACTTTACAAAAATTTTCAAGAACTCAAAAAATTCATATTCAATCAGTGATATCATTGAAAAACAAGAACTTTTTATAAACAGTTTTAGCGTTAAAAAAAACCCCAAAAAGAAACAGACGTAAATCGAAACAATCAGTACTTTCCCACATCATCGAGTGAATTCAACTTGACCCTGAACTCAGAACAAAAGTACCCGTACCCCCTACGTCAAAAAAGTGTTAGAAGTAAAGTAAAATAAACAATAATAAAATTAAAATAAATTAAAAAGAAAAACATTTCATAAGGATCTGATATTCTCCATCCGAATTTGAGCACTCGGGTTTCGGTTTCAAGTGTGCGTATATGCGCAAGTCATAACGTGTAACGACATGAAGTCCGCGTGAATGACTACAGAGCAAACACCCCATTTTTCGTGAAATGCATAGGATCCACCAGATATCACTGAAGGGAAAAAAAAGCACTTTTTAAAAACGCCAGCTGAAAAATGCACCTTTAAAAGCTTTTAAAAACGAAATCCCCAAAAAAGCACCTTTAAGTACTTTTTACAAACGCTATGCACCCTGTTATAAGCACATCCTGATTGGATATGTTCTGGTACTTTTTATAAAACCAGTCGTCCTAAAGACAAATCTACTCTTAGGGGAAAAAAGATTTTAATATTAAACTTCAGAAATATACTAAAAACAAATCTAATAACTGCATTTCTAAATATTTTTTCATTAATAGTTCGACATTTTTTAATTAAAAATACAAATTTTTAAAATTTATTAAAAAGTCTTAAAATATTGGCATATTGTTGTTAGATTAGTGAAATTTGAAATTCAAGATTCAACATTGTTTGTAAGTTTATAAGTTATCATAACATTCAATTTCACATTAATTTAAAAAAAAATTGAATACATTTCTTATCTATCCTTTGATTCCTAAATTTTACTGTTTAGGCATTTTCTAAGTGAACAAATGCAACACAATATTAATCTTAACCTTCATTCGTAATACAACATAAGCAAAACTATTTTAAAATTGTACAAGGGCATTCTGGGTCTACTTTTTTTTGTTTGATAAAGTAACTAAAAAGAGTAAACATACTTTAGCTGCATGGTTTTTCTCATAGAAAATGTAAGGTATTGTTTGACTTAAATATGAATTCCTTTTGAACCCTGCTGTCTGCTGTGGTTGTGCTTAATGATTTGTGATGGTCATTGTATCATTGAATGCTGATGGCCAGACAATAATTTTTCCTTATTAGGAGCTTTCTTTTGGATTTTTTTACACTTCCCTCCCTCACTTTCTGTTTAACCTTTCAAAGACTTGTAGTCCACACACGTTCATGAGTGGTGGAATTGAATTTATTTTCTATTACTTCTCATCTTTTAAAACTTGAGAAAAAAAAATTCTAATTATTTAGGGAACATAGATCAAAAGTTTTTTTTAAAAAATTTTAAAGCAACCAAACTTTTGACATTATTAAATGGTAATCATGATTTTATTAAAGGATGATTTTTTTAGCATGCTTTGATATTGTAAAGATTTTGTTCTAGTGGATTTGCTTTTTAAAAGTGGCTGATTTTATAATCCAGTAACTTTATCTGTAGTGATTGCTGTAGTAACAGCGGCTTTGTTTTTCATCAAAAGAAAAGGTATTTCTTTTAAGTGAAAAGTGTAATTAAAATAACATGTTGTTATAAAAACGAACAAAAGACATAAAATTGAAATAATTTTTTTACATTAGTAATTTTTTTGAAATAACTGATTGTTTACATAACATGAATAAGTTAAAATTCGCCTTCAAGTATATTAAGAGAAAGAGACATAAATTTTTGTCTCTGCAATGCTCATACAATGTTTTATTATTATTTTTAAATTTCTGGCACTTTTTATTTAGAAAGTTATCATTATTTGATAAAATTATCATTGAATATCAATATTTAAGCAGTTCTTGCTTATCAGAGTAAATAATGTTTTGCCACCAATAACATTGAGTAATTCATAGAACTATCTATTTCTATGAGCTTTGTCTCTTTCTACACCATGGCTGTTTTAACAGCATGCTTTTTTCTTATATTTAGAACAACGTATTCTGCCAGTATACTAAATATATGCAATGTCAACCTGTGTTGTTAAAAAAAAAAAGAAAGTACAAGTAAAAATAAATCAGATGTTTCAGCAAAGAGGTTTATCATTCTAGAGTACTGCAATTTTTCAGTTATCGGTATGTGATCAACTTCAAAAGTTATTGCTTCTAATGAATAGTTTTAAAAGTCCTTCATTGTTGCTATTTTTAAAAAAGTTTTTCATTTCAGGAGCTACTTAAAAGAAATTATTTACATACAAATAAAAACATTAAAATTACCCAATAAAAAAAGCCAACATGTGTCCCTGTAAATTTAATAATGATAGTAATACCACTATTCAGATTAAAAAGAAAGGTAATTGCATACAATTGTTTAATCGATTCTCATGAGAACAATTAAAGTGAATGTGAAGTTGTGCTAAAGATGGATATGTCCAGAATGGAACTACGTACAGTAGTACACAGGTAAGGAAAAAATAGCTGTGAACAAATTGGGTGAAAGTTTTCCTGAGTTGGTTTAAGTTCTCATGATTGGCTCTACCAAAACCAAAGAAAGAAAAACACCCTAACTTTTACAGAAACCATTGCTATACTATTCATGAAATGATTTGAAGTAATCAAAGATGTATGACATCTATGCAGAATTATGTCTTAAATAAAAGAATAGTACAATCATCATTTTACTTCTGTACAAAGTTCTTGTTAGAAGCAACTATCTTTAGTTGTACTTTACATTCACTTTAAATGGTCTAATGCCAACTGGTTAATCTTTGTGCAATCTTTTTTGAAAATATCCTACCTTCCTTTATAACCCTGAATGGTGTATCTGCTATCGATATTGTATTTCTCATGCAATCACAAGTGTTTACTTTTCATTTCGGCAAAACACATAGATATCTAAGTTGAATATTTTCCACTTCCTTTATGTATTGTATAATTGTTGCGAATAGTAATAACAATAACGATTTATTGTTAGAAAGAGCTTCTAAAATTAACTTTTCATAGAGACAAACCTCACTACTAAGTATTGTTTAAAATTCAGATGTAACGCTTTCTCTGTAAAATTTTTGTGATGTGGACTAAAGTTAAATCAAAAAGCTTTATGTTAATCTATGGCATTGTTAAAAATATTTGTAGGATACATCTTTCCAGCAAAGTGCACTTCATAGTAAAAATATTAGAAACAGATTATCATCTTCAACCGGCAGTCTTGAGATAGGTTTTTCACAAAAAGCATGTTTGTTGGATGCTTTCAAAGCTATGGATGATGCTATCTCACAAGCATCCCCAAAATCATCACTATTACCTGAATCCTGTGTCGTACTGTGGGCAGCTGAGATAGTATTAGCCTTTGAACATTTACACAATTTGGGAATTATCTGGATGTAAGATGGTTTTCTTTTTCTTGTTGTGCAATAATTGTCACATTTATGACTTAAATTATGTACATAATACTTTTTTTCTTTCATTATTAGGGATTTTCATCCAAATAATATTCTGCTTGGAGATGGAGGTATGATGTGCCAAAAAACAGATGTTTTTTAAGATTAAGAAATACTAAACTGATTACTTATTCAACTGAAATATTTATAATGATATATATATTACAAATAATTATTTTTAGGTCACATTTTACTCACATACCAGAGCCAGTGGAATTCTGTAGATGTTGCAATAAATGAAAAAGCAAAAGAAAATTTATTTTGTGCACCTGGTGAGAATAAAATATTATTAATATCTTCTGGTTAAGAATAAAATATTATTAGACACATTACAATAACTTAAATTATTATTTTTCAGAAATTGGAAATATCTTTCCAGTAACCAGTGACTGTGATTGGTGGAGTCTGGGAGCAGTTCTTTTTGAATTGTTAATTGGACAGGTAATTCAAACACTCATTAAGGAAATAATTTTACTTATCCCTTTCTTTAATGTACAATAATTTTATTTTAATTTTTGTTTCAGTCCTTAGTGTCCTGCCACCCCACTGGTATAACAAGACACACAATACTAAATTTTCCGGTAGATATCAGTTTAGATGCCAAAGATTTTATTACAAAGGTATAATTTGTTTAGAATTGTTGTTTTTAAAATTAGAGTTATCCCAATGCAGTCGTAAAACTTTAATAAGTCGTAAAACTTTAATAAAATTTTTCTATTTACTAAAATTATTCCTATAACTTTTTCTTTGTATATTGTTTTATATATTAGTAAAAAAATAATAACTACTGATATCTAACAAAAAAAAAAAAACAACTTTTTCAAGAGTAATCTAGAAATTTTCTTTACATAGTAATACAGTTTATAAATATTTTTTAGAAATTTTTTCTTGTTAAATTCAGTTTAAATTTTTGAAAACATCTTAATTTTTCATAATATTTCATATAGGTGTAGGATGTTCTAATTAAATAATAAATAAGGTATTTTTTTAAATTTTTTGTAACAGAATAAATATTTTTATTGATATTGTTGAGGCAGAGACTTTTGGTTTTCATATAAAAGGTAATTAATATTACAAATTTAAGATTTTTCAACATTTACTTTATAAATATATCTCCTACCTGTTTGTATTTCTTCATTATGTTACTGTTCTTTCAATTTCAATCCATGAAATATTATTTCGTTGGGTTAAAAAAAAATACAGAACATTTTTGTGAGCTTAACTTGTAGATTTATTACAAACTTGTAGATTTATTATACTTAAACATTTTATGCTTTAGTATATAAAGTTGATAACATATGAAGAATAAATGAAATAGATAATAAAGGAGACCGGCAGTAGTTTTGGTACAATAATAATAACCACTATCAGTAGTAAAGCACAAAATGTAGACAAATCCAACAAAATCAATCAAAATAGATCAAGAATTTAATCTATGAAAATTGTGAAATGAAAAGGTGACAAATAGATAAAAAATTCCTAAATGTTTAAAATAAAAGAAATACTAGACTATCATACCATTAATATTCTTTAGAATATGAAAAGGTTCCCAAAAATTCAAGTCCACAGATGAAGAGCAGTAATAAATGAATTCAGCTGAAAAAATGTCGAACTAATAATTGGTTTGTTAACAGTGTTAAATAATGAAGAACTTTGATTTCGTATATATCTTTCATGACCCATACTTCAAAGGTTTTTTTATTTCCATGACATAAAGGGGAAAAAAGACATGAACAAAAAAAAAGTCAGTGTCTCATCTCATACTTTAAAGTTTAGCTTGGTAGACCAAACTAAACTTCAAAGTTTAGTTTGGTAGAAATTTCTCACCTTCACAAGATGGTAGGTCAGGGCTGGCGAACCTTTATACACCAACGTGCCATTTTTTCTAAAAATTTGTTTAATGAGGTCATAGACGTGCCGTCAAATAATTTTGACTTCGTGATTATTGGGAAAATAATAATATTAAATACTATCAACTCAAAACTCTTTATTTACATTGAAAAAAAAAAACATTTCCAATGTCTCAGTTATATGCGTAATTCAACTTAAAGTAACATCAGAGTGTGACTTCTGTTGTTGCAGATTAGATGACAAATAACTTATATTAGGTTGTTGCTGATTTTAGATGTTAGTTTAAGCAGGACTGTTAATTTTTTTTGCTAGTTATTTATTGTTAGCTTGTTTTTTATGGTTATTAATTGTTTTTTAGCATTAATAGTTAATTTTTTTATTAATAATTGTTTATTATTTTGTGTGTTTTTTGTGAATTTTAATTTAATTGTTACATATGCTTCATAGTGTAATAACAATTTATAGTGTAATAACAAATGAGAACGGTGGGGTGCCCAGAAAATTGTGTCAGGTGCCATAAATGGCACGCGTGCCATTGGTTCGCCATCCCTGTGGTAGGTTATACAGTAGGGAACCGATTATCCGGAACGATCGGGACCATCGCTATTCCGGATAACTGATTTTTCCGGTTTTCTGAATCGCTACAAAAAGCCTTTTTTTTATTGTTATACCCAACTAAAAAAAAAAAAAAAATATTGGAAATAATCTTAAAAAGAAGAAAAAACGATGAAGTAATACACTAATGATTATTTCCAAAATGATGGTAAGGTGAACATCTTCCAAAAAAGAAAGAAAAATCCTAAAATCTTATGAGGAAAAAAAAATTTTTTTTTAAAAAATGGCGGGAAAATTTATTGAATTTCGTTCCGGTTTTTTGGTTTTCCGATTTCCGGATAACGGGTTCTGTACTGTAATAATTAGGGAATTTGATAAAAATCCAAACTATTTTTGCGAGCAATAGTGAAGTTAACCTTATTAAAAGAAGAAAAATATCTAAAATAAAAAGTTTTTTAAAATTTCTATAAGTTGAGGGCAAAGATAATATTTTTTTTTTCAAATTAAAAAATTTAATTTCACTAATGTCAAAGATTGTATTGCTGACAAAAATAGATGAGTTATTTACTGCATTTCGAGTTAACATGAGCTTTCATACATTTGGTTGAATCTTAACATAGGTACTATACTTAGTTTTTACATTTTTAAAATTTTTCAAAACTGAAATTGATAACATTATGAAGTAAATGAGAGTTTTAAATAAAAAATATTATCAATTATATACATCTAGTTGTATGTATTGAATTTCAAATAATTCTTTGAAAGATTATTTCTTTCTTTCAAAACTATGCCTCCTTTTTTTCTCTGGAATAAATTCTTCAACATTTAATTTTAGAATCATTCAGTGTATCTTCTAAAGCTTAGTGTCAGAACAGACTAAATGAAGAACATGAAAAAGTTGAAATAAATTCATGTTCTGTTCATAAAATGTATAAAAAATTAACATCTAGCAACACCTATTGAAGTTTAAGCAACTTTTGAAAGATTGTTTCTTTCTTCTTGAAATATGTCTTCTATCTTTCTCTTGGATAAGTTCCATGGTTTATCTCTGAATCATTCACTGTTTCATAAAAAACTTAGTGGAAGGACATGCTAAGTGACATTTTACAGAATATTAAAAACTTATAATAAATTGATTTTCTGTTCTTATAGTTAATCAAACTTATAATATAGATTGTTTTAAAAATGTTACTGTCTCTTCAATTACTTATAAGTATATCTGTTGAGAAAGGTGCTGATAATAAGATTTATTATTTGTGTTCAGCTTTTACAGTATAATCCTAGTGAGAGACTTGGGTCTGGAGTTTATGGAATAGAAGAGTTAAAATCACATCCCTTTTTTCATTCTATTGACTGGAAATCATTATGGCCAAGATGATTATTATTAAGATATCGTACAGATGTTTTTGTCATTGTTTTCATTCCAAATATAGTTTACTTTATATTTTTTAAAAGTTTGTTATAAATTTTTCTATAAAATCTGTGTATGACTTTGGGTGTCATATTTATGACATTGACAAATAAAATAGTTTTATTCTTGAGTAAAATTACTGTTTCATAATAAAAAAAAACAAACATGTATTCCCTTTTTTTTTGTTGAAGAAATAAAATTGGTGCGATATTCATGTTTATGTTTATTAAAGTTCTACACAAAAAAAATACAGCTATCTACTTTGAGAGCTTCGCCTCATGAGATAAAAAAAATGAGAAAAAAATAAACAGTGAAAGAATTAATAAGTGAAAAAGTCAGCACAAGAAACAAAGAGTGAATGAAAAAAAAAAAGGAAAATTCAGCATAAATCAGTAGGGGAGGTTAAAGAGTGGGAAAAGTACTTAAAAGTCTGGGTGTCAACATAAAATCACTTAAACAAGTTTTATTACTCTTATTTTTTTATTTAGGTATGTTTAAAAAAGTTTGAATAAATTTTCTAATCTATTTTATGCTAGACTCTTTTAGTTTTTAAATAGATAATAAACATTTATCTTACCCTTTTGTTTTAATGTGTTATTCACATCTAACTCTGCTTTCAATTGTATAAAATCTTGCTTGGCTGCAGACTGTATACAAGCTCTTCCCATTCTTCTCTTAGTAAATTAATGTTTTAAATGAATGAGTAACTAAACTTTCTATGAGATCATTAGGACTTGATACCATATGTTGTTCTAACAGTCAAATTATCTGATATGAAAAGTTGGCATTTGGTAAGAACTTACCCTTTGTTCTGTGTTATGAAATTTATTGTGTTATTTTATTTATTTCAACATAATCATTGTCAGAAAATTTTATTATACTAATTCACTGAATTTTTACGATATTTTTAAACATTTGATAATAAACATTTATATTTATTTTTCAAGCTTAACTTCTATGTTAAGTTTCCAAATTCAGATCAGAGCACTGAGGCAATGTTTAAGCAGCTATTTACATTTTTAAAATTAATAAACAAATAATAGTAAAAAAAATCATCATATAGGTCTAACATTTGTATTTATAACAGTAGAAACCAATTCTAAATAAAAGAAATATAATAAACTGTTGTGATTTTTTTGGAAGTGTAAAATTTTTTTATTTCCAATGAGCTGCACAATCAGTCTTCCCGATGAGCAGACCTAGTGCATTCCCCAAAAGTGGTATCCAATCTTTCAGGACCACCATAGTGGGTGAGATACCGTTGGCCATGTCTGCATCCCGAAAATCCGGTGTCTGGGCCGGGGATCGAACCCGCAGACTTGGGCTCAGGAGACCGATGACAAACCAACTGCGCCACCCAGCCACGAAAATGTGGAACGCTTCACGATTTTGCGTGTCATCCTTTCGCAGGGGCCATGCTAATCTTCTCTGTATCGTTCCAATTCTTCCTTCACAAAAGTTTAATTTCATTTTTCTCACATATAGTTAAGCTTCTTAACCTTTGTTGCATGTGTTCATTATTTAGCTCCAGGATGAATTCATAAAATAAACTACCTGAAAAATAGTTTAATGAATATTTGTGAATTTTTAAAAGGGATATCAATATACAAACAAATTGCAAATGTGACAGTTTACTTTTATTGAAAGATTATAAGCTACAACTAATTGAAAAAAAAAAGCTTGTTAAGTAATCACACATAAATCTGTTGTGCATAAATAATAATAGTTTAATTTTAATTCATTTTTAAATGCAGTAAAACCTCTATTAACAATAGCCTCTTAAACAATGACAATTTCTTAAGAATGATCATAAACATATGGTTAATAGGTTTTATATTACAGGGAACCTTTGAAAAGAGATTACTGAACAACAGCCACTCATTGCTAACATGAATTTTGTATTCATATATTTTACACAATATTTTCAAATTTTTCATCTCTTGTCTGCAATAATTTTTACTAAACACATTTCCTTTCATTAGTCATCTCATTCAAGTCATTTTTAATAGATATTAATCATTTACGCAATAATCAATCATGGATTTCACAGTTCAAGTGTGCCTACCACAGAGCAGGTTGTCCTCTGGAATCATGTTTTTGTGATTTTGTTTTTCTTTTTTGAACAACCAATTCGTTAATAACTTCGAATAATAACCACCCCTTGACACCAACCACAAGAGACCACAGTCCCGCAAGAAATCGTTATTCGGAGGTTTTACTGCACATTATTTTGCATCAAGGGGAAAGGTTAGAATAGAGTGGCTCAAACAACTCTCTAAAGGTCTTCATCTATAACAAAAATATCATAAATGATGTCTTTGTTGTATGAGACAATTTTCCCATTATACCCAAACTGCTAATACACTTTTCTTATAGTATGAGACAATTTTAGGTAATCAGCATCCTAATTAGAAAATTCTATTTGAACATTGTTAAGTGCAAACATGAAACTAATTATTCATATCTTTGATCAAATATTTTGATAAGTTATTTTTAAACTTAAATTAGAAGGAATTCTATCTTTAAAAAATTATTAAGTCACATACCGAAATATTATAATTCTTATTAGTATTTAATGTTTTTTATTTCTTTTTATTTCAATAAGCAAGCAATGAACAGTCTGTCAAATGAAGAATTGTTCTTGCTGATTGTCTAAAGCATTGGCGCTTACTGTAGTTACAAAATTAAACATTTTCAAGTAAGAGTGTGAGATTACACATTTAGAACAGACTTTGAGTCTGGGGGAGAAGTATAAAAAACTCCCTTTTTTCAAACATGCCTTTTTTTTTATAGCAACAGACAGTTCCAAACTTTAAGACTGAAGTTCTTCAAATATTTAATATGCATCATTATTTAAAACATTAATGTAGGTATTTTTAAAAAAATTAGAATACTTAGTTAAAACTTTTCTCAGTTTACTATTTAGCGGCTGAATAATAAATAATTACTATTCAACCGAAATTACTATTTGGTGCTATCCTTAATGTATCACAGATCTGAGTTTATCTAATCTTATATCCCTTGGAGAAATTATTGAACTCACTACTACTATGGAAACTGGATTTTCAACCCATACAACAGTGGAAAATTTCATACACCCAAACTGCTAATACACTTTAAAATATCACGATGAAAGCTTTCCAAAATGGTGTAATTTATAACTCTACATTATTTCTTTTAAGTGTGCTACATAGAAAAATTATAAGAACATTTTTCTGATAGCGAACTATTTCTAAAATAATTATAATTAAATTATTAGTTTTGAACAAAATCGATATTTTCAAAAATGCCGTTATTTAGAAATGAAACAAATTTTTAATTTCTTCCATTTACAATAGTTAGTACTATTTTTATACTGATGTTTTACATAGAATCATTTCTAAAAACTTTGTAAACGTCACATTTTGAAATTTGCTAGTTTCTGATAAGAAAACACAGAAACAAGTAGAAAATTTTTTTCTCCACTCATATATGTACATACACATATATGGTAAAGTAGTAATTTATAAACTTGGGATCGTGAATTTTTTTTTATATGGTCATGATTTTAAGAGGCTAAGTCCAATTGCACAACAAAATGAAATTCTTTAAAAAATAAAATGAGAAACCGTATTTTAAAGAAAAAATATATTACCACATAGTGATGATATAGGAACTATTTGAAGGACTTCTTTTGACTCGATTAAATCAATTTTTAAGATCGTTTCTAGGTAAATGACGAGCCGTTCAGTCCATGCAGGGTTTTGAAAATTCTTAAATATCCATAACTGTCCACATGCTGCTGGAGCACCAGGAGTTGGAAGAAGGCAAACAAACTAAAAATGTCAATCAATAGAGGAAATGAATATTGTTTTCTCTTTTAATATTTACTTAGAGAAATGGATAGAAAATATTTTTGCACATTACATGTGAAATCTAAAGTTTGTGGTAATTTTTGTTTAGGTGGAAATTTTACAGAGTGCATAGCCAAATTTTTTTCAACAAAAAATAAGCACCCTTTAAGAACAGAAAAAATATTTTTAAGCACTTTTAATATATATACAAAAAATAATTATGGTATATTCCTTTATACATTTTTTCCCTGTTGTTTTTAGTTTTTCACATATACATTACCCCCCAATAATTGATAAAACAATTTAAGTTTTTGAAATAATTTTTAAATTTCTGGAAAAATACTTAGAGAGTTATTTTATGCTAGTTACAAGGGTTATTCAAAGCTGTCCTTCACATTAAGGCTGTTCTTCACACTTATCAATAAAGTTAAAGTTTTCAGAGGTTGGATGAAGTAGCAATAAATTATGAGCAAAAAAGTGTTTTTGAACTATCACTGTCAGAAAATATACCAATATGAACTTGAAACTTGTCTCTATTACTTTGGTTATTATATGTAAAAATTGTATAAAATTTCATAAGCCTAGCTAAAATATTTATGGAGATATGGACATTTTTATAATTTTTTTGTCTTAGGTTTCTGAGCTATAACTATAAAAATATTCAATAAAATTAAATATCTTAATTCGATTTGAATACCTTGAAAATTTAAAAAGCTTCAAGCAAAGAAAATTAAGCACTTTTTACAAACACCCAATGAAGCACCTTTAAGAGCTATTAAAAAACAAAAATAAAAATCTTTGAGCAGATTTTAAAAATGCTATGCACACTATTTTATATTGGAGTTTATATAACAAAATTATTTTTTAAAACCATGTGGTGTATGTATGATTTCAAGTTATTAGAAATTGAGAATTCAATGAAATACAAATTGCAAATAGAATACAATCATATAAAACATGGTTCTCATTGACACAATTTTGTTTTCTTTCAGACTGATTTTTTAATGTAGTCATATATTTTAATTTTACATACAATTTATTAAAATCTTTAAAATATTATTTTTTTCATTGTTACCAGATTGATCTAGCTTTACTTTTATTACGCAAAAGCTCTTCTAACACCTTTTAAAAACGAAAAAATAAGTGAAGCATTCCCACAACAGCACTTGTGGGCCAGGAGGTTAAAACACACTTCTGTGACTACATGATAGTGGCAATGTGGTCAGCATTTAGTATAAGCTTCTTTTACTTTCCAGACAAGCTGGTACCCATCGATCTGATGTTGGATGGGATTCAAGCTGCTACTGAGAATCAAACCTCAGTCCTTCTCAATGGCAGCTCAGTGCCTTTAACCACGGATCCACTCTCACTCTTTCATTTAACATTTAAATTAATTTTAAAAAAAAATCAATTTTGGAGTGCTATCAAAACTATATATTTCACATCTAAAGTGTGATATGAACTTTTAATTGCTGATTTAAATTTCTTGATTAATTTTTAACTTAATTTTTAAATGCTGATTTCTTGACTTAATTTTTAAATGCTGATTAAAATCACCTTCCAAAGTTTTAAGAAAAGTTTTCTCGGGTTTATTGGCTAGTTTTATTGATTTTACAAATTAAATAACATACTTGATTAAATAACATAACATGTTACTTTTGAGCTTAAAGCTTAGTGCTTGAATATTCGATCATTAGAGCAAAAGTTGTTCAGGTTTTTTTTAAAATGTTTTTTACATTTTTGATAATGTTATTCTGTTATACAAATGTATCTTTTAATTATTAATAACTTAAAATTTTTTTTATCTTTATAGATAAAAAGCATTCAACAAATGGCAGATTTTAATTTTCATTAAAAATAAATGAAAATGTAAAAATTGTTGAAATCCTAACTAAGTTTCTGAATGTAGAGCTTAGCACATTTTACAGGTTCAAAAAAATTCAGTTGTTCAAAATTCTGTTTTGATTTTTTACCCATTTTTCAAAATAATGTTTCTAAGTACACTAGTTTAAATTCAGTAAAGCAAAATTTAACAATGTTTAACTCATAGAACAGGACATTTTTCTTCTATTTTAATTTTAACACAAAGAAATCCAATTTACCTTATCAAACAAGGACATTATGAGGAATATTAATCCAACTGTATATCTCATAAGCAGACTTTGCACACAAATAATGAGATGGTCTCCTATTTTCAATTTCTAAAACATAGAAAATACAATAAAATCATCTATTATAAAGTTGTATTTGACAACTATAGTTAGTAATAAAAAGCATAAAAATAAAAAAATGGCAAGAGCTTAAATATGCTTATCACTAACATAGAAAATGTTATTTTATAGTTAAACTAAGGAACACAAAGAAGTTGCTCACTGTTTAAATCTAAAATAGTTAGTTATTATGCAGCTACTAACACATTTCCCTACGATAATTAAAATTTTAGATTGCTTAACATATTTAAAAATGTTGGTAAAAAAAGAAGATTGCATTTACTTCAGTAGCCTAATCTAAAACATCAATATTTTATTAAACCTTCATATCAGAAGATTCACACTTATCATATCAGAAGACTGACATTCAATTATGTTAATAAATCACAAATATAATTTTATTATATTTAAAAGATTAACAAACTGAGAAATTGTAACAAACTGAAACTCTACTGAAAAAGCTGTTTGGTAAAGAATAAGTGCAAGGTAGACTTTTTATAAAAACTTAAGGAATTTATATTATTACACTAATTTAATTACCTTTTTTTTATTCAATAGATACAGTTACTTATTACATCAAAGATGATTCAAAATCCTAAATTTTGATCCAAAATGTAATGAAATTATTATGATTGCTACTTAAATAGCAGTTTACCATTGTACATGAAACCCTTATAGGGAACCTGACAAAGAACATTCCTGTTTTGTTTTTTCCTATATAATTCAATTTTATCATATTAAAGAAACAGTTTTCATTGATGGCAAAAGAAAAATTTGTTCAAATCTTTAAAAACATCATGGCCAGACAATTTTAATAATTACTTATTTCCTATTTTTAGGATTTTTCACAAAAAACAAATAAAATTGTTATATTGGTTATGGAATTTATGTACAAGGGTGGATAAGCAGATACTTAAGACTGTTCGAAATGCTTAAAAAAAGAGAAAATACTTACTTTCTCTTTACAAATGCATGAAAGTAAAATGCACATTAACCAATTTTTGTTGCCTTTTAATTAGTTAACAATATTTATCACTCTAAATTTTTTGACTACAAGTCAAAGTATTAATTCACATTAGACAAATAGTTTTTTTGATAGCATATTGAGATACAAAGAAGCCTTGTTTTCGGTTTGGATTATATGGTTTTTTGAATTCATAGAAGCTTCATAAGGTAGACTAACACAATTGTGTTAGCGTAATTTGTAAAACTTCTTTCTTTGATGTTCATAATTAAATCAGACGACAGAGTGTGAAAGGATAGAACTGTTGAAAAATATAATAAAATTTTTAAAAAAAATCTAGTAATATTATGCAGCATTCATTTATAAACCTTTTTTAGCTAAAAATATTTTAATTATTTACATGTTTTTTATTAAAAAAATAGCACACAAGCAGGTTAGATTTGGACAATATTCAACTGATTTACCTTTTGAAGCATAGGTACACGTTTTTTTTAAAGTTAGACTTTATACTTTGAGTTTTTTTTTATTGTTATTAAATTAAATGAAAATGCATTGTAAGTAAAATTTTTTGCCTGCAGATACCTTTTAATAAACAAGTTTTGTAATTTTGTTCAGAACATTAAAAGAATCGCGCTAGACTAACAGTATGGCCATATTTTCCAAATAGGGCATATTTTCCAGACCTGCTTTCCTTACATTTTGAGGGATGAAATCTGAATGCCACTTAAAAAAATATTCATTCAAAACAAATTCTTTTTTCATATGATGCATTTGGGTAAGTTTTAATTACTTGATAAATGCAAACAAGGGCCAAAAAAAAAAAAAATTTTTTTTTGTTGAAAAAATCAAATTTATATTCAAAAATTGTTTATGAACAATATTTTTGAAGTTTATGAACAAAAGATGCTTTTTTCATTAAGGGAAAACTCATTTAAAATAATAAAAACAAAATTTATTTTTTCAAAAAATGTGAAAATTGTCACCTTTCAGAAATAAATATATATAAATAACATTTTAAATACAAAACTAAATGCTTTTGAACTCTCAGAAATACATCTCTATTACATATTCTATATTTGCTGTTAAAAAAAAATATATTTTCAAAAATTATTTTGTAAGGAGAAATGCTAGTGATCTTATAAAGTATTTTTTTATGATTAGAATACATTTCATATATCTTTAAGAACATCTATATTGTATTTAGTGAGTAAGAATTTTGAATGTGTACATTTTTATTCTCAACTTTATATTTTTCTTGCAACCTATAAAAACTATCAAAAATATCACCAAAAAGCTATGATAAAGCAATAAAGCAGCTTAAAATACCTTTATAATATGGCTCATAACAACTGTGAGATGGTTTTTTAAGGTTATTTCTTGATGCAGAGAATCGAGCCAGAGTGTTGAATTCACATATAAAATTTGGTTTCCATAACTTTGCGTCTCTATTTCAGAATATGAAAAGCTCTGAAATGGTTGCAAAATAGCTTTTTAAAATTATTTTATAAAATAAAGTAATTCATGTAATAACAAATTCTGCAGAAAGATAAATAAAGTGGCAACATTTGTGCTGAATATTAAACTATTAAAATAATGAAGATACAAGAAAAAGAGGCTGTTAATACAATTTTGATATACATATTAACCAAAATCAATTAAAAATTGCAATTTAAGATGTATTCTGAATTTGAAAAAAAGAATAAATGAAAAAAGTAATAATCTGAAATATTTTGAATTAAAGATTTATTTGTGAATTCTCTAGTTTTTAACCAAAATATAATATACAGCACTTTTTTATAAGCTAATTTTTTTCCTTATCAATTTTTAATTTTTACATAATATTTTTTCAGTCAACAAAAGCAATTAAAAAAAATGTAGTAGGTACAACTTTAAAAATACAAGGGTAAGCAAAGTCAAACAAATTTTTTTTAAAGAAAGAATGAAATGCTGCATTTATGAAAAAACGAGTTTTGATAACACATTTCAGATGAAAAAAAATTTAGAATTTTTTTATTTATTTATTAGGAGTTTCCTTGAAAAGCATAACAATTTTAATAACATTAAATTTTTCTGATTTTCTTCAAAAGAAATACTTGTTATAGAAACTCCAGATTTTAAGCTAACAATTATAATGAAAATAATATCATTAACTAGGCAAAAGAAGCTGTTAAAAATGTTCTTTTTTATCCTTTCAATATAAAGTTTCTGATTATTTCTAAAAGAAAAGATACAGCTATTAAAAATAAACTATTTAATGAAAACTATCATATTCCTCTACTAAGATAAATTTTTCTCTTTTCTAAATACTTTTTTTTACATTATGTTATGGCGAACACACATGTTACTCCCTTGCCCTTGTGTATGTCATGTTAAAATAAAACAGTTTAACAGGAAAATACAAAATTCTATTCGAAATATGGGGCTTTAGTGGTTACGAAATAAGTGGTTACGAAATTTACATCATGAAATGTATTTTATGCTTTTAAAAGTGTAACATAAAACCTTTCTTAAGACCACAATAAATTGGTGACCCAAATACTTTTATTAACACCTAAAAACATTTAAGTCATTATTTAATGGAATACGTCTACTTATTTTGAAGATTAGTTTAATACCACTTGAATATTTTTAGCAGACCTTTAGGAGTCTTGAAATATAATAGAAAAATATAAAAACATTTTACTGTAATTTTTTTATTCTTCAAAGCTGACAATATCATGAAATATATATTTTAATTTGATTCAAAAACGGTTTAATTATAAAATGCAAAATTTTTAAGTTAGTAAAAAAAACTATTTGAACAAAGTCAAATAAATAATTCAACAGTAATTCCCAAGTATATAGCTAGAACATTAATCAAATATTAAAATTGTTAAAAAATACACTCATAGCTTTCTAGGAAATTTGTAACAGAATACCGCACTCTCTCTATAAGGTGACTATCGTGACTTTTGTACTTTCTTTATAGTTTCTCTACAGGTGAAAATGCCATAGTGCTTAATCTCCATCTTATATTTTTTAAGAAGGATCTAAACACATAAATAATTCCCCGCTAAGTTTATTAAATTATGGTTTATGCATACACAGGGGTGATTGTGAGCCCAAGTCAAAATTCCGGAAAATTTCTTGAGTTACACATCCATTTACACACACCTATGATGACCTGGAGAAGTAATTAAAATTTACAAATATGTCCTTCTTTCTGGAGTTTATGATTATAATAACTATTTACTGATAAAAAAATAAATATTAATCATGAATATAAGCTTATAAAGTATCTGGCTCTCCCTTACAAGCAAATAAACTGTGTTTTTAAGTTCCACCTTTGAAAATTTGATTTCCGGAAATTCTGTGATCAATAATTTTTTGAAAATTGTGGACCTTCGATCTCCGGAAACTTCCGGATCACTGTTAGCGAAAAAACCGGAAATCCGGATTTTTTCCGGAGCACAATCAGCCCTGCATACATTTTCAATTGCAAAATGGAGTTCGATTAATTTAACAGTTTTGCAATGCAAATAGATCATATAAAATGAAATATTTTTTTTAATTATAAGTATAACTTGATATATGTAAATATGTTCATCTAAATTTGTTCAGTTTAAGTTTTCTCAAAAAATCATTTTTCCACACTTTCGATGTACATTTTCACAACATTTTTATTCATAAAAAAGACACAAATATCCCATTTTAAGGAAGTACTGTAGTAAGCATTTTATAATTTAAGCACTATTATATTTGAAGTGTTTCACTATTCTATATAAGAAATAAGTTTATTTAGTTTACTTCTCTTTCTCTTATTTATTTAAATTTGATTCGTGTGAAAATTTTTTGATTAAGTTTTATGTTTTACTTGTTATTTTTGAACCAATTATTTGTTTCAAATACATAATTACTATATCAAAATAAATAATCAAATACAATGTTTTAAGACTATAAACATTGGAATCACAAAAAAAACTAACAATTTGAAATAATTGTTAAGAAAAAACAGAACCACTTCTAGATAATTGACTTACAGAAAATCTATTGAAGTTTTCCTTCAGATGAGACCATAAGGGATCGTCAATAAAATCATTTTCTGAATTTGATACAAATGTAATACAAATATCTTCACTCTTTTCTTTTAGGAGACACATGACATTTTCAATGTCAAAAGGACAATGCTTTACAGCACGGTAACTTTTCTCTTTTACCTGTGTAGTAAATAATGCATTTTATCACATGAAGTGTTAAATTATTATTCAGTGTCAAATTATTGTTCATAATTAATATTCAGAATATTATACATACAAAAATATATACAGCAGATAGATAGGTTTAATATAGATGTTGTATTAAAACTAAATGGGTAACTTTGAGATAAGACTTTCAGATTTAAATAAAAGACATTCAAAAATAATTTAGTTTGCTTGATTTAAAATATTTGTTTCTTTAACAGTCAAACACTTAGAAAGTCTAATTTTGACATGCATTCTTTTTTACACAGCAAACAGGATTTTCCCATGATTTGATATTGGGAAATTGTGTAGAAGAAAAAACATTCTCTCAAATTCATCCATTTGCAAAATCACCAGAGACTATATAATCATATAAAATACTAAATACTAAAAAAAGACAAAGTTTAAAATCTTCTATAATATTAGAAAAACACAAAAAAGAACAAGTATCATAGAAATAATATAAGTTCATATTTTTTAGCGGGAAGCTCACAAAAAAAACTGCATTTTTTTTATTTATTACACAAACAAATTAAATTTTTATTACATAGTTATTAAAATTCTTTAAATAAATGAACATAATCCACACTTTTTTAATGAAAAGCTTGTTTTTATTATTTGCAATATTTCTACAAAGTGCAGTCAGTAAATTGGATTAAATTATATCCCTGATAACTAAAAATTTTCTTAACCAACAACTTCCCCTTAACTATTTTGAATATTTAAAATATTTCAATTAAGCTTCCATTATTATTTATTATCATCACCCAACCATTTAGACCCATTTTCAGGACTTTATTTCTTAATGGCCATGGAAGGAATGCCACGTAAGTTTGACCTCGGTTAGATGACATGGACAGTGCCTGAACTGTTACCCCTCTCTCTAAGCATCCCCACTACAGCCAACATGAGGACTTTCAGCCATACCAGATTTAATGCGCACCTTGCTGTCTATAAATGACAGTTGTTTTATTGGCCACCAGGATTAAATTCACTATCCCTGCTCTAAGTGACACCTAAACCAACATTTCCACCACTGAAGCGCCTCCCATTGCTGTTCATTTTAAGTGCATTTCTTATCTGTGACTCACATCTAGAAACACAGTTTAATTGATAATATGGTTAAAGGGGTATTTTTCTTGACTTCTCAGCAATGTTGAAAATCGATCAGTACAACAAATATAGACATGGTCTACTTTTGGAGAACTGGCAAAATGTGCCAGTATATAACTAGTTGTAAATATTCAAAAAACTGAATGAATCATTTTAAAAAAAAATTGAAAATCTATAGCATGTTTAAGTATATAATAAATGCAGAGGGCCAGGATAATCTGGTTGGTAGGGTGCTGGGCCCATGTCCAAGAAGTCGTGAGTTCATACCCCACTGGCTATGTAGTAAATGGTGACTGGTGTATATTAAACCTGTTGGGCCACAAAGTCCTCCATGTTCCTAAAACAAATCAATACCTCTGGGTTTACTGAATTGGATATTGATCGTTCTTTGCTTCAGGTCAAAATTAAAATCTGCGGATGAATGAATGGATATATGGATGGGTTCACCCCATAAAACGGGCTGTGACGTGATGTATTCTTGGCCATAGATGATGCCACTGAAAAACAAGAAACGCACCCTCTGCCTTAAATTTGCTAGGTTTCACAAAGCAGTTTTGCTGGTATTTGCTAAGTAGCACAAGAAACAACAACATAAATGCACACCTAAAAGCTTACTAAGAAATGTAGAATTTGTATTTTGCTAGAAATACAAATTTACAAAATATCTACGCAACTAAAATAGCCAGGTTATAAGGACGTTGACAGTTCCTATAAGTAATACTTTTTAATTTCCTCAAAAGAATTTGACATTTAATTAAAAATATATTTTATAATTGAAAGAAATGATTTGTAATTATTAAAATGTATTTTAAAACTGGAGTTTATCTTTACAGAACAAGTAAAAATTAAACTGAGATCAATATTTTTTAAAAACTTACTTCAGAATTAAAAGAAATTCTATTCCAAAGATGAATCAGATATGGATTACAAAATTTTGAGTTCTCTATAGCAATAATTTTCTTTCCAGTTAAAAGCCAGTTCTGATAACTTTTACTTTTCATCCGATTTATAACAACCTAAATAAGTAAAAGGACATTAATGAAAATAAGTAAAAACACATAAATAACTAAAATAAGGCCAATTCTATAATGTTATACCTTCCATAAAGGAATCAACTCTAGATTTTGATTCGCACGCTTACGATTTGTAGAAAAACATAAATTCAATCTTCTGTCAACATCCAGAACATTTTCTTTCCAACTCATTATCTTTAATTTGCTTAAATTGTCAAATGTTTCTCCAATTGCTTGATAAAACATTAATTTGCAGTTTTTGTTTTGCTTATCATGAAAACTCGTTTTGATCTGTTTGAAAAAAAAAATAAATAAAAATGATCACATTTATGTTAGGCATTTTACTATTTTTATGTAATCTTTATATATATAAATCACAATAAATTTTAAATTCCTATAAAGTTATTGTAATATGTAAAGTTATTACATATTGTACAGGTAAATATTTAATAAATTTAGAATAGAATCTACGAACCAGAAGACAGTGGGAAAGAGTCTTTGAGTATTTTGTGTTGGGAAAAGGCTATTTAATTTTGTACATTTGTACAAGTGATTTATGTTTAAAAAAGACACACTGATTAATTATAAAAGAATGTTAGAAGATGATAAATGTTAGATATATAAAAGATTACTAAAATATTTTATTATTATATATTTATTTATGTTGTATATTTTATTGTAATATTGCATAAAAAAGAATCTTTTTAACAAGTAATAACACTTTTTGATAAAAAAATAATATTTTTCAAACATAAGAAAATTCAATACATAATAAGTAGTTAAGTTATAAATAGATGCAAAATTTACACAAGAACTGAAAAAAGTTGAAATTATTATTTTAAGTCTTATTTTCTTTTAAAAAATTTAGTTATACGTATATAGCAAATACGGTTATATTTAAAAAAATATAAAGTAATAAATTATTAAAAATTTTTGAATATAAAATTATATTTTGATTTGAATAAATCTAAGAAAATGTAGCAATTTTGCATTGGAAGTTTTACGAGAAATAAATATAAAATTTATTCACTTTAAACCTAGCTGTATATTTACCATTTCTAGGAGTTTTAATATTATTTTTTAAATTTGTGGCAAAATTTCCAGAGTTTAGGAAAGAAAAGGTTAATTTTTTTGGTTCCTATTTTGTTTAAATCAAAGACTTCGATAATTTAATTTTTAACAGGTTGAGTGAGAATCCTAAAAAGAGGTATATCTAATCTTTGAAAGTATACATAGTTATTTAGGTTTAAAGAAATCATTATAATTACTTCGGAATTTGATTTCTTGAATGCAAAAAATAAATAATGTGTCTAATAACCAAAATGGAAAACGTTTTACAAAATAAAAATTATAAAGAGGGAATAAAAAATTAAACTTGAGAAAAATTTTAAATACAGATATCGAGCTGTAGTTTTTTTTTTTTTTTTAATAAAACTGAAGTAGCTTTGAAGATAAAAAACTGGATATGTTTTTATGTATTGTTTTATGCATTGCATAAAACTATTTGGTCACGTAGAATAATATTTCTACTTTCATAACAGTTCCCTACCTCAATTTATAATTTAAGACAGGTTTTTTTTTTTTTTTTTTTTTTTTTTTTTTTTTTTTTTTTTTTTTAAATAGGAACAAGTTTAATGATTTTAAAAAATGGTTTGATTTAGTCCATGGATACATATGGTGAGAAATCTCAAAACTTGAATTTTTTTGACTTTGGAAATAGATTTCTCAATACAACGAAGATAAATAGAAATTAGTTTAAAAGAAACTTATAATAATAGTTACTTTCACACATAAATATATTACTCAAAAACTAAATTATATATGATCTCTGTGCTAAAGAATAATTGAAAACAAAAATAAACAAAGGATAAACATAGGTAATACATAGTAATTTGGAAGAAAAAAATTAATATATAAACAAAAGAAAGAAAAAAATTAAACCATTACTTAAATTAAATAGACATTAAAAAGTACTTTAGATTTTACAAAATATTGAATGGATATGAAATGAAAAACAGTGCATTCCTTGAAAATTGATGGGCAAGAGAAAAACATTTACAACTCAGAAATGTTAATGTTCATCTTTACCATCATTTTCCAATTTGAAAAATTAAGGAAGCAAAAATACAGAGTTTCTTTTTCTAAAAGACTGAAAAAAGATTATAAGTCTGAATAATGAATAATCAGTAGACGGTCCCTAAATTCCTACTCTCATACGTTTGCGATTTTTAAGATTCAGATTTTGCTTCAGTAAGACTTTAAGTAAGTAAGACTTTACAGTCACTTTAAATGCTTTCACATGAACTAGTTAATACTTTTTCTAATATACACTAATATCAGCTACACAATATCATCAACATGAGGTATCAGTTTCTGGCAATATACTCTAACAATTCATGTGATAAGTCATGATTTAATGAATTTGCTATCATACATCAATGAGAGGTAAAATATGTAAACAAACTTTTTAACACTTTTTTGTATTGGGTAAAATTTCGTTTTATTATTTGCTTAGATTTAAAATAACATAATAAATTTTGTTATTAAGTATCAGAATATTAATAAGAGCAAAATAAAAATATCAAATTACTTGTTTTTTAACTGAAAATAAATGAGCAGAAGGATAAGTATCATCACCCACAATTTCGCATTTTCTTAAATAATGCGAAGCATATGCATGTTTTACATTTTCTAACTTCTCTTCATACAATGAAGTATCCATAGAATATAATTGGAGGTTCTCTTCTATTGCTTGTTTTTGAAGAGCTAAGAAGTATTCAGAGCAAGCAGATATCTGTTCTATAAAAGATTGCGGAATACTTGATAAACTATACAAAGCCTTTTCTCCTATTGATCCTAAAATAAACCCATAAACATTAGACCTAGATTTAAAAATGGAAGGTTTAAAAAGAATTTATATGTTTAGGGTCTCCTTCAGGTAGAAATCCTTCCATGTTAACTTATGCAGAAAAGTATGAACACCATTTTCTTATTTATTAAGTAACTTTAACTAATATTTTGGAATATTTCTTATTTTACTTTGTTTACTGAATTAAATATAATGAACATGTTACCAAATTGTAAATTTTAAAACAGTAAGTAAGATAAATACTTAGTTTTAAAATTTTGTATTTAAGTCTAATGGAACACATTTCAATAAGTAAAATAAAACAAAAAATATTAATCAGTACTTAAAAAACAAGGAAGTCACTTTTTGTATAATTGCATGCTACCATAGAGGAAGTAGACTTCCTTTTCTGTCTGAAGGAGACCCTAAGCATAGTATATATATCAGGACTTTTATAACCAAAATAAATTAATATAGGATGTTATATAAATAACCAAGGAACATCATTTCAATATAAAACTAACTACATAATAAAATGAAAACTAAATTATAAGAATTGTGTAAGTTTAAAAAAAAACCCACTTATGTTATGTCTGCAAGGAAATGTGAGAATAGGCTAGATAATCTAGAACGTTTTATAATTGTGATTTGCGCTTTAGTTTAAGGGTAATTTTACCACTCATAAGTTTTCTGTAACTTAAAAATTCTAAAATATCGAAACCCCAGTTTTGGCTATATTTGTGTAAAATATGATTGTTTGCTATTTCTATGTGGGGGGGGGGAGCATCTGAGCATGCATGAGAAGTCTAAATTTGTTTATGTTTGTTTCATAGAAAGTTATATCGAAAGAACAAGTCATATTGTAAATACTATAAGTAGTAATAATATTGGCATGCTTTTTCAAGCTTAGGTTCAAGAATAAATCGAAGTAGTAACACACATATATAGTGAATTTCATCCCTTTGTGCCACCTACGTTTAACTTTATACGGTTATTAATCGATGATAATTAGAAATTTAGCCAATAAAGTACAACATAATATACACAAGTATAAAGATACATATATAAAAAAATTATTGTACTGTTTAAAAAATATAAATCCAGATAAATAAAAGAAAGAGGTACAAAAAATAAAAAGGTATAATTTGCATAAACAAATCAACTGAGTTTTTATATGAATGTAAGTATTTAAAACAAAATTATTTAAAATTATCTAATAAAATTAATCATATTTAAATAAATAATAGCACATAAGTACAAATAAATATATGGCTTATTTTAACATTTTAAAATGAAAGTAATTTAATTATTTTAATAAAAATAAAGTAATTTCAGTAACCAATATAATTCTCAAAAATAATTCAAGTATATTCTGTGCTGTAATAGCGAGTCAATAAAAGATGCTTTTTAAAACAGCATGATTTCAATACAGAGCTGGCAACTCTGAAATTCTTGCTTTCCACAATATTTAAAGTGGAGCCGCAATGGCTCAAGGGATAGTGTGTTCACCTTCCAATGAGGTGAACTGGGGTTCGATACAGGCGATGGCTGATCGATACGAATTCCGCATCCGGCTTGCAACGACTACAGTGCTGATGTGTAAATATCCTCAGTGGTAGACAGATCATGGGTTTGAGCCCCCTTGCTGTCAGGCCAACCACGGGAGGTTCTCGTGGTCTTCCTCTCCATGTAATGCAAATGCGGGTTAGTTCCATCAAAAAGTCCTCCACAAAGGCAAATTTCTCCATATACTTGATCCAGGAGTTCCCTTGTCTTCTGGATTGGGTTCAAAATTACAAGGTTACGGAGTTGAACATTAGTAGTCGTAAACCCAAAAGTTGGATCGGCAGTTCAACGGTGGTTATAAAATAAAATATTTAAAGTGGCAGTAAAATTAAAACAGCGGCAGCAATAAAGTAAGCAAATGTTTTAAAAATGTTACCAGCATTGGGAAACATTAAATTATTCTAATAACTTTAGAATATTTTAAATGCCACGATTGTAAAATTGCCAAATTTCGTTACAAGTTTAAATATCTTTAAAAATCTCAGGAAAAAAATTTAAGAAATTTTTAGTTTAACCCTTGTTATTTTAACTTCCAAAACTATTCAGAGTTTACTTAGAAATAACATATTAATCCTGTCTGTAACTTATTGTCATTATTATAACATAAGAGTATTTTTGAATAATTACTTAAAAAACTCATATTTTTTCTGATTGAATAACTATATCAAATAATATAGGTTACAAAGGGTATAAGTCGTGCCCACAAAAATTTAAACATGCATGTTTAAGAAAAAATGTGAAATAATTTTGGAAATGAACAATTTTGAAGTAGAAAAATGTTTAAAAATGATTGAATGCAATAAAATGAAATAGTAATTTAATGTTAAGTATGTGAACCGAAATAATAATTGTATGTGCTCTAAAGTTTGTCATTTATATATATTGGATAATTTTGATAATTTACAATAATTTCACTAGAAGTAAACAGAATTCATTCATTAACAATTCAATTTTCATTCAAAAATTTAGGATGAAAAAGTAATAATTTTAATTAGTTGTAGATTGACAAACTGGAATTAGCATGAATAAAATTAATAGAGCCCAAACAATAAAGTATAAGTAGTTTCAACCCTTTTAATCAAATTAGTTTATCACCAAAATCAGGTTTAATATAACAATAAGGACAGCAATACTTATATTCATTCTTACAAAATCTTTTTGCATATAAATGAACTTTTTGAAAATGAAAGCTTTTAATACATTTTTACTTTGTAACTATGTGGAAAATTAACATAAGTTGAACAAATGGAAAATTTAGCATTAATTCTATAAAACTTAAAGTGAAACTAAATGGATTAAAAATATAATTCCATAACCTGAACTAAGCATTTTTCATACTTAATCTTTTTACCACTCTTTTAAGTTAAAAAGTGTTTGATACTTTATAATGGCATGAATTTTATTGTGTATGTAGTTTATTTAAAATACGTTACTATGATAAAAACTACAAATACTAACTATCATGCACCTAGATAACTTAAAAATGTCATAAATGAATGAAAACTTTATTTATGATAAAATAAAATGTAACTTAAAAATATAATTACTAGGAAATAATTTCAACCAGCCATTCAAAAAATTACAAAAAGTAGTACAGAGAAATATTAATTATAATCAAAGAAATATATGATGAATTATAAATACAATAAAAAACACAAGTATGTTTTGTAAAATAACCTCTCCTTAAAAATATTTATTATAAATTTAATTTTTTAGGGAGCTATTCAAATTAAGATAAATTTACAACATTTTTGTCAAGTATAATGAGTTTCTCAGGTTTTACAATAGTAATAAAACATGCTTTATACTTTAAAAACTATATCATTTTTACCATATTCTGCAAAAACCTTAAATAGATGATCTTTGAAAGTTTCAACTCCTAAATAACCCAGACATACAATGTACACTTCAGAATTTCCAGCCTTACTGGAAAAAGGTTTGAAAGCATGTACCTAAAACAAAACACTTATGTATATGAGATTATAAAAATTCAAATTGTATATAAGCACAGTAAAATTTTCTTGATACACTGACATTAAAAATTAACTCACATTAACCTATTATCTGATAAGTACAAGAACAGTAATTTCATAAGAAGTCTCTAATTAAGGTACAGTACAGAACCCGTTATCCGGAAATCAGAAAACCAAAAAACCGGAACAAAATTAGATAAATTTTCCCCGCAATTTAAAAATTTTTTTTTTTCCTCTTAAGATTTTAGGATTTTTCTTTCTTTTTTGAAAGATGTTTACCATACCATCATTTTGGAAATAATGATTAGTGTATTACTTTATCAGTTTTTTCTACTTTTTAAGATTATTTCCAAATATTTATTTTTTTGTAGTTGGGTTTAACAATAAAAAAACGGCTTTTTGTAGCGATTCAGAAAACCGGAAAAATCAGTTATCCGGAATAGCGATGGTCCCGATCGTTCCGGATAATCGGTTCCCTACTGTATCTGATTTGGTTCGGCTCCTCGCTTTGGGTTCAGCCTTAGTTAAAATTTCAATTTTATTTTTATTAAGCAGGGGAATCTAAATCAAACTTAAAAAATTTATGAAATACATATTTTCAAAATAAGAGCAAATCTGAGTGTAAAATCTAGAAATTTTATGTCACGTTAACAGCTCTAAAACAAATTGTAATGCATCAAAATCAAAATAATTGTATTTCTGGATCAATAATATAGTTACTTTTATTTCAAACTAAAATCTTTTAAAAAATTTCAAATATAGAATGAAATAGAACTAAATATATTATTCAGCTTTGATTTTTTTTAAAGAAAAATTCTAAATATTTTTTATTCAAAACATAATAAAAATAAAAAATTCACATTTAGACCTTAACTTTTAAATCAAAACATAGCTAACAATATACAAAAAATACAAAGTTTTAAAGAATTAAATAATAAACTTATTTTGTAATGTGTGTTAGAATAAAGAGAATTTGCAAAATCAACATTTTTATGAAAACGCATTTAAAGCATATAATTGCTACTAATTTTTTTTAATGTGAATTTTAAAGATTGAAGAACAAAAATGTAAAAAGCTAATGAACAAAATTTCAAATATAGATAATAAAAAAAAAAATGTTTTCATCGAAATTGTACATTTTTAACATAGTTGAATACCTTAAAAAAGTATAAAGCAGTCAAAATAAAGGAAAAGTGGCAATTTCCTTTGTCATAAATGTTTGTAAAAGAGAATTCATCTAAATTATGAAAATCTTCACAAACAAAGGAAACAGTTAATATGAGAACACATGAAAATACATTTTCTCATATGATAATAAATCTGAAAATTTTAAATAAACAAATTTAAAATGCTATATTTGCTTATAGACAAGAAAGTTTATTGTTTCAGTTTTTTTCCTTTCCAACTTTTAGAAATTTTTTTTTCTCTCTCTCTCTAATTTTTAAAAAATTTATTTCTAAGTAATTATATCAAAACAAAAGAGATTTTTTTCTTTCGTTTTTCTTTTTTTTAAATTTTATTGATGAAGCACATGACATGTTTAATTTTAAGCAGTAAAGTACATTTTTTGTATATCAGTAATTTCTTATATTTTTACATTAATTTAATTAAAAAGCATTTTCTAGCATTCTTTTTATCTATTTATATTCTTATACTATCTAATTTCTAATACAAATTTAAATTAACATTTAACCCTATACCCAGTGCATGTTTAACAGTGCTTAAAACTTTGTGGCTATCCATAAAAACAGTTGGTGGAATAGCAAATTGATCAGGCATCAAGTTTTTTTGCATAAGCATTGATTCTCAATAAAAATTGGTGTGTTGTGCAGCAAAGTTATCATTATGTCTAACTTTTGAACTGAGTTTTTTCATAAAAATTTTTACTTAATCAACAATAACATGCTCTATAAACATAGAGGGTTAAGATTGCAAGAAAGCAATAAGGTAAAATGATGTTCATTTTTACTTTTCTGTAAAAATTTATTCTGTACCAGAAATATTTAATATGTCTTCCATTTTATTCTTTTTTATACTAGCATTCCTTACTTAAATAATAAATTAATAAATCATCACAAAAGCTAGTAATTTTTTTAACTCATAATAAACATAAATTTTTCTTATCTTTAATATTAGCATTTTGATGCTGACTAATTGTGGACTTCTTGTAATAAGCCATACTCATTATATCAAGCTTTTAATGCATTATTTTGTCTTTCAGGAAACTTTTATGCTTTTCAATAAAAAAAACTACATAAATTAGCATAATCACTTTTAAAACAAATAAGTAAAAAAGTTTTCATAATTCTTTTTAAAGATATCCCCATAAATTTAATAAGAATAAAATCACCTCTTCAAACACACAATTAAGAAGGTACATTCTAGAAATGGTCAAACATTCAAAAAACGTGAATTGTTTTAAAACAAATGTTCCTTTTGTAGCCAGACTCAAAAGAGCTATTAGGGTTTCTTTAAAATGCAGTTCACTGGTGATTAACTCTTGTTCAGAAGGATCATGTAGACAGTTAATACTTCCATCAGCTGTTATCTAAATAAAAAACAAAAATGTTATACAGAAAGAACAATATTTATAACTAATTCATAGTTAGAAGGTTCTGCGACAAATGAATAAAAAATAGAGATTTTTCTCTATCTTTTTCCCAATATGAAAGATAAGTCTAATAATTTAAACAAAGAAACTATGTTAAGTTTACAATATAATTTCATAAAAAAGTAACAGAAATTATCCATGAGCTGAGGCAATATAAGAAATAGAGAGGGTAGAATCAATAGAAGATTCAATAAGATTTCAATAAAAGTGAAAACAAGCTCTTTGACTATTTTATTTATTTTCATCAATATCATCAGTTAATAGAAAACCCAGTTTGAAACACTCACTTGCATAACTATACTACAAAATAGAAATTATTATTGATGAACTTATAAATAGCATAAATACAGTTTCTTTTAAAATTAAAATAACAATTCAAGGTACGTTTCAAGAATAGCATAGTATTAACCTTTAAAAACACAGGTAGGTAATCTATATTAACTTAAGAATATCTAAAACATGGTATATGATGATTTTAAGAGTAGTATAAAATAATAAATTTTTAATTTTCTTGTACAATATCACAATTATTAATATTAAATAAATTTTTTTTATTTAAGATTAGTAAATTTAAATACTTAACTATATCTATATAAATGAAACAGAATGTTTATATGTGAGTATGAATGTATCTACCTTACACATATAAATTCATTAGGCCCTCAAATGAAAAACCCTTTTTTGTTTTCGCCTCCCTCTTCCAAAAACAATTATTGAACAATAATAAAAATCAATAATAAAAACAATAATAAAAATCAATAAATATACTTATTATCTATTGATAGGTAATAAAAACTCACCAAAGATATAGAATTATTTTTGCTTCCTAAATACAGTAGCAAATTTTTCAAGTAATCAGGATCATTGATATCACCAGTATCACTTTCTCCAAAATACCAATTTTTTAGTGTGGGAAATATTAAACGATCATCCACAATAACATTTCTTATATTGTGGCCTTCATAATATGGGTTTAATGTATTTGCTGACCATTCCCACTGAAAAAAAAAGACAATTAATTAGAGAACATTCTTGTATTCATTTTGGATTAACTCCATATCAATACCACTGAGGAGTAAGTAATGACTTGTGTTGTAAAATTTACTCATATTATTTTGAAAGTACTGGCTGGTTTCAGTTTAAAATAGTTGTGTATTCAGTTTAAAATAGTTTCTTTTTCAAGCTTGATATAAGGAAGCTAATATTTTAAACTTGATACATATTCGATTCAATCAAATTTTCAAAATGATTACATTTCTACATCCAGGGGTCTGTTCAGGCCAAATTTACTACCGTTTAGTGGTAGCTTCACAAATTCAACTGTAGAAAAATTTCACAAAATACTTTTTCTTAAAATTTTATTTTTGTATCTCATATAAAAAAAGAGAAATCCATATTTTTGTGTTCATTTTTTAATATAATTTTCACAAAATCTCAAAAAAACCTAAACAGACCCCTGACATCATTAAATAGTAAGATATTTTTATTTGTTTTAAACTTATAAAAGAATTTCAATAAATATTAATTGTTAAGCTAATTATTATAATTATTTTGAATGTTTGTTTTGAATATAATTTTCCTTTGAGACATTTTATCTAACTCTTTTGGCTAAATTTATGAAACTTTTGCTTTGTGTTAAATTAAGAAATTTTTTTTCTTCTAAAGTTTTCTCGTGTAGGTGATAAGAATTTTTTTAGGAATAACTAATTCCAATTTGATTCCCAAAATGTTTTTGCATGAGCTGAAATAATTTCAGTTTTTTGCCTGCTAATCAAAATATCAGGAAACAAATTAACTTAAAATGTGTTACTTAGATTTAGTTAATTTTTCAGCTGTTATGATAAATAAACTGGAAACTGTTATATCTGTGGATTTTTAATAGTTTCACAATCTCATAGAAAGTAATGATAATGAATACGTTAAATATGTAATTTCTTAACAAAATATTTGGAATTTTGCATTTGATTTAAAACAACTATCATTTTATATTAAAACCAAATTTATTCATAAGTCTGCGATTAAGAGAGATAAAATTTAATGATAAGCTCAAAAATTCAATCTAAACTTTGCTTTCTAATAGAAGCAATAGAAAAGTTTTTTAATTATTTTCCACTCTCATTTTTGTTTAGGATGTAATTTGTAATTTATATGTATGTGATACTTAAAATATGTGTTTTTTTGCAACTGATACTTAGTTGTATCAGATCAGTTTGTAACTGATGCCAAAGAAATTGGTACTTAACCATCTACTAGGACCTATGCCAAAATAGTTACCAAGTTTTGGTGACAATTGGAAATTGCGTTTGATAAACTAAAATAAATGTCACAAAATGGTGCAAAGTCAAAAAGAATGTCTGGGCAAGCTATTACATGGATTTTTAAAAAAAAGTTAATTCCAAATAGCAGAACTGGCCAGTACTTGGCAACTATTTAGCAGCACTAATAGGTACCGATATGGAGATATTCTCGTCCTTTTTCGACCATATAAAGGGAAGATTTCTATAGTTTCATAATAACTGTTTAATGTTGGCAAACAACATGTTTAGAAATCTGTTTCAGTAAATAACCAAAACCCCAAAATAAAAGGAAACATGCATAATATTCATTATAGGGGAAGATTTTTGTATCATGATCAGTGGCAGAATAATCGCCAAGTTTTTGCAACTTTTCAGGCAGTGGCCTGAAAACTAAGAAGAAAAAAACATCACAGAAAGGGACCAACTCGAGAGGTATAATTCATAGCTACCCCCATATCAAACCTCTAAGTGTTTTCGCTTCTTAAATTTTGCAAGTTCAAAATCTATTAGGCGCCTTGGCGATTGTAGTTGTAGGCAGATCACAATACAGAAATATCCTCTAAAATAAAACTGCATGTAAGGAGTAAACTGCTTGCTAGAATAAAAAGGAGGAACCTTCTTACTGATACATCTGGATGATGTAAATGTAAAAAATAATTTATTGCACTGATAAAGGCACCAGGTGCTTCACAAAGATGTGCTGATGCGAAACTTTCAACACCTTCAGGTAAAAGTGAAAAGGTAGAAAGTATTTCGTAAAATTTGCACCAAGCTTGAGTTAATATTTCTGGTTGAATTTTAGATTTTATATAATCTATGACATAGCCAGCTTTATTAATTTTACAGGTGTGTTGAAGCCAGAGTTCACCTTTGTCGTTCAATTGTGATTTAATATGGTTCAGTTTAATTTTCAATTCAGTTATAGAATTTATAACCCAAACATCTTCATGGTATATTGAACAATGAGAAGGTAGAATCCATTCTTTTTTCTTTTCGAATGTGAATTTCTGATCAAAGGAAGAGTTAATCGATACTTCGGTCAAATCAAACATTTTTCAAAGGAGAAATTAAACAACATGAAGATTAACATTTTATTTTGAGTGACACATTGAAGTGTTGTAGAAAGAAATAAAAATATTTCTTGCAACCTTTTGATGTAATTCGCTTTTTATTTAAATCTAGAACTCAGATTTTTAAATTACCCGGTTTACATTGAAAATAAAAATTTAGCAGAATGACAACAAATACTTTTTGATTAAAGTTACAGTTTAATTAAGCTATGATTTCAATTAAAACTTATTTCTTATTTGCTGGCAACACGTGCAAAATTTTTCAATTCTGTATCAAACCAAAACTTCAACTTAAACTTTAATTATATTTAGATTGTTTTTGTGTGTTTTATAATTTGGCGCTAATGCAAAATGATATATATGTGTAATTAAATAAAATTTCTTTTATTCATTAAAATTAGTTAAAATGATTCCTATAGAACAGATTATTCATTCATTATACAAGTATGCAGAGTTATTGTTTTCTAAAAAGTAGAGTTTGTTATTTGTTTGTAAACTTGTATAGTAAATAATACCAATTTTTTAAATTAACTAGCTTGTTCTAGTCATTAAAAAACGAAAATAGCTTCTTTCATTTTTTGTATATACCTTTTCAGTACAGTGTGTTATAAATAAAGGCTTTTATAAAACTCTAAATGTATAAAACGAAACAATGTTATTCAATGCATTCTTAGGTTTGTGTAGGATCTTGATTAGTTATAATTTCTACTATCTGTTATGACCAAATTATTGCAAAAAAGATTTTCATTTTTGAATGAAGCTCACAATTTTCCAATTAAGTTGTTAACATCTGTTTGTTTATTGCCATCACTTTTCTTTTTGATAAGAAACTGGCTTCGTTAAAATAACTGTATGGCTAACATTATAAATTTCCTAAGCGTTTAAATTTATCTTTGCATATGGAATCTAAATTTCTATCACAGAGATGCACAACCAATTTTGGAAAGTCGGACACAAGAATTAGAAAACACTATGTGGGGACCAACTTTAGCATAAAACTATAATCGTAAGAATTCGAATTCTGTTTAGATATGTTTGAAAGTAAGTTGAATTACGTATGCACGTGTAACTAAATTTTTGACTTGAAAAATTTAATGAAAAAATTTAAATCTGAATATAAAAGTGTTAACAAATAAATTACTCTGTAAGAAAACTTCATTGGGTTCAAAAATATGTCAATGGAAATAAGAGATATCAATAGAGATGCCCATTCTCAAAACTTACCAGATCAGACTACTTGCAACATGTCGAGTTTTATTTCCATTTGCATGTTTTGTTTTTTTAATCAAATAATATCTTATCGCTTTAGTTTCTTGGGACTATTTATTATATAGAAATAGTTGCAAGATAGGAAGATTTTTGTATCAGTACCTGCACCAGAATAATTGTCAAGTTTTGGGAACTTCTGGGCAGTGGTATGTTAAAAATTAAAAAAAAGAAAACATAACAAGAAAGTGACCTACTCAAAGAATATAACTTCTAGTCACCATCAGGTGACTAGAAGTTATCTCAAGTCTCAAATCTCAGGTTTAAAATCATAGTGCCCTGGTGATTATAGTTAATGAGAATCACATAAGAAAAATATCCTGCAAGATTACAAACTGAATTACTATGACAACTTTATAAATATACAAAATATTTTTTTAACTGAAACTTAAAAATTTTCATTTACCTGAAAAGTTAACATTTTTAAGTAGAATTATCGCATCAAGCTTCTGAAATTATAAGGTTATTGTATAGGCTAACTTTTAAATACAGATGGGACTTGGCTTATCCACTGAAAATTGCTGCAATATTTGTTGTTGATGTGCCCAGTTACTGTCTTGTTGGATAGCGAACAGGGGCAGATTTCCGTAGTGTGATCTGCAGTAGAATATTCGCCAAGTCTCGGAAACTTCCGAGCAGTGACCTCGCGAGAAACTAAAAAAAAAACAAAAAAGCATCACCGATAAGGACTAATTTGAAAGGTATAACTCGTAGCCAAACATCTACATATTTTTTTTATTTTTTTTTGAAAAATTTGGAAGTTTAAAATCTATTTGGCACCTTGGCGATTATAGTTGGCGCGACAGATCACAATTCAAACCGACAGATTACCAACAGCCTTTTAGAGACTTATAAGAATCTGCTTTTTTCTAGAATTAATGATTCTACTAGACTTTAAAAATTATGACATCTCATGGCTAGACATGAAAAACTGGTCTCATTTTAATAAAGTTGGTTCCTATTTAAAATATGAATTCTCTACTTTATTTATCCATCAATATTCATATTTATTCTATCTGTTAATGAACATAACTAAAATTCTAAAACATGTAACGTTTGAACAATCAAGGCTTTTAATTTGGATTGAGCAAACACCTGCATCAAGGAAAAGCTGTAATGCAATTTGATACTCAGAATTATTCATTCTCCTTCAGTTATTTATATTTAAGAAGAAAAAGCTTTTATTTTCCATATAAAATTTGGTTATAGTTTTGCCTGCATATATTTAATATTGTGCTTTCTTTTCTTGCATGGGAGAATTATGGGTCTTAAGAGTCTTGACATGAAACGCGTCTTAGGGGACTTCCCATCTTGCATACGATTTTTCGCTTATTCGCTACGTTAAAGCATATAAGCAGAATCATTGTACAGCTATTATTTATTCTACTAAACTGTTCTTAAAAAATTTATTGCTTCTTATACTTATCATTTGTTTCAGATTAAATTGAAACTGAAAATTTTTTTGCATTTCTCATCTACATGGCAAAGTTTTTCCCATCTGAAATCGCTCGATTAGTTCTGGGTAAGTCTATTAAAACTAGCTATAAAAATATCCTAATGCATATTTTTGTTTAAATTAAAAAAAGAAAAAAATTTGTTTAAATGTATTGATACTCTTGATATATAATGTCTGATTATATTACATTAGATGTGTAAAGTTATTATATCATGATTGTGTACCAAACTAATATTTATGTAATTTAATAATATGAATTTGATCTATCAATTTCTTCAATAATATATTTTCTGTTTTAAATTGTACAGTATTTTTTCTTTGCTATGAGAATTATGTGTATAGTTAATATAGATGCCTCTCAAGTTAGGATAGGTTCACAGAGTTCTTAAATTTTGTTAAAAACATTTTATTATGCTTATATTTTATAAAATAATTAAATTAATATACTTAAAATAATAAATTTCTCTTAGTAGGAACAGCTATTTCCAAGAGAGATATGCAGAAGCATAATCATAATATTTGTAATACAAGGGCAGTAAAAGTCAATCAGGTTTAGTAGTATGCATGCTGCTGTTGGAAAGAAAAGATAAAATTACCACTGTGAGGAATATGAGACTTAAATTAGGAGAAAGGATATGAAAATGTAAAGGATACCATGATGCAGTTTTACAATATAGAAATCTAATGGTTTATTATGCTCATTGCACCTATTTTTTAAGGAATTTTATTTTCCTGGTCAACATCAATAGTTGCCAATATTATGTTAAAATTACACTTATGTTTACACAGATTCTTCTCTTTTCATTGGCACAACAGCCCAGGATGGGCCTTGGCCTTCTCAACAAGCCTATGCCAAGACATTCTTCCCTTAGCTAAGGTTCTCCAGTTTATTATCTTTAAAACTTGTTGGTCCTTTTCAAGGCAGTCTAAAAATCTTAGGTTTGGTCGTCCTCTTTTTCTTGTACCTGTTGGCCTGGCACTAAAAACTTTTTTGGTTGTCCTGCTATCCTCCATTCTTATAATGTGAGCTGCCCATTTAATCCTTTGAAATTTGATAAATTTAATGACATCAGATTCTTTATATGCTTTTTGAAGTTCCGTGTTTGATCTTCTGAACCAGGTACCGTTTTTACTTATTCCACCTAAAATGCTTCGCAGTATTTTTCTCTCAAATCTAGCTATCATATTTTCATCTCCACGGGTCATTGTCCAGGTCTCAAATGCGTTTGTAAGCACTGATCTTATAAGACATTTATAGAGTAACACTTTTGTTTTTCTTTTTATTAGACTTGATTTAAGATATTTTCTTAGACTATAAAAACACTTATTGGCCATTGTGATTTTCATGTGTATTTCTTGTGTAGTGTCGTTTTTGTTGTTAATCTTAGACCCCAAATAGGTGAAGCTATCAAGGGCTTCGAATTTGTGTGCTCCAATTTCAAACTGTGTTTCTTCATAGTCAGCTTTTATGCAAGGCATATATTTAGTTTTATTTTCATTGATTCTTAATCCCATGTTCATGGCTTCCTTCTCCAGATATAAAAAGGACATAAACACAGGTTATAAAGGACATTTGCATGAGTAATAAATAATGATAAATGTGATGTTATGACATACAGAGTGGGAGGAACAAAGACATTGATGTTGCATAATATGTCATTTTCTCAGAATTCACTTGACTTTTTTTTTTAAAGGTTAAAGAATTGCCTGATTGTGTTTCTTAAATCTATCTACTAAGTAGGAAATTTTCATATTAATTTTTAAGCAATAAACGGAATTTTTCTGCATATGGATGTGAGGTTACTGTTTTTAGAGGCATTTTGGTTTAAATTGCCTCTAAAAATATTTGTGTTAGTTACGGTAAAATTTAGAAGTACATTTTTCGTTTGTGAAGAGATTAGCTACAGCTGTGGAATTGATTTTATAATTAAATAATTTAATTATTGTTGTGCTTGTGTTAAAACGCTGATGAATTTAAAGAAAGAATTATGTAAGCCTCAGAGCTATTTTGTAGAAAAGAAATAAGATACATATGACTAATTTCAATTTGGTAATATTTTATGTGTTATTGTATCTTTTTATTATGTATTATTGTTCATTATTATGTATCATACTATCTATTTACTGAAAGTAGAGAATGTTTTAGGTAGTTTTAATGATTTATTTTTATCTAATTTGGTGCTAAGTGATAACGAATCTGTTGCCATTTGCAAATAGTCGATAAAGATCTGCAGTATTTTTTATTCATAAAATGTATATTTAGTGATATTAAAGAGTAGATTTGGGCATAATTTTTATAAAATTGGATCCAGAGTGGTAAGAAAATTCTTGCCTTTGTGCAAATATTTGACATAGATATGAAGTTAATTTAAATTTATGAAATGTATGTTTACAGATGTTAAAGAATGATTATTGTTGGAGTCATATAAAATTTAGATGGTTCAAATTATTTATTTGAATTTTTGGTATGTGATGAAAATAAAAAAATTGTCAAAAACTGTTAATGAAACAAAAATTTGTAGAGCAGTAAGGAAGGAATTTCAGGAATTTTTGCTTTTATAATGCAACTCTGTGAAAACAGTGTATAATAACTTCAGAATTGATAATAAAGTAATTTCTATATTAGAAGAAGAAAAGTAAATGGAATCATTCAGTGGAAAAAAATTGTTACCTGAAGGCAAAAAGCTTGATACAAATTTGCCCATGAATATGATTTTGAATTTAAAATTTTGTTTTAAAAACGATTCTCTGGCCTTTCTGATCTGCATGGACAATTTAGCAGTATTATAATTATTTTACAAAAATTAAATATACTTCCACGTGAATGTTATGACAGGTTTGTTCAAAAAGTTGGATCATTTGAAATATATTTGTCCTACAATGCAGATCAAAACAAGCTTCTGTTCTATCTTATAGAATTATTCTATATTTCTTCCAGAAGCTGAAGATTCTTTCAATCTTAACTCATAGTCAAATAAAAAAAAAGATCAGATATGCAAACTGTTAAATTAACAGTTGTTAAAGAACTTGAACGTTTCCCATTGATAATGACAGAAAACTTTAAAAACAATTTCACTGTAGAAGATGTCACTGTTAATCATGTTAGAAATATTTCAGACCTTATTTTTTCAGCTAAAAATCAGAAATTTAAAGGTTTTGTCTTGATTGCTGCAGCACACATCGACAAATTTCTTCCAACTACAACTTACCTATGAAATTAATGCTATTCCCATTAAAGATGTCAATATATTTCAAATTTATCAGAATTTCTTTCCATTTTTAATTCGTTTTTCTAATTTTGTGTGTTTGGTACATTGCTCTTTGAGCCTATTTTCATTATTAAAATTTTATTTTGTAACTATTTTACAAGATTTATTAAAAATGACAATTGGCATTATTGTGTATAATCCCCTGTAAAAGTATCTTTTCTTTTGCATATTTTCTTTCCTCATGCAATCATATTTTGGTGTATGAATGTTTATTGTAAGGTAATTATCATTTTTTATTTAGTTTTGTCTTATGATACAAAATAATATTTGCAGAAAACCCCTTGTCATGTTGCAATTTCTTTTTAAAATTACAAAAACTACTTAGAAATGTGTTTGAAACTTTTTAAATTTTTAAGATATGCAAATCAGATTTTTTTGATTAGTTGCCAAATACGATTCCCCAGAAAACTATGGAAAAAAAGTTAAAATTTTTCCTCACATGCGCAGTATGAAATTACTACTTTAATTATTTATATATTGCACAGTTTTCAACGAATTTTTTTCAAATTTTAAGGCAAAAATTTTGTAATTTTAAACTGCTCTAAAATTTTTGTTTGGTTTTATTGAATATTTTTTAAGTTATAGCAAAAAAACGTAAGACAAAAAAATTCGTTTTTTATAAAATATCCATATCTCCATAAGTGTTTAAGCTAGGCTTACAAAATTTTGTGCAATTATTGCATATAATAACCAAAGTAATTGTTACAAGCCACAAATTTATTGCTTGATTTGTTAGCATAGGGCAGGGATGGCGAACCAGTGGCGCGCGTGCCGTTTATGGCACGCGTCACAATGTTTTGGGCACGCCACCAATCACAAAGTTTACTATGAAGCATATTAACAATTCAATTAAAATTCACAACAAAAGAACAATTAATGCCAAAAAAGCAATTAATAACCATAAAAAAACAAGCGAAGAATAAATAACTAGCAAAAAAAATAACAATTCTGCTTAAACTAACATCTTATAACCCTAATATAAGTTATTTGTCATTTAATCTGCAACAACGGAAGTCACACTGATGTTACTTTAAGTTGAATTACGCGTATAACTGAGACATTACGAAAGTTGAGAATTGCATTTTTGTGAAAGATAGTATTTAGTATTATTATTTACCCAATTTGAGAGTTTTGAGTTGATAGTATTTAGTATTATTATTTACCCAATAATCACGAAATCAAAACTAATTGTCAGCACGTCTATGACCTCATTAAAATATATTTTAGAAAAAATGGCACGTTGGGGCATGAAGGTTCGCCACCCCTGGCATAGGGTGTTCAAAAACACTTTTTTTTCCATTGTAATTTTTGGCCGGTACCCTAAACCTCTCAAAGCTTTAAACTTCATTTATAAGTATGTGAAATTGCATGATCTAAGCACTTCTGATGTTATGAAACGATTCTTTTGGTATTTCTTGAGAAATATGAAGAAATGAATTAGTATAGAAGTGTTTCCATTATTTTTTCCACCCCCTGTTATAATATATATATGTAACTAACAATGTAATTTTAAAAGAATACTTGCACTTTTAGTGTTCCATGACTATAAGTTATTTTAATTTCTGAAATAAATTTTGAAATAACATTTTTTAAGCAGTCAAATTAATTTAATATGTTTTTAGCAAATGTATATGCACAGATATTAGTATTTTAAAAATAATGCCTATGCCAGGGATGGCGAACCAATGGCACGCTACACAATATTCTGGGCACGCCACCGATCACAAATTTCACTATAAAGCATATTAACAATTGAATTAAAATTCACAAAAACAAGTAATAAAAACAATTAAAAAAATTAACAATTAATGCCAAAAAAGCAATTAATAACCACAAGAAACGAGCTAACAATAAATAACGAGCAAAAAAATAATAATAGCCCTGCTTAAACTAACATCTTACAACGTAATATAATTTATTTGTCATCTAATCTGCAACAACAGAAGTCACACTGATGTTACTTTAAGTTGAATTACGCGTATAACTGAGACACTGCAAAATGTTTTTTTTTTTTCATAGTAAATAAAGAGTTTTGAGTTGATAGTATTTAGTATTATTATTTTCCCAATAATCACAAAGTCAAAAGTATTTGACGGCACGGCTATAACCTCATTAAACAATTTGTTTGAAAAATGGCACGTTGGTGCATAAAGGTTCGCCACCCCTGGCCTATGCCATACCTTTTTAACTTAACTTTACCTTTTAATTTATTCAAAATAATTTTAATTTATCTAGTTCTGCAATTTGTGTTATTCGTAATATACATCTTAACTAATCTATTATGCAGTTTTAAAATTATGTTTGATTGAAAATCAAACATTTCGATGTCCTAGGATTTTTTCTACTGTGTTACCTTTTTTCTTGAATTTCCAAAAATAGGTCCCATGACTTGTTTCTTATTGTAAACTGACTTATTTTTTTTATTTAAAATTTTTTTGAAGATTGTTACAGGGGGGAAAATAGGTTCGTGTTTTTTTTTTTTTTTGTGTTAAATCAAAAAGAGTGCTGCTGTTTCAAGTTTCGTGCTACAGAAACATTCCAACAACAGCTGTTTATAAGTAGGGTTTTAAATATTAAAAAAAAAAATTCTTTTTTTTTCTTCAAAATTTCTCTCAATTTTCAGTGTTTGTGTGTTACCCTTTATTTACACATATTTATAAAAGCTAATATCTGAAGCAATATTTGTTAGTGTTTTATTATGCATCAATTTGTTAGTTTTGTATACATTCAGTTTTTAGATTTTTATCGTGTTTGTTGATACTCATCTTATGTATTTATGTATATATAATATTGAAATTCTTTTTTCTAGGATATTTAAGGGATTTACCATGTCCGGAAACACAACAAAAGTTTTTAGTGGAATGTCCCCATCTTCGAGAATATTATCAGTTATTACAAGAAGGCGAGGCTTATCCTACAGATGTAAATGGGAAATCACTAACAGAAATACTGAAGGAATATTGCACTTTAAAACGTTAGTTAAAAATAATTTATAACTTAAATTTTCAAAAAAAAATTGATAGTTAAATATTATTTTAAAATAAATTTTCATTTTAATCTTTTATAGGTGAATCCTCAAAAAGTTCTGCAAATGTACCCAGTTCTTCAAACACAGCCAATCATCATGTGCCTCTTCCTACTCCTGTTGCAAATCCTGATTCCTCCAATCCTGAAGGTTTCAAAACTCCCTGCAAAGTATACTGTTTAGTTTTTTAGTTATTTTTTATTAAAATAATACTTGCTAACTTTTTTCATTTTACGATGCATTTGTTAATATATATGGTAATTGAGTTGAGTTTAGTCTCAATTTTTAAAGATGCTATCTGCCTGAGCTTAAGCATTTATATTCCATTTCCAATGAGTTATTTAAATATTTTGAGTTACTTCTTAATTAAAGTCATTGAAACAATTTTTAATTTCGCATATGCAATTATTTATACTTTTTATAGAGTTAGTTGAATTTTTTATTTGAAAACATATGTTTCCTCATTTACTTTTATGTTGTTGTTGTACGCCCCCATTGGCCAGCAGTGCTTGGCCAGGTCCATGATGTTAAACACCCTCAAAAAATACAACACCGTCAATGGATCATCTGTTAAATCCTGCTTGGTGAGACCCAGGCACGCGAGGATGTGGTGAGGCAAAGCCTGCTCTGAAGAACAGTTGGTACAAATTTCAAAGTTCTTGGATCCTTCTGAAAATTTCATTGATTTAAGGTGACCACTTCGAAAGCGGGCAAGAATAGTTTGTTCCCATCTATTAAAACCTTGGGCCAGGGAGCCTCCAGGGTAAGAACACTGATATCATGGGTGCTTTAGGGGGATACTCCAGGTGATCTTGTTTTCGTGTTTTATTTTTGAGAAAATTTCCAAAAAGGTGAGGGGTGCCGACGGCACAAGGGACTCGCAAGCACCAGCTTTAGTCAAAGTGTCTGCAATCTCGTTACCTTCAAGATCGGCGCGTGATGGGATCCACTGCAGATGAATCTGATCCGAAATGGATAGTCGTTTTTTACTTTTATGAATCAATTGATTTGTATAAAATGTTTTTGATCTAATCACTTATTGACGGTATAATATACTGAAACATATAATGTACTCTTAACAGCGTTGTGTATATGCATGGAAAATTCGTCACCATCCTGGAAATGTTCTTACTCTTACTAAAAAGGGGAAAGAAAAATTCGTCTCTTCAAAAAAGTTTTTTTTCTTCCTACTAATGGAACGTGATTTAAAATTGCATTACATGATTTTTCATGTAATGCATGCAAATATTCTTCTTCTCTATATATTAGCGCCAATTTTATATATTTAAAATTGCATTACATGATTTTAAACCACACATCACGGTTCATATTTACACATTTTAAGATGATGCATTGTGTTACATATTTTCACAATTTCGTATTCATGCGCCAATTTCATATAAATCGCCAATATTGTGGCTTTTGTGTTCAAGTATTTTAAAAATTATACATTGGAATTTGTATTCCCACGGTTTCAAAATCAAATATCAAGATTCATATTAACACGATTTTAAAGTCAAGCACCGAGATGCGTTTTAACATCATCTTGAAATCAAACATCGAGATTCATATGCACGCGATGTTAAAACCGATATTTGTATTCAAACAATTTAAATAAATTAAATCTTGCATCGATATTTATATTAAAACGTTGATAACATTCTGTGGATAAATGCTTCCTACATACACTTTTTTCTTGCTTAAATATCAGGTATTTTTTCAATTATTTAAAAAGTGTTTTTACACATAAGATTTTTGGATTCAACTCAACTCATTCCTGCGGTTTGAATCAATATAGAGTTCCGTAAAAGTTAAATATTTATAAAAAAGAGCTGTGATTTTCAAACCAATTTCGCCAAATTGAAGTTGGGACAAAAGGTTGAAACTAGTTACAAGTGTTAATCAGTGTGTGCAGAAAGTTTTTTTTACTTTAGATTTTGTGTTCGCAGAAAGTTTTTAATTATATTATATCTAAGTCTGCTTATTGACAATTAAAACTTCGTTTAAAAAAAAAACATTATTTTTCTAAATACCATAATTTCTGTCATGTGTCTGAATCCTTTTTTTTAATTCTGATATTTTTTTTGCAAAATATTTTCCACAGATATTAATTCATTTAATAAATATGGTTGTAAAAATTCTTTATTTAATAAATGATTAGTTATTTCTATCAAGTTTGAGATAAGATAAGATTTCAACTATTTGTTTTTAATTACAAATCAACCAGGTGATATCTTTAGAGAGACCATAATCAAGGTAAGAAGAGAAAAAAAGTGATTTCCAAACTATTATATTACCAATCTATTAGAAGGCATGACTAATAATTCTTTGTCTTATTTTACTTATCACTGCCTAGCTTGAAAATAAAAATAATTCAGGCATACTAAAAACTAATGTGAGAATCAGTTATGTTTAGATTAAAATGAAAGCAAAAACAATCCTGTTACGTTTAACATGCTCATATTGAGGCAACCTCTTTGTTATTTTCATTGATTCATAAATACCCCTAGAAATGTCGCTTAACTGGTTCTTCCACTAAGCTTTTCAATAATGTTGGTATGCACGTTTTATATTTGTGCATGACTTCGTAGTGTTGTTACTGATAAATTTTTTAAAAATTTTATTCAACCCATACAAAGAACAGGTATTCAGCTAGTATATATATAATTTATTCATATCTTAGTTTCCTATGTTTTAGAAGAAAGACTTTAAAATGTTATATATTCTAAAAAGTAGAGATGTAACGAATATTTGGCCACTATTTGGTATCCCACCCTTTTACCGAATATTCGGTTGACTGAATGTTTGGCCAAATATTCGGCAATGTATTTTTTTGAAAAATATTTTTTTGAAAATCATATTTTTTACTATACATTATTATAACTAGTTTTTACACATATTTGTTAAGCTCTAAAACTTGCACACGACTTGCATATTTCTGTTCTGTGAAATAAATGGAAAAGCGAAATTTGAAGAATTGAAGCAAGATTACTATATACTAAATCAAGAGTTCTGTACTTCTTACTTATGATTATATTCAGGCTAGTCAATTTCATCTCTTTTTTTTTCCCTCCAATTTTTGTTTTAAGAATTAAAATTTTTTTGTTGTTGCTGTTTTTATTATAGCGCTGAACATCGCGCTTTTGAGGAAAATATTATTTTTGGCATTACAGTTTTATTTTAAGAATTAAGAGGGATTTCTTCAGTTTTTTTTTTTTTTTTAAGTTATAGCTGTTAGTTTTTTATTGCCCCATACGAAAAAATATGGCAAAGTTTTGATTAATTTTCGAAATTTTTGTTATCTGTTAATGATTTTTTTAAAAAATGTTGCTATTCGGTATTTTTATGTCATATTTGGTATCTGGTCGAATATTTGGCTAACCAAAAGGCATTTATTTTTTCAAAAACAGTTTTTGATTTCACATTTTTCAGCCACTCAAGATCTGAGGATTTTATCCTTGGAATTTTGAAATTTATTCTCAAGATTAAGAAATTTTGACCTGTTGTATGGATTTTTAACATAACAAACTGCTTCAATCACACCCTTGTTTCAGACATGATATGGTTAAAATATGACTTTTGTGGCCAAAATTTGAATTTTAGAAAAGTTGGAGGTAACATTTTAAGTAGTGTCTCTTACACAAATTAAACTGAATTTTTGTCAACCCTCAAATTTCCACTGTACTAAATTTTATGTTGTACTTTGTTTCAAATAGTATTTCTATTCTGTTAATGAATTTTTTCTTTCTTTAGAGCAACCATGTTGCTTTAGTAAAGCATAGAAGTACTCAAAAAAGCCAAACTCAGTCGGTTACTACAACATTAAGTTATCAGACTGAAGTTCGCACTCCAAGATTAAATCTTAGTTCAAAGTATTCATCGCCATATACTCCGAGAAGATTAACCGGTGCTATTACAACTCCATTAAGCTTCACTGGTGACTCACGTGAGTTTTTCACGATGTTACATTGTCATTATAAAGTTACATTTTATTTATTAGCTAATTTTTAATGTAAAAAATTGAAATTTTTTTTTTGTATTAGAAATTATTCTGCATTTTTTATGACGCAGTTTTCATACAATCTGGAGCTTTTTTTAAATTTTAACTGTTATATTGTTTTATAGTTTATCAGCTGTCTCATAATTTATCCGTATTCATAAACAACATGGTTTATTATTATTAAATATTAATTTTGTTACACTTTATTTATATTTTTCCGAGCTTTATAAACAGATATCATAAAACTATGTTAAACCAAACATATCTTAAGTTATACAGAGTTTTCACTACAGCGCGAGAACGCGAGAATCTCGCATATTTGTTTCTTTTCTCGCATTAAAAAATTATTAGCGCGAGAAGTTCGCGCACTGAATTTATCTATTTTAAAATGCACGAATCTCTCGAATTTTGGAAAAAATTTAGTCTTCCGCCATTTTGAAAAAGACATGAAAACAGCTACGACAAGTGTTGAGAAAAAAAGTGAGTTCTTTATAATAAGTTGTTTAAAGTTATCTCTAGTTTTTGCTGTTAATGAATTACTAAACTCCCTCATCGACAATTTAGAGCAATTTATAAAAGTTTAAGTCTGTGAAAACTAATCTGGAAGACCTGACAAATAGTATGAACATGGAAATAACTTCAACGAACTTCACTATTCCATAACAGAAATAAGTGAGGAACCTATGCTGGCAGATGTAGAGGATAGGAAAGTGTGTGCACAATGCTACAAATTTAATTAGTGATTCCGAATAGTTCAGTATCTGTTGCAAGGTTATTTAGCCCCCAAGCCGAATTAAAACAAAATATTGTAACAGATCGATTGGTAAGCATTTGAGCAAACCTAATGAGAATAGCTAATGAAAAAGTAGATACAGAACATTTTCCATATGATAATGCAGCAAAAATATTCAATGTTCAATGGTTTAGAAATCAGAAGATGTTAAAAATTTATTATAATTAAAGAAATATTTTTTTTAAAAGTCTATTCGGGTTTTTTTAATTTTTAGAAATCTCACTTAACTTTTTGAAATCTCACCCTGTTTTTGAGACAGGGTGAGAAATTCTCTATCATTTTTTTTCTGTAATGAAAACACTGTTATATTGCTGAAATTATTGTTCTTATGGTAAGAACGATCGTATAAAATGAATAGGAAATGGCCTACATATATGTTACTTATATATGTTATATGTACTGTGTGCCAAAAAAATGGACCTCCCTGAATAACTTTTGATCTAATAATTGGATTTTCATGTTTTGGGACTCGATCTTCATGGTTCAAAGAGGTGACCTCAAATATTCTAATTAATAAGTACAGGCAATATTTTAAGTTACGAAATCAGACAAAAAAACATACTTTTGTCTGTAACATACCTTTTTTTCGACGGATTGAAATTTTTGTCCAGAAAAATATCGGGGGTAGCCACAATCTGTGAATTATGGTCTCCATAGTTTGATCAGAAGAGCGCTTCAAATTTTGGACCTCTTAATACTAATTTTACTTCTTGCATATTTCACTCTAACTCGAGAACTTTTTAAGCTGATTGAAAATTTTAGCTCATAAGTATAAAATTCGTTTATCCAAAGGTAATTCCATGCAAAAAAATAATTTTAAGTAAATATTTATAATTTTATTTAATAATGATCAAAAAATTTTGAATTGTAAGGTATGCAATTCTTTGCATAATTTTAAAAAAGATAATTTTGTATGGCCAAATGCAAAATTTGAACAAAATCATTTGAATTGTTCCTGAGACATTAAATTTCCAAAAAATCAGATATTTAACATTTGATTTCTCAGGAAGTAGTCATTCGATTTTGATCAAATTTTGTATTTTGCCATGTAAAATTACATTCTTTAAAATGATTCAAAAATTGTATACCTTACAGTTCAAATTTTTTTTAACCGTTACTAAATAAAATGATCATAAATATTTACTAAAAATAAGTTTTTGCATGGAATTATCTTTTGACAAAAAAATTTAATAATTGTGTGCAAGAACTTTTCAATAAACTTAAAATGTATTCGAGACAATGTGAAATATACAAAAAGTAAAATTAACATTAATGGATCCGAACTTGGGTGCAATCGCTTGACCAAACAACTGGAACCATATTTCTCAGATTGTGGCTACCCCCTATATTTTGGGGCTCAGAAATCCAATTCCGTCGGGAAAAAAAAGGTAGGTTTATTCAGGGAAAGTATGTTTTTGTGTCTGATTTCGTAACTTAAAATATTATCAGCACTTATTATTAATCATATTTGAAGTCGTCCACTCGAAACATTAAGATTGAGTCCTAGAACGTGAAAAATCCGATCATTAGATCAAAGACTATTTAGAGTGGTCCTTTTTTTTGCGCACTGTACATTATTATTTTTAGAATTTTCTATCTTCTGAGTTCTTGAAATTTTTTTGATATGAATATGTTGAAAAAATATATGTTTTTTCTTTTTAAATATTAAAAATTGATCGTTTACATTATTTAAATTTATAATTATTATTATTGTAATTTATTATTATATATATATTGCTAGTTTATTTTAATTACTTTTTTTATTATTTATTTGTGTTTCTATTTTACAGCTCCTCATAAGAGTTCTACTGCACCTATCTTTAAGCGAACAGCTAATTCTGATCCTATTCCCAGAAAGTCTCATAGATTTGTGCAAACTGATGCTTGTAACAATGATCATGCCAGTCATAGTTTAATTCCAAATAGTGCCACAACTCCACCTTTTTCCCACAGCATAGTCCAAAATTCACAGACTGCAGAAAATGAAACAGTTAAAAATAGCCATTGTTCCCACATTACAGACTCACTGCCTGATTCAATTACAAATCAACAGCTGTCTGAATCAACTCCAGAAATCATTTCAAGTGAAAATAGTGTAACCCTAACTCTTGAAAGTTCTGTCACTCCACAGTATATAACGGATCCACCACCTTATGCTAGAGCACCAGCTACTAATTCCCCAAGGCTCATATTATCTCTCGACAGATCGCAAATAGCTTCGTTAACAACTCCCCTGAAACATCCTAGGAACTGGGTTGAGGAAAGTGCATCACCTAAACGGAAAGGGTAAGTTGAAGTGTTCATAATTTGTCTTCCAATTTACATTAATGTTCTTTTTATAAAAAAAAAACTTTTTGACACAGAAAATTTTATTTACATTCTGGTGTATGTGAAGCCCTTTTTTATTATTTACTACTGATGTGCTCGATTTCGTCCCCTGCTATTGCAGAGCCAACAGCAAAAGGTAGTTTTCTTTGGGGGGGGGGGAATTACTTTATCAATTGCTTTTCGACATTTCTTTTTGTACCAATATTTATTTTTATGAATTATACACAGTCCAGTCATCAAAACCTGTCAAAGACCAGAATAATCGCCTTTCTCAGAGTGGACCTCAAAGAGATATACAGAAAGAGAGTCAATCAGGTTCTTGAAAGTGTTAACTACAATGTTGATCAATGCCGTGACCATCTTTTCCTGGTTACCCTGTTGAGGGTCCGTGGTACAAATAATACGATCGGGGTGGTCCCACAAATTGCTTCCTGCCATTTTTAAAATTGTTGCTGGCATTACAAGCCATATGGACCAACCATCATCTATCCGATGGGGCATAAAATTTGTGATTCATCAGATTAAGCCACCTATTGCCACTCAGTGAACATCCAGTTGCAGTGCTGGCATGCAAAATCTAGCCTTCGTCACCGATAAGTAACAGTCAGCATAGGTACATCAACCAGGCATCTGCTGCAGAGGCCCATGCCCAGCACCAATTGCCGAACCGTTATTGAGAAGATGCTGTTATAACCACTTTCCTCTGTGTAGTCAGTTAGTCATCAGTTGCACATCTATTCGATCAAATGCATCTCCGCAGCTGTCATTCATCTCTGTTATCTATAGCTGTAGTACACCACATTTGCCATGTCACTGATTTTAGATAATGTCATCTTGCAATGCACTGAATACTTTTACCATGGTGGCGTCCAAATAGTTTATAAAGAAAGCCATTGATCATGCCCTTTTGGACATAGGTTACATCGTTCCATTTCTGCATTATCCACAAATCACTATGTTTCCTGATTGCTGTAGTCACTCTTTATGTAGGCTTCACTGCAATGTGCTGCAACGTGCTGTGTGTGATTGGTTATTACTCGTTGATGTAAAAAAATAGATAGTAGTCACATCCCTGTGGCAGAATTGCAGCAACATTGTTCCTGCAGAAAGATTTTACTTTTGAAAAGAAGAAAATAATACTTTTCTTTTCTACAGAAATTTACACATAATATTTAAATCATGCATTTAGGTAATTACTTTTTGACGAGTTCAATTTAAGCCGATAGTATCGTAAATCGATGTAATGTTTCAATTGTATTTTCGGCAGCTGTTGATATTGATTTCTCCATAATTTTCAAATCCAATATTTTTTATAAAATATTTTTTATTACAACTACCTAATCTAAATGAAACACGCATTTGAGGTGTCCGATTTACATTATTTTGTCGTCGATCTTTTTTTCGGCAATTACTACTATTATTCATGATTTTTTATTTTATTTTATTGTGATGATGATTTACAAAATGCAAAGAAGAAAATAATTTGTGTGCCACCCCCCCACCAACAAAATGCAAGAATATCACCCATATTAGAATAAACATGCACTATACATTACTACATGCATTACTTACTTGCACTCTAAAAATTATTAAAAGCACTGTGTTTATAAAAAAGAAAAAATATATAATTTTTTTTTCATTTAACGAAGAAAAATTATATATACAGTGAAACCTCCGTTAAGCGGACATTCATGGGACCAAAAAATTTGTCCGTTTATGAGAGTTGTCCGTTTACGGGAAGGGTACCCTATTAACGAAATTTAACACCGTAAATTGTTTTTAGAATATTTTCAAAGATGTAGAAATAATTAAATAATATCTACAAGGATATTTATTTAAACAATAAGAAAGATAAAAAAAGAATATATAAAGAAGATTGATATAAATAAATAATTCTGGATGTAGCGCTACAGATAAATAAATATAATTTTCCTATTAGCATAGATACTCAAGTTAGACATATGGTACCAAATAGGAGAGTACTATCCTCAGTCCGTTTCAATTATTAGGTTCACATCCCCTTACACCTACTTATCATTTGATAGGGAACATGGTTAATACCTTCTCGGAAAATAAACCTCCCATGATTCACAGAAAAAAAAATAATGCATACCTGTAAGTCATGAGGACCTATGGAGATGATTATTCACAATTGATCAGCTATCAAGTGTCTGAATAAATGTTTCATTTATATAAACACCTCAAAGATTATACTTCTGTTCTCTTTTTTTTACCCCAGTTGTGTTAAATACAGTCTTCAAATTGATAAGAAAATTAAAGAAATTTTCAATGGGGAAGAAGCATTGAGAGAAGTCATTTCAACTTGAGGGGTCTCATAACCTGTGTGGTCCAGATGAAAAGATCAAAAGATGCCGATGTCAGAATTATTTCAGGAGTGCAGTACCATTTTCTCTCCTTTCTTTACAAAGATAAGGCAAGGTGACAGGAGAAAGATTGATTTTTCGGTGGTGAAATAGCTTAACAATATTTTTAGTTATGGATAAGGCAAAAAGTTTTATTTACATGCTTTAAAAATGGTGAAAAGTTGCATTTTTTTAGCTTGCAATTTATTTAGAAAAAGTAGTGTCCGGTTTGTAGAGATAAAAAACAACGTTTCAGGATCAAAATGACTGTCCGCGTCCGGTTACGGGAGTGTCCGCTTTGCGGAGAATGTACGTAATGGTTTATTCATAGAAGATTCCCGGGGAATTAAAAATATGTCCGTATTGAGAGGCGTCCGTTTTGCAGGAGTGTCCATAACAGGAGGTTTCACTGTATATATATTTTTTTATAAACACAGTACTTTTGTTATTTTAACTTAGTAACATATATGTTTGTTATTATTAAAAGTATCTTGCAAAAATATAATAGTGCTACAAAGTTTAGTCGCTGATAGATCGAAAAATTTCTGCCATAGGGAGTCACATTAATGTGACTGGGTTGTACATCTGTAAATAAAATAACTTTTTAAAACTATATAAATAAGTCCATTTCCTAAATAATATCCATATTTTAGTAAAATTCAGGTAAGTAAACCAATTACTTGCATTAAATTACTGTAAATAAAAAAAAGACATAAAGGTATCACTTTCTAAATTTTACTTCACTGTTTGTTAGAGATTTATTTAAAAGTTAAAGCCTTTTTAAAATACTATCTTAAATATATCAAAAATATTTCATTCTCTTTTAAAAATCAAAATTATTTTGATCAAAATTTTAAAAAATAATAATAGATTTAAATTACGATTTATATCAGTACAAATCTGATTGTGTCTTTTAATATGTTTAGATATTCTTTTTAATGCGTGTACTGCACTTTTTAAACTTCAGAATAATTTTTATTTCTTGAACTTTTCTTTACAAGTTCAATAATTAATGAAATACTCCTTTCAGGTTGATTCCACGAAGAAGATTACTTAGTGAATCTCCTAATCCGAAAAACGTTTCTGATGATCTTATAATAAATTCTTTTATAAATGAAGATGTCTGGGTAAAGATCTTAAATTATATTATTTAGTAAATGTCGAGAACCAAAAAGTGTAGATTTGCATAAACATGCATTGACTGTTCTTTACTTTCAAGAAAATCAAAAAATATGTTCTTTGTTTCCTGTCATACTTTATTTTTTAAATACAGACTTGTGTTCCAAATCGTGCTATATACAGAAAGTATTTGGCACTATATATTAAGGTTCAACTCGGTTATTAGACTAAAATATAGAAGTTAAGACAGAACACCAGTATTTAAACATAAAGAATAACAAAAAAAAAGAAACATATGTTTTTGATTTTCTTGAAAATAAAAAACATTCAATGCATGTTTATGTGAACCTACAATTTTTAATTCTCAACACTTACATATTTCAAAAAATATTGCTTTAATTTGTATATATTTTAAAAATATTAGGTAATTTAAAATCTTTCTTTCAACAGACTGATCTGCTTAAATCGCTTCAATCAGTGCCTACAGCGCAAATGATTGCTGATAATATTAATAGAGCAGCTGATATTAATTCAATTAATCGTCCTGTAAGTACAACAAAAAACAATTTATTCATTCCTTTTTGTACTAATAAAAATATATTGTATCATTATTGTTTTATTATTTTGATTGGTTGAAATCGGAGTATTGCTTCGATTTGTCTTAGGCAGAAAATAATTTTTAAATATTTTGATGCAAGTTTGTCTGCGTTGTTAGATTTTATTAATATTGATTAGCTTGTGCATGCGAAAATTTATCAGAAATCAGGCATGTGATTTTTCTACCAATTAGTAGAATTTTGTGTATCTCAAGACCGTTGATTCAAGGAATTCTGCAAATCTGCAATTAAAATTTCCTTTTCAACATGGTTTTTTCATCAATCTTTCTTAGGCAGTTATTGCTACTGATGTTTTAAAATGTGATTAGGACTTGCAAAATGCCAAAAAGGAAGGAATATAAATTTTCTTTTCTAAGTGTAAGAATGCACCCATTAGAGTATATGTTCTTCTATATCATAGGTTCTCAACCTTTTTAACGTTGCTGCCCCCTTAAGGAGCAAAAAACATTTCAACGGCCCCCTTTGTTATAGAGAGCATGGGGACGGAGGGACGTGTGCTGAGTTATAAGAGACAAAATTTTTAAGCTATATTTTTACGCTTTAAATTTGTTTGGTTTTTTAAAAAGGAATAAATTAACTCGATAATTTTCTCACGGCAGGTAATCACAGTCTATTTGTTATGATCAAAATAAATACGTTTAATGAAAAAAAAAAATACAACAATGAAACCTATACTTAAAAATAATAATTTATTCTTAATTAGATAATTAAAAAAACACCCAAAATAATTTTTTACACTAGAAAGTAATATCAACGAAGCATTCAAATAACTATGTTAGTTGGATGATTGTACTTAATGGTTCAGACAGTAATTCCTTAACGCTCGGTTTAATACTTTTAGTGAGATGAAGACGCAAATATCCTCGTTGCACAACTTCGAGTCAATTTCTCCTTTTTGTGACAAGATCCGTAACAGCACTGAATCCCCGTTCGACTAATTAGGAGGCAGGGAAGACAATTTAAAAAAGATTAACGATTGTCTGCAGTCCAGGATAGAGACGGCTGATGTTACCTCTTAGTAAAAATTCTGTGAGACGATCACCATTTTAAAGATTCATTAATTAAAAATTCGACCAATTCCTCGTAAATCAAAACCTCTGCTGTTTCAATATTTACAAAAGGGTTCAAAATCCATTTTGAGGGACTTCTAGGGCACACAACGTCTTTAAAAGGGTCAGAAAAGTCCATGTGCCAAGAGTCAAGGTGTTGACAATATTTTTGTGCGTCATCAGAGAGAATTTCGCCTGCTTGGCTGAACTCCTTCCAACCAAAATTCTGCTTCCCCAAAATGAGTTTTTTTAGAAAGGATTAAGTAACTGATTTTGTGGGGATCAAATTGAGTTCGTCCCCTTGAAATTTTAAATTAAGCGTCATTAAATTTTACAGATAAATCAGTTAAAGTCCTTCATAAATTCTAGCAATCTGTCTCTCAGAGCTACATTTCTGTTTTCGAGAAACTCAAGCACAGAGTCGAAAAGATTCCAATACCTATTGAGACAGAAGCTTTTGGAAAGCCAATGAATCTCGGTGTATAGTAGCAAGCGTCTGAATAATCAATCGTAGGCAGCATTACTGTGAATTTTGTTCACAGCAGATATGGCATATTGCAATGATTGATGCAAACGGTCACTGAGATTTTTTCCAACTAAATGCTGTCTGTCAATCACGCAGTGAACAGTTAAAATATCTGATACCACCCTTTCCAAAAGGGCGATAAACCCACGATGTCGACCCACCATTGCAGGAGCCTATGAGTGGCAATAGGCATAATATTCGCAAGAGGAATGTTTTTCTCTTTAAAATAATCTTCTACAGTATTAAAAATAGATTTACTTTTGATATCTATGTAATCAAGCTTCGTTCAAAAAGCATATCCTGAATAATGTTTCTTACCTTTACAAACCGGACCTATGCCTACAGTAAAGCCTACATTACCTGGCAAGGTTGATTCATCAACTTGAAGGGAAAATTCGATGGATATCAAACATTTGCATGAAGAAATTTGAACGTCTTCGGCCATCTCATTATTTCGTCACCGTACTGAATCGTTGCTTATGGGATGCGGCTGGCTGGAGAAAAACAGTTTCTAAAACTTCCTTGACAACCGGCAGTATCAACTCTACTTCGATGGTATGAGCTTTCCCAGATTTAGCAATAAATTTTGATACATTATAAGAAGCTATCAAACCATCGTCGCATTTTTGTGATGAGGTTGCTAGTGACTCTGAGACCGAAAATGCCTTCAGAAACGTGAAGCAAGATGTTTTTGAGAAAAATGACAAATCTATATTTTGTTTGTCAGGATATGTTTTTTGCAAATGCTGCTGCTACCGGTATGATTTCATTACCTCATTAGATAAAACTTTATTACAAAGTAAACACATGGGTAATTGAGAGTTCAACAGTGATTAAGCAAATCCCAACTTCAAGCACGTGGCACTGTATTGATGACACTTCTTTTTGTCAACCGACATTGTTAGTGTAAGCAAAATACAAAACTTTAAAGAAAATCAACTATTTCTCAAAATTAATAAATAATTTATGATAAAGAACTAATTCACGCACGTACCTGGCCAAATAAACTATGAGATCAAATCGAAACTGGGCAAAAAACCGCAAGGAAGCTTAAGAAACAAGGGTCCAGTCAAACATTCATACTGAAAGCGCTTGCATTTCAATTTCCACCAGATGGCATGAATAAGTCAGAGGCAAAAACTACTCACTCATGCGCTGAGCTGTGTTGGTTCGGATCGAAGAATAGGTGTCTTTTAAGTTCGTTTTATAGCTGGTACAACGGTGTATCGGATAATCCTTCTTTATTATATAAATTTAATCTTTTTTCTTTAATATTAATTTCAGATTAATTTTATTTATTAAATAAATCTTAATTCGATAATTTTATTTGTAAGCTTTAAATTAAATTTGAATGACAAAACATGCTCATCGCCCCCCTACCGCCCAAAACAAGTTCCCCGCCCCTCAGCATAATCCCACCACCCCCAGGGGGGCGGTATCGCCCCCGTTGAGAACCAATGTTCTATATGCTCCTAAGAAAAAAATTGATTTCTTGCAGAAAAAAATTTTATCCCTCAAAATTTTCTGAAGATTATTTTTATGCATAAAAATTATTGTTCTTTATTTAATATTTTTTCATTTAATTAAACTGAAATAATACAGCTATGAAAAAAATGGTATTAAAAACTCTATGTATTGTGCAAAAATTGCTTCATTTCAAAGCAAAACTATCTAGGCATAATTCAAAAAATTTCTTTTTCTAGCAATCACATGTTTGGAAATTCATTCATAAAAGCCAGTGTGTAAAATAAATATTTTTCTAAATATGTTATTTTTTTTATTATTTTTTTATGGGTTCCTACAAGTGATTTATATGTTATTTTAATTTTTTAAAAATTGTTTTTCAAAACGTTAATCTAGCTTAAATCTGTTTAATAACTGTTTCTATTGCGTATATTGTTTTTATGGTCTTAATTTTGCCTTCAAACCTTATTTTTGGAATCTAATTTTGTTTTAAAAATTTTATAGAAATATATTAATATTTGCAATGTAATGTTAAGTAAAAACTAAATAAAAAATTTACTTCTATGACTTAATATTTTTTGTTGACAAAATTCATTTTTCACTTTTTCTGAACCATGCTGACTATTTTAGTAAGAGGAACTTAATATATTAGATATATTTTTAGACACTTGTGCATTTTTTGCATTTACTGTTATTATATTTAAAAAAAAATTAGATTCTGTTTTTCATTTTAGTTTTCTCATGTTTCAGGATGAAATAGCTAAAAATTTAAATACAGATTATATTTTAGATGAATTATTCAGTAAGTATATTTTTATTTTATAAAATTAGTTTTGTTGCACAATTCAAGAAAACAATATAAGGCTAGGACCTGTTACATTTTTAAGTTAATAGAAAGCTGAGAATGTTCGGCTGTCATCTGCGCAATGTTAATATTTTATCTCTCATAAAAAAATATTAAAGTAGGACAAAGAAGATTGCATGTTAATATTCTAGATATTGCTGACTAAGATGTTGCTAATTTTCTCCACATTATTCAAAATACCAATTAACATGAAGTTAATTAAATACTATGCCGTATCCCATATCTAATTTGTTATAATATAATTCTTTATTGTCAACACTTTCTATTTTACCTAGATTTATTATTAATTAATGTCAATATTTTTGTTTTGTGTATCAGACAATTTTGTTGCATTCTTAGTTTATGTTCTACACGACTTCATTCTTGTCTTTTTGTAAAGAAAAAAACTAAATCTCTGTGAAAGAAAAAGTAATGCCTAAGAGAATTCATATTTGATGGGCTAGGCTTACTCAAAATGGATTGGAAAGAACTCTTGCTAATATAAACAAATGCCACATTTCAATAACCAATCAAGATCCGTACCCCGATAACGCCATTTGCAGGTATCTAATTATTAGTTAGCTCAACAAATACATCAGTATTACATCTTTTTCTTTTTGAACATTTTTTTTAATTAAAAGTTACAAAAGTAAAAATGTCTGGTGAACAAATTTATTTGATGAATATATAATTGAAAAAATAATTAAAATATGTTAGCATAATTAGTGTCCTAAAAAGTTTCCATTTAATTGTTATCATGATATTCCATGTTTTTAAGCTACTTTATTGTGATGATTCTCTTTACTTCTTTCAAATGACATTTAATTATACTATCAAATATTTTCAGGTTTATTATAAATTACAATTTTGGATCAGTACTGTATTCAAACTATTTGGCAATCATTCATGCTTACTCAGTATAAAATTTTAATTTGTAAGTCTGGGAAAATGGCTGTGAGGAAAAAAAATGAAACTTCAAAAACAACCTAATGATTTTTATGGTTAAAATTGCTGTTTTTCTTTACAAAATTTAAACTTGATAAGCTATTTAAGAATTCATTGTTAGAATAAAAACAATCCTTTGAACTATAAAAAACAAGGCCACTCAAATTTCTCTCTGTATGGATAAAATGTAATATTTTGTCTAGAGTTATAATAAACTGAGTAATTTTTTATGATACTACGGGGTACTACCTACTGCCTTGCTATAATTCTTAAAATGTAAATTTTTTTTTTTAACTTAGCATTTTAATATTTTCAAAAATAAATCAAAACTTAAACATCTTGAGATATAATAGTTCTTCAAAAGATCCTAATCTTATGAAAAATTATTATTGCAAATACAGTAAATGCCTTGTTACGAGAAGTCCATTATTACGCTAATTATACTTTTCCAACTCAATTTTAAAAATATTAATATTAAAGATACCAAAATTTATGTTCGTAAAAAGTTGAAAATTAAAATTCTTTCACTATAAGATAATTTTTTAAAAAAGTAAATACATTTTTCTACTGTTTAATTGAGCAATATTGCAGCAAAAAAGACTTTCATTTTAATTGATGACATTTTTATTTATTTCTAGTTTCGGTACAGAAAAGTTAAAGTTCGGTACAGTAAAAGTTAGAGAAATGCACATCATTACATTTTATTTCCTGTTTTTAACCTTGACACTTTTTGCTCATAAAGCAAACAATTATTATAAACTCTATTTGAGAAACCTGCTGCATACTTTGTATCTTAACGTAAAATATGGGAATTTACTTATAACGGCAAACTTGCTATAGCCACAATTATGTCGGGTTTTAGGATTTGTCATTATAAGGGACTTATACTGTAACTTTCACTTAACTGAATTGTGTGGCACATAAAAAATCATCTTTGACATAAAGTAACTCAATTATTACATCAAAATTTTTATATAAGAATTTTCCTTAAACATTTCTCTAAAAATGTGCTAAATTAATATATTTTTTATTCAATAGTTTTTTAGCCGCAATCGAAAATTTCTGAAGCGGCTATGGCATTAACATACTCAGTAGATTTCCTACTGAGCCTCTCTTCTTAGCTATATTTCCTGATCAATGAAAATATTAGGATTCATACCCATTGTATGAGGAAACCACAATCTTTTCAAATTCAAATCTCTTTATTGTCCAAACTAGTGTGTGTAATCTTATTAAGTTTGAATAAAGTATTTTTGAGGTCAGTTTGTGATCGTTGAATGGTTTTTTTCTTCTTACATGCTTGATTTATCTAATTAATATCTGTGTTTCCACATGCTATTCTGAAACATCTTTAACTGTAATATATGTTTTTTATTTTATTTATTATTTATTTTATTTTTTGCTTTAGTAGGAAAGTGTTGTCATTTTTTAAAAAAAACATATCTTTCTTTTCTAATTTTTCTAATAGGTAAGGAACCTTCTTTGTACCCTCAAGTCCTAGAAAATTTAGGAAATCAAATTGATAAGCCTTCAACATCATCTTACAATGTTGAATGTTCTCAGTCTGTTACATCTGCAAATTCTTTTACTGAGGATTGTGTTGTTTCATCACAAGCCAGCAATGATGTCAACAATTATCAGTCATATACTATTAATACCTCCACTGCATCTTCATTTAGTACAAAAACTGCTGAAGAAAATCCTGCCACTTTGGCGCATTGCAATAATAAGATTTTCAAAAATCAACCTGTTAGTAGAAATCTAATTTCTGATTCTACAATCAACCCCTTAGACCAGACAGCAATTGAAGACAATGCTATGAATTCTCAAAATAATAATCGAAGTTTCTCTTCAGTTGAAATAAACTCAAATGTAAATATAAATAATTCAAATTCTGGTGCTATTATTCAGCAAACGTCTTCTGTTATTACTTCTGCTGAGCAAGTGACCTCTGTAACCACTTCTGCTCAGCATGTGACCTCTGTTGTGGCTTCTGCTCAGCATGTAATGCCTGCTGTCACTTCTGATGCAGAATTAACATTTGCCACATCTACTGCTCAAGCAACACTTGCCACACCTGCTACTCAAGCAAACTCTGTTGTTACATCTGCACAAGCAAGCTCTGTGGTCACTTTTACTGAACAAGTTACTCCTGTTGCCACTTCTGCTGACAATGAATCAATTAATGTATCCATGGACTCTGATGAAATACAAATTATAAAAGAGATACCTCCCACACCTGAGAAAATAAAACCTGTGCAATATATAACAACTAATACAGTTCCTGAACAAAACTCAACTAATAATAATAATTCAAGTGGTGTTAACTTTGTTAATAACAGTGTCTTCCAGAGCATAAATTCTATTCCACAAACTCTGTACTTACTTCCGAATGGCCAATACATTATTCCTAATACAATTCCCATTGGAACAAATCCATTTCAAAGTAATGTTTCTTACAAAATCATTTTACCAGCACCTTCAAATCCAGCTCAAAATTCCTCCACCAAACATATTAATAACACTTCTATTAATACAAATACTTCAGTTTCAAGCCAGAAAATTATGTCTTCATCTAACAATCAAAGTTGTTTGCAAGGTAAATATATCTGTGTTTTAGTTATAAAAGTTAATTCAGTTAATTTATCTTGATATTATTTTTAAAATATGAAATATCTAATAATTAATGTTTAAGTGAATATTTTCAAATAAAAAAATTTTTTGGTTACAAAAATATGAATAAAATTTTTAGATTTCTGGAAGATCTTAAACTAGTTAGGTAAAACTAGTAAGTTTTTGTGTCCAAAACTCTACAAAATAATATTAAATTGCTCAAACTTAAAATTACGTGAACATAACATTACATACTGATTAAATATCTTAGTATATTATGCTAACAAACTCAAGTGACCCTAAATTTTCAAATAATTGTTTAACATGAAAAAGTCTGATCTTTGTTAAAATTTAGCTATAATAGTAATAATATCAAAATTCTACCAAAGAAATAACTTCCATTACTGTGAAGGACCCAATTGCATATGTAATTTTTCGAAAAAATATTTTACTTTATTTTCTTGCTTTTGCTTTGATTTCTGTTTTAGAATAAATGCAATATTTGTCAATTTTTTATAAAGTTTTGTTACAATGGTACATTTTTTTCCCTTTCATGTTAAAAAAGAAACTCATGTGTATAAATTTTTTTACAACTGCACTTGATTACACTCCAAAAGAAAATATGGTTTTGATAGGAGGAATCTTTTTTAAGAGTATGTAAAGTACATATGAAATGTAGGATTCTTGCAACAATGAAAAGTACTTAAGTATGATTTCTATTTTTAAAAGGTCTCTAAAAGTACTTGAAAATCATTTTGAAGTCCATTGGAAAGGGTGGATGTCTTTTCAAAAATAAAAAATCCTAATCTAAAACAAAATCATTGTAAGTTTTTAAAATTATTTTTAATTCATTTGTTTACAACCAATCTATCATGAGAATGCAAGCCAAAATACGTAATGTATTGTATTTATTAATTAGTTTTAAACTTTGTGAAATTTCTGATTTTTCACAAAAACTTTTTTGGGTATTACCAAAAGATATCAAAAAAGGAGATAGCTTACCACCACCAAAAGGCCGGGAACACTTCTTAACATTCCATAAGCTTCTATAAAACATCTAAATAATTGCAGTTGAGAGCTTAACATTCAAGATTAAATTTTATTCACAAACATATGGACACATAAAATATTTATGGACACACACAAAAAAGAACAGCATGCTTCGCAATCGGAGTTTTAAACAAATCTCCCTCGAACCAGAGTGTCAGTGTGTGTGGGGGAGGGGAGTCGGATTTAATCGCGATTTCCAACAAACTATGTCATGTCATCAGCCATTGTTTTGCAATTAAATATAGAAGTAAAGTAAGATGTTATTACAAAACATTTGATTATTTATTATAAAGCAGATCATTCTTCTATATAGCTCGGACTTCCATTTTTAATCACTATAGTATGTTAAATTCTATTGTGAAAGTAAGGAGTATTTAACACCAAGACCCCAAATTTTGGTAAAATTGTGTCTGTTAATTTTTAAAAGTATGATTTAAAAAAAAGAAAAAAAAAACTAATATCTTTTCCTTTTCAGATCAAAATTTGAAGAAAAGTAATAATGTAAAGCAAATTAAACCTTCTCCAAAGAGTACTAAAACAAGCACCAAATTAAGAAAAGGTATCATGCCTCCTCCTTCTACTTCTTTTACAAAACTACTTGACATAGAAGAAGAATGTGATGATCCAAGTATTCCAGTAATATCTATTCCAGAAAATGAAATAGAATTAGATCATTCAAAGGATGCAATGGAAATTTTTTCAAACATAACTGGGAAGAAGGAAACGCAAAGTCCTATCTTTAAGGCATTAGTTTCAACTGCTTTCACATTATTAGGTGGTCAAGGTGGAGGTCATGTAAGAACATTGAATTTTGGACAAAGTGCATCGAATGAAGCTAATATGAAAAGTCCAAAAGTTTCATCTCATTCAATGCCTGAGATAAATGTAGAAAATCGGAGATCATCTCCCCGATTAAAGAACTCAAATGTTAAAAGTCAGTTCAAAAGATTGTCAACTAACTCCCAAGAGATATTGGAACTTAACAAGAATAAAACCAATATAACTAGCAAAGAAGGAACTAAAAATAATAAAAGTAGCTCTGTAAGTTCTAATAAACAAATTAATAGATCTAAATCTTCTAAACAGACATTGCAAAATGCAACTTCAATGAAAGATGCAGTACTGATTGCTATGGATAAGGCAATGGCAGTTAATGTTGGAGAAAATAGGACTAAAGCTAAATCTTCTTCTAAAAATAAAAATAAAAAAAAATTTAAATCTAGCTCAGCAACTGGCAAACGAAATAAATATCCTGACATTTTAAAAAGTTCCACGAAAAAAGGTAAAAAAACCAAAAGTAAAATTGTAAAAGCAGCAAGTAAAAAAACTTCAAATGCACAAGAACATATTTCTAATGTTAAGTTTTTTCCTAGTTCAGATTCTGAAAGTGAATCTGATTTTATTCCTTTAAGCTCTTTAACGGCAAGCAAATCTCCAGCTAATATAAATACCTTGTGTAGTTTGAAACCTGGCAATAAAATCAACAATAGTGATGGAGTTATGCAAAATATGAAAGAATTATCACCTCTCAAAGGTAACAAAAATTTAGAAGTTTCAAAAAATATATTGAGTGACATTACAGAAAATACTGATTTGTCCCAAGATCAATATAGTGAATTACCTGCTCTGCCTTTTGAAGTCTGCATTGATTTATCGAAAAGTTCTGATAATAGTATGGATGTACTTTCACCAGAAGGAAACAAACTAGTAGAAATCATAAGCCCTTTGAAGTTTAGTGATGTGAAAGACACTTTATCTTCAAAATCAGCTGATTCAAAAGATGACACCTTATTAGATCATTCAAAAGCTGGAAATAATTTATCTACTCTTGTGGCAAATGAGTTGCAATTAGAGTCTAATCAAAATAAAACATTTTCTTCATCGGAATCAAATAACAATACTTCTGCAGTTTCTTCTCCCAGCCCATTTAAAGAGCAAAACACGAGGAAAAGTCCAAAATCCAAAGTAAATGCCACTTTAAATTCAAAATTTGAGGATGATAATTCCTGTAAAACGAAATGTCTCAGTAAAGAATTGATCACTGTAAAGGAAAAGAATAATTTAAAGCTACCAAACTTGTCTGTAACTTTAAACAAAGAACAATCAGTGGAAAATATTGAAAATCCTCCGGAGCATTTGTCTAACTTGAACCAATGTGTCCTGTTTGCATGTGAAAATGAGAACATAAAAGAAGGTGAGCATGGATTAGTTCAAAGTTTTGAAGCTGTGGTTGAAAATTCCCAAATTCCTACTCGGTCTGAAAATTATAATGAAAAGCAATCATCCAACATGGAAAAGTCTAAAAAAAATTACTCTAAAAAAATTGCTAAAAAGCCTCATAGGAGTTTGGCCAATTCAGATCAACTTATTCTGGCATCATCTGAACATGAGTCATTGGATGAAAATGAGGAAACGTTTCAAACACCTAGTAATGTGGTTGAAAATATTCAAACTCCAGTTTTGGCAGAAAAGTCAAAAGAAAAGCAATCGCCTAATTTGAAGAGATCAAGAAAAAATTCAACTAAGAAAGTAATTAAAGAGTCACTGGAGAGTTTAGTAAATTCAGATCAAAGTGTTCTGGTACAACCTGATAATGAGATATTGGATAAAAACGAAGAAATAATGCTTAAAACTAGTGGAAATACTGAAATCCCAGCCTTGACTGAAAATTTAAGTGAAAGACAGCCATCGAGTTCGAAAATATCAAGAAAAAATTCTGTCAAGAAAACTAAAAAAACATTTGAGAATTTAGTAAGTTTGGATCAGGATGCTTTGGCAATGTCTGAAAACAAATTATTGGATAAAAGTGAAAAAATATTTCAAACTAGCGAGAATACGGTTGAAAATACTCAAATATCAACTTCAGCTGAAACCTTAACTGAAAAACACCCATGTAATCTCAAGAGATCAAGAAAAAACTCTGCCAAAAAAACAAAGTTATTTGATGCAGGAAATGAGCAATTAAATGAAGATGATGAAGTAATGTTTCATACTAGTGAAAGTGTGACTGACAATACTTCTAATTATCTAAATGAGCGAATAAACAATTCTTCTGTTGAAGCACTAAAAGAAAATTCTTATTCTCTTACACCATCAAGCAATGTATTGCATAAGACTGATAATAACACAAATTCTAAAAAACAGTTGGTGTCTTCAAGTGGTAACAAAACAACAGATGACCAAACAAAGTCGGATTCTTTGCCAACTGACAATTCTTTGAATGAATCGCCTTTGAAACCAATAATTTCAAAAGTTAGTGATTTAGAGCATAAAAAAATAATTGAAGCTAAAGCTAATAGACTTGAGGGTATTGCTGATAAACTGAAATCAAATGCATCTTCCCCTTGTAAAATTGGTGATAGTACAAATATAAATGCAGTAGTTGATGGCAGTGGCTCTATTTCCCAATCTTCTGTAAGTGCCACAAAGAAACCTAATCAAGATAATGCTGAGCTGAGTAATTCTAGACAAGATAAATTTTTACGCCCGCCAAAGAAAAGAATTCGACCTGTTCCAATACCTTCTCCTAGAGATTCTAGTAGTATTTCTAGTTTCTCTCCCTTTCATGTGGGTGAAAATGCATTTTGTTTAGAAACTACTTGCGACTCTAATTCTATACCTGTTATTTCTGCTCCAAATTCAAATAATCATGAAAGAAGTAAAAGTTCTAATTTTGAAACACAGCATAAGGAAGTTAGTCAAATAAATAATTTGCCTGTTAATAAAGAAATTCCGAGGACTTTCAAAGTTGGAAACAGAGAGACTGGAAAACCGAAAGCTATGGCAGAATTTTACAAGAATGCATTGCCAGAGCGAAATAGTGACCTACCAATAAGTCCTGATACAGTGTCGAGCTCATCCTGTACTTTAGAGACTTATCTTGTTCGAAGAAATCTTTCAAATAAGTTCATAGTATTGGAGAATGTTATTGATGATTCTACATCATTCAGCCTTTTTCCTACAAGCAAAGAATTTGAGGAGACGAATAAATCGAACGAGCCATTAGATATGAGCGTAAACTGTGATAGTTCTACTTCATCAAAAATTAACTCGCCTCTTAAAAATGTTTCTCGAGAAAAAAGGAAAATAAGCCAACTAAGTCCTGTTTCATCTAATTCCATTGTCACTAGTGATGTAATGGATAAGACAAATTGCATTTCAAGTGAAATTGAACTCGTTGGTTCAGGAAATTCACCTTTAAAAAAGAAAATGAAACTGTCAGATGATGAGATTAAAGAAACAGGTGATTCTGCTATGTTGCCATCTGCCCTAAGAAATAGTCATTCTCCTGTGCATAGAGATTTAGATAATCATTCTCACCCTTCAGATGTTAATGTGACCTTTGAAAAAACATTGCAGGACCATGAGTCATTAATGAGCTTTCAGAATAGCAATGCAGCTAAATCATCTCTTCCCTCTGATGATAAAAATATAAACAATTATAAGGGCAAAGAGCTGGGTCTTTTGTCAACAGTAACTGTAACAAAACTAATTTCTTCAAATGAGTCTCCTGTGCGTAGTTTCTCGCCATCTCGAAATGCTGTTAAGAAATCAGCACTTAGTCAAAGAACTGAACAGAATCCAAAAATACCTTCTGGAGTTAAGATACCATCTAAATGGGATACTTCAAAAATATCCAATTATTCCAAATCCATTGAAAATTATAAAGAAATCTCTAAAGTTTCTAAAGAGAAAAATGTTGAAAACAAAAAAGCATGGACTCTTAGAATTGCCAGTTCTAAATCACCGAAAAAAGTTCAAAGCGATCTACGAAGGAGAAAACTTTCACACGATAAGAGAAATAAAAAGACAGATAATAGTAAAGACTCAAAAAGGGAGATAAAGCGTGAATCTCCCAGAAAATCTAAGAAACATCATTCTCAGGATATTCGTTCTTCTAGTCATATCAGGAAAACACCTACTCCTCATAAATCCATTAATTCATATAAACATCGTGACCGAAATAGATATAGAGCTTCTGAAAAACGAGATCATTCTGACAGAAAAAGAAGTGGAAGTCATTCTAAAAGTGATAATAGGAAATCACCAGTTAAAAATTTGCACAAAGATGCCATTTTGTATTCTAAATCTGCCTCTAGTTCAAGGTCAAAAGATAAATTAGACAGATATAAATATGAAGTAATACCACTATCTAAAACATTGAGTGATGCAAATAAGGTTCTTTCTCATTCTTCAATATCCTTCGGTGCTTCAATATCCCACCAACGATTACCAAAAGCTATTTCTCCTGTTAAAGCTTTGAAATCTAGTGTACCTATATCTCCAGTTTCAGTTGAAACTAAAAAAACTATTTTGAATAACGAAGTGTCTTCTTTAGAAGAAGGTGAAATTTCTGAAGATCTAATATCAGATTCATTTGTACAAAACAATTCAGGACCAATGAAAATTGTGAATTCATCTCCTGCTAAAATGGTTACGAAACAAGTAAAAAACCCTCATGTAATAACTAAGCCAATAAGTGTTGTAAACTCTGAAGAGGTGATTGATGAACGAACACCTGAAGATGAACTTGAGTTGCAACAAGCTATTGCTTCTTTGACGAGTGGTGAAAATAAGTTTAATTCTAGTGAGGACGTGAAGATTGGGGAAAATGAAATTCCAAATGATTCTTTCAGTGAAAGAAATATTTCTTCTTCAAAATCTCCTTGCTTGGAAGAACCTGTGATGAAAAGCAATCTTCAAGTGAATAAAAAACATTCTCCAACTGTTAGTGAAAGTAAAATAACAAAAGGTGATGAAAGAACAGCTTTTTCACACCCCAAAAATGCAAGTTTTGTTAATATGAATCATGATATAAGGGCTTCCAAACAAAAATCTGAAGCAGGACTTGATAATACTACTTTCAATGAAAAGCAAAACAATTGCCTGAGTGTGAATAGTTCCTCAGAAACTGGAACCATAGAATTGAGCTCTTCGAAAAGCAACTCTTCATCTGCAAAAACAACTAGTGATGCTCCAACAGAAGTATTAAATATATCTTCTACATCATTAGGTGGACCATCAAACTCTAAGAAAAAGAAAGTCAGCAAAAGGCCTAAAGAGGTAAATAATGTTTCATTTCTTATTGAATAATTACAACTAAATGAAGAGTTTATTGCAGGGTGTAAATGATTTTAATCAAATGATTAAAATCATTGATTAAAATCAAATGATTTTTTTAAAAAAATCACTGATTTTAATCAAAAAAAAACAATTTTGTGTATAGTCTTGAACATTTTTTGTATATTTTTCTAAGTTTCAAACATAAACAAGTAAGTAGACTGTTCTATATATTTCTCATAGTTTATCAAATGTTGTCAACATCTGGAAAATTTAAAGGAAACTCTGAAAGATTCAGAATGAATAATTGCTGCAAAATTTTTTTTACTAAACGATATGAACAAGCGTTAACACCAGCTCATTTCCTAGCTTACCTCTTGGATCCTAATTCCTAAGTACCTATCCTAAGTACAATGTTTAACACTAAATGAAAAAGATCAAGCTGTAAACTTTGTTAAAGAAAAGTATGGAGAAACCTCCTTATTAAGTATTTTGCTAAAATTCATTGTACGCTCTCCTCCGTTTAATGGAACTTTGTTTGATAAAGAATCTCTAGAATCTTTAAACATCTTGGAATGGTGGAAATCAATTGCGCTTCTAAAGAACTGTGTAGGTCAAAAAGAGTTTGATGCAATACAGTTGTTATGTACTGCAAAAGGAACAACTGCAGGGATAGAGAGGATGTTTTCCACTTTTGGACTTGTACATACTAAACTACGGAATCAATTGGGTGTAGAAAAGGCAGCTAAATTAGTCCTTATGTTTAAATCTTTAAATAAAACTAATTAAATGATTGTTTAAATAATTTGATATTGTAGATGTAGAATTAATAATTATCACATATTGTTTGATAAACAATTTCTTTCTTGATTTGTAGTTTGAAATCACTTTGTTATTGTTTATTTCTTATTTCACCTTTTGCTTTTAAATTATTAAGAAATATTTTGTTGATAATGGTTAGTAATGTTTATTTCCAATGTATACCATAAGTAACAATAGTAATACAATACAACTTTAAATCTATGGTACACAAAATTGATTATATTCCATAGAATTGAAATTATAAAAAAATCATGATTAAAATCAAAAAAATCCGATTAAAATAAAAAAAATCCGATTTTTTTGATTTTTAAAAAAAAATCATGATTTTTATACACCCTGGTTTATTGTGAAATTATGACAAACCACGAGAGAAAGAGAAATAGTGTTTCAAAAATTTAATAGGGAAAAAAAAATCTTTTGTGCTTTTCACTTTTTAAATATTTATTTTTATTTTCTGCACTTTTTTTATTTTACAAAATACTTACTGTATTTAAAAATTATTTGTTTAAATTGGTGTTTTCTAACTGTCTGTATTTGTTTCAAAGCATTTTAGGTGAATAAAGTAAAAGAATTATTTAAGCATGTGATATATGTAGATGTGTTAAATGTGCTTTTATTTTCATAAATGTAGAGTAGTTTCCTTTTAAATTTATATAAAATTTAAGATTCAAAGATACATTTGCAAAATTAAGATAAAATGTGGTTTTGAAGATCGTTTTAGAGTTAAGAATTAATATCATACCTGTTTGTGAAAATCCCCATATTTATAAAAACTTTTAACAGCTATATACATAAAAAAAAAAAATTGCAATAAACTTTAATTTTTTTTGCATTTCTGAAAATTTCAAAAACAAGTTTTTATGTTGTCATTTAAGTACTAGAATTTATTACACATCTGTGATGTTATTTTACTGATTGAAACCTAATAAAATTTATAATTATGAAAATCAAAAATCAATTAAAAAATTTAAACGATCTCTTTAGAAAATGTTAGGTAATTTTTAAATCAAAAATTTTGAATATTTGGAAATCAAAGATTTTTTTTTCTGAAAAAAATCAAGTTGACTTAAATAGAGCTGATTTAAATCTATAAACCCTGCCTGAAAGTTCATTAAAAAATAAAAATGAGGTTGTAAAAGAGAATCAGTAGATTGATTCATGATAAAATAATTCTATTTATAAAATTAATAGGAAATATAATAAAGTAAAAGCTCAATCAGTTTTAATGTTTAGATGCATTAAATTTAAAAATTATAAATGCATGTTTTCTTATATTCGTGCACAGTGTGATGCTTTTAATATATCTATTTGCATTTATTTCTGTTATATGTCACTAATTTACTTTTTCTTTATTTTTCAGAAAAAACCTGTTGATGCTGCTGTAAGTCAAAGTTTTGATTGATTTTAGATTTTAATATAGAAAAATTATAATAGAAAAAGTTTATGATAGAACTTTATGCATAAAAAGTGTTGTATATATTTTCTACTTTCAAAAACTGCCAAAGGATTAAAAATATACAAAAAAAAAAAGTTGATTGAAGGATGTAGAAAAAACTTTTCTTTATTTATTTTTACTTTATTTATTTATTTTTATTTATTTATTTATTATACTTTTTTTTATTTATTTGCAATTTTTCCCCAGGAATCTAAGGCAATATTTAATATTTCATATTACCATAATATATGTAACTTAATTTTACAGTAGTAAAATTCAAAGGAAAGCAGAAGGGTTATGTGAACTGAATAGTTATTATTATTTTTCACAACATGTATCCATCTTTTGGATTTTTATTCACTTTAAAAAATTTACTTAGTATATTTCCAAGAAATTATAATTTAAAAAAAAAAATGTCCATAAAGACTTCAAGTTGCATGTAAGGTAGAACAAGATTGCTTTCATACACATCAAACTAGTTTTCTCCTTATGTTTTGCAATTAAGAAATACTGCTCAATAGATCCGTGCAGAAAGAAAAAAATTTTTTTTTCATAAGTCCCTAGTGTTTTGAAAGTTTCCATATTTTTCTCCCCATGTTTTAATGTCGCTGGTAACCTTTTGGTTGTTGCCAAAGAATTTTTTCTAGTTATGGCAAAATGTATACATTAACATTTATGTTTTGTCTAATAAATGTGATTTAAAAAGATTCTTCCTCAGCATACATGTAAATAACTGTTAGTTATATGTTCATGTGTTAAGAGCAACCTTGTTTACTAAAATTATCTTACTAAATATCAGCTCCCCAAATTTCATCCCTGCCAAAACATCTGGTCCCTTGAAAAGATGATAGTGAAGTATCTGAAGAGTGGCTTATAGGTTATTTATTGCAAGATTTATACCCGAAAAAGGATCTCAATTGCAGACGAATGGTGATATGCTTTGCTACTTTGGTTTTCCCAATTATGGACCCGTGCATAAAGATGAAAAGGATGATGTTATAAAATTCGTTATCCTGAAGACTGCACAATTTTGGGAGCATTCTGGTTTTCCTGTGACACCAATAAGATTCCAAAGCGTTACTCAAGAAAATGAAATATGAAACTCTTTGGAAGCATAAAACAAAGAAAACCTTTGCAGCTGAGAGTGATATCTATCTCAAATTTCTTCTGCTTTTTGACACTCATAGCACATGACAATGCTATTTTTTTTATAGAACATGACAGATATAGAACTAGAAAAATAGATCAGGAAGTTGTACGATTCTTAGAAGATCAATAGCCATGTCGAAAAATAGAGTTTGGTGTTGATGAGACCAACTTTGCAAAGGTTATGAGGAAATTCGCTCATAATAAAAAGAAATTTAACATTTTGACTGTCAAACAATACATATCTTATTTTTTTATGTTTAAAGACATTTTATTAAGACACTGCATGTCAGCAAGATTAGTAGACCCCTTCGCATATTTTACCTCAACAGTAAAAAATGTCGGGAAACATAGATTTCGAATTTTTGACTCAAAATTTCTACTTCTTCAGCCTGATAACTTTTCTACAAAGCCAAAAAATTTCTCTTAATGTTATACAATAGAAAAATGAGAAATTTCTTTTATTATTAACTTACACCCCTCTCATTTTTATATTCTAGAACAGTGTTTCCCCATCTTATGACTTTAGTGTACCCTTTCTAAATTTTTCGTAACGCTGTGTACCACTAATAGAAAAAAATTAATGTATTTTTTACTATAAAAAAACTACACTTAAGTTAAAAACCACAACTAGCTGTTGATACCACTAATTATTAACTGTTAACTCTGCAAAAAAATAGCCAATAAAAAAATATGTACTCATAAATTTTCAGCTAGCTTTATTTTTAAATAAAATTTTTTGAAATTTGCGTTTGTTGCAAGATATTTCGCATAAGAACGTGTACCCGAGCTAAACTGTTCCCGTACCCCTGGGGGAATGCTTACCACACTTTGGGAAACACTGATCTCGAAAATACAAAGGTAGGAATGAAAAACAATTGATGTCAATATTTATAATCTCAAAATTAGTACTAGTATAAAAATCTGGTTTATTTTAAAGGGAAGAAAATGAGTAATGTTTTTTTTTTTTTTTTTCCTGAGGTCTTAGAGTTTTAATGTCCTTGCAAATTAAGTTTGTAAGGTATTTTAAGAGAACACTAAAAGTTACTAAAAAAAAATTTTTTTTATCTCTGTAGTATCTTTTTAATTAATATTTTATTCATGAATTTGTTTATGTTAAGTATCTAAATGAAATAACCTTATTTATATTCTTTTTTTATTTATTTTTCAGGACCTTATGGAGAAAATTAAATCTTTTGGTGTGGAGAAACTTCTTGAATTGCTTAATAAGGAAGCATTGAAGGAATAAGGTTTTTATAAGAATTAACTGAATTAACAGTTAATGTAAAATGAACATAAAATTATGCCAAATTAACCATTAAATATTTATTTTATTTGACACATAATTCAAAAAAAATATATATATACCTTACTTATTGGCTAATGTTGATTAGTTAATATTTAATTTCAATTAATTTTTTCATTTTTTGAATAATTTTAAAAGACTATGCATCGTATGTATTGCAAGATGTGAAAAGATTTGGGAAAATTTAGAAAAGTTTTATAATATGTAGTTTTGGCTGTTATGTCTGCAAATGTTTTATGTTTTTGAAATTGTATTTTATATATTTTGACATGGAAGAAAACATAATTGTCCTAGATTTTGCAAATGTGTCTGTTGAAAAAAGTTTTGTTAGGTTTATGAGAATAATTGTGTCTAAGAATAAAAGCATATAATTTGACACGATTGTCTTGCAACGTTTCGATTGTGTTTCGATGTGGTTTTTTTATTTGTTTGATAGTGTGATGTATTTTATTGTTTTTAATTAAACATCTTCCCCAAATTTTTAACCGCATGTGTAATTTTGAAATTCTTAAGCAAAGTACTAGAATCAATTTTTTTTTAAAAAAAAAAACCTAATACACATAAAAAAATTTAAATATATTTAAAAATATCTGTGACTTTTGTAGTTAAAATTTTAAATTTTCCTCATAAACTTAATTTACACACTTAAAAAAAAATGAGGTAGATGATATCTATTCTATTAAATTGATGCATACATTTAAATATCACTTGTAAATATTGTATATTTGTAAAAATATTGTATAAAGCCTTTTGTATGTTTGTACTGTACTATCATCAGTATTTATAGACTTCAAATATAGTCATATTGAATTCTTTTAACAAATATTATTTGCCAGTGCACATATAATGTTGCATTTGTATTATACTAATTTATTATTTCTTTTTAAAAAAAATAAAATTTTAAAAAATATTTTTCACATTAAATGGCTTCATAAATTTAAAAGTACCTGAAGTTTTAATTTTGTTTCTATGCAAAATTTGGTTTTAAAAACATGTGAGTCTTGAATTTTTTAATGTATAGTTTATTTGTTGATGAAAATAAATTCAACTAAGGTATTAGAAAATTAATACCATACTCTTTAATACAATGAATTGCAAATAATAATAACCTAAGAAATATGTTATCTTTAGTTAGACTTTTAAAGGTTCTGATAATTGATTTGGATGCTTTATTTTAATTTTTCTTTGTTTTCATCATCAAAGCTCTGTGAGAAACATTTGTTTACCTGTGAAAAAGATGTTTTTGAAATATCTATTTTAAATAAAGAAATATTTTCCAAATGTATTATTTTCTTGTTTATTATGAGTTACTTTATTTTAAAAACTAAAATATTTACTTTTCAGCAGGTTGTATCAAATTAAAGCACATTTTTTCCCAAATTCCTAGATATATTGTTTATTAAATTTATGCAAAAAAAATTCTGATTTTAGTGTTGAAAATAATTATTTTATTCAATGATTAGACTGATATCTCCTTTCAAGAAATACAGTATAATCCTTCAAGTTCTTATCATTAAGACCTAGAAATATCAGAATAATAACAATAAATTAACAGTATATTTTTAATTAACAGTATATTTTTACAGCATTTTCCACAACTATATTAAAGTTTTATTTTTGAATACGATATTTCAGAATGTTTCAAAGGAAACTAGTTTTTTTTTAATAGTCTCTTAGAATTTTTTAATTTTTATTATAAAAATTCTAAGAGATTTTTATTTAAAATCTCTTAGAATTTTTTAATTTTTATTTAATTTTTATTTTTAATTTTTATATATATTTTAAAAATATATATATTATATATATATATTTTTATTTAATTTTTTAATATTTTTTATAGAATTTTTTAATTTTTATATTTTTATAGGTAATATAATTATAAACCGTTACTATAATACTTTCAAAATTTTTGAAGCCTTTTTGGTTTAAAAAAAAATAAGAAAGAGAAAAAAGGTTCCCATGAGTACAACAAAATGTTCCTCTCTATTGTGCAGTTATTTAGTGTTAACTTGTATCTGGAAAAAAACGAGGCCTTTTTTGACAGTTTGAGGGGAAAATATGACTTTTTTTTCTATATTGCCCTAAAAATTAGGTTCATTATAAAATTTTATTATTGTTATATACCATCATCATCCATTATACTTTTAGGTATTTATTACAGAAAGAGGAAAGAAACAAAGTGATATTTTGATAATGACATTTCAATTGATGATTCCATTCTAAATATATGTGATATAAAGATACTTAGAATGTGTTTTAATACATTTCTAATTTTTTAGCAACTTTTTCAATGATTTCTAACTTTGCAAAAAACACGTGAAATAATTGATTTTTTATTATAATTTACCCAATCAAAAATGTTCCTCTAGATTCTACCTTTTCTTTTCTACGTAAGTTGCCAATGAATTTTTTATTTTTTCATGTATCTTGAAATTGGGGGTACCAATTTTATTTTAAGTGTAAGTTAGTAAGCCGTGATTTTCCCCCCATTTAAATAGTTAAAATGATTTTAAAAAATTTCTCTCTTAAATTTAAGAATGAAAAAAAAAAAGACTGTTCATACGTAGTTTTTTGTTTATTTTTTTTAATGTCTTGTGCGAACTTACAGGTTCAAGGCCTCTAGAAACGCACGTGAGTAGGATATTGCAATTGAATCGATGGACCGAGAAGGCGTATGAGCGAACAGCGTGTATATGTAAAGCACTGCTGCTAATGCAAGTTGCAAGCCAAGGGGGTCGTGGAGGTTAAGACTCCACAATTGTCAGACCTACGCCATGAAAACGACAATGTGGTCAACACAGCGCACCAGCAGCTCTTATTGTATAGACAAGCTGTGGTACCCATCGATTTGAAGTTGTAGGACAGTATGCAAACCGCTACCTTATCCTTGAAGTTATCCCTCACAAAGATAACTCTTTGCGTATGAAATTTTTTTAAAATCTAATTTCCCTTTACAATAGGTTAAATCAGTGGGCCCCCATAAGGTGCCAACGGACGGATCCCTAGTGTTCCATAAAAAAGTCACTTAGGTTCTGATAGGCAGATCACCGAAGTCAAGCATCACTGGCTGCGGTCAGTGTGCGGGAGGGTGACCACTTTGATCAGTCTGCGTAGGGACCGAGGGTGTACGGTATTGGTCCTCGTTAAACTGTGCTACCGTAAAGTGCTCGACTTCGCGCGCAGGTCGGCGGGCTACCGAAGCGGGAGTGCCATCACCTCCGCAGAGGATCAAAATTGTGATGGTATGTCCCAGACCGTCACCAATAGCCCATTGTGCAGCTCTTGTGCGACGTAAATTGACAACAACAAGGTTCTGATAGCTAGAATTTTTTTTTCAATTATTATATTTGAAGCCTGTAATTATAATTAAATGTTATCAATAGTTTTATATTTAATTAACATTTCGATTATTTTTGAAAAGTTATTTGAGTAAAATGTCGTAAAGTAATAGCAAAACTTAAATAGTTATATGTTCTAATAGCAACGCATAGGAAATGTAAATGTTTTTATTAATACGAAAAGGATATGTATTAATAAAAATTGCATTAGTATTCCCCATCGAACTTATGAATTCAAAATTTTCTTTTCGCTTAACTTTTTCTTTCAAGTTTTCCTGATTTTTAAAGTTTTTTAATAGTTCTTTTTTGTTTTCATTTCATCGAAAATCGTAATGCAGCTTTTTTTGTGTACCAAACACTATTTCTGAACTAGACAAGATGCCGCACCAGCCTTCTAAATTCACTTATTTGACATAAAATCTTATTTTCCTTCTTAACATTAAATTATTTTCAAAATTTTAGCTTTTCTTTGGTTAACCCCTCAACTTAAAGTCCGAGATAATATTAAGTTAAAGGGTTGATATGTTCTCAATTTCTAATGTATTTCAATTATGAAGTCGGGGTTCCGCTTAAACTTTGGTTCCATAATCGAGAAGAATTGATAACCGCTATAGGTTATATTATTGTTAACACGATTTTCAAAATGCAATTTTAAGATTGCCTATAGCACTTATATTTGTCAAACATATGGTTGTCTAATCTACTCACTGAAAGCAAATGAGTGCCAAAACTTTTTTTCTGTGAGTTGGTTTTCTCGCTTATTATTTACTTATTTTTTGCTGTAAGAATTATTTTCTCTTTACGGAAATAAATATTGGAATGGAAAAAAAAAAGAAATATTTTGTACAACTGAACGGGCATTTCTTTCCAAAGTTTTTTTCCCCTTCTTTTTTTTAAAAAAAGCAGTTATGTGGCTTAGTTTGGTGAAACTAAATGGTAAAATATCGCTTGTTACGTTATATGTCTCGCATTTTCACACAAAACTTTAAACTGATTATTTTGATTTAGACTACGTTGCAGCTATTCTACAAAGTACATAACATGATTTCTTAGAATGACTTTTAGAAAACAAGGAGGTTACATAAATATAATCTTAGTGGTGCGAATTTGTGAAACTGATTTTAAAATCCTTTTTCCAATTTCATATTTTCACCAAACCTAAAAATGAGATTTCATCTGTTTTATTTTTTAAACAAAGCTGCAGTTCTAGAATAAAGAATGGAGCACTATTTTAAAAAAGTATCAATATAAAATAATGTCCAAAAAATTTTGTTTTTAGTTTCCAATGAGCCAAGTTAATTTCCTAAGTATCCTCCGTAATATTTTAATTCAGTAATATTTTTACCCTAAATATGGCATTTCAACTACCATTTTCAGACATTATTGGTACTTAACTCTTAAACCTAGGGGATGCAATCTTGCAGAGTTTATGGCTCTGTGGGATTGTAAATTAATAATCCCGCTAGATTGACAAGTTTCAATTAAGTATTCTATTCAAATTTAGACTTAAATTAATAAGTTGTAACTAACAGCTGAGGGAAGTATAAAAAAAACTAAGAGTTTAGAAACAATATGATGTTTAATCACTTGTAAAATCAAAACCAAAAGAATTATAAAAATTATGATTTTAAAAACTTAGTTACTGTTACATACTCACGTTTACATTTCTCTCATTGGTTGTGAAGAAGAGTAAAAAGTTTTTTAAATCAAGGGAATGTTTAAATAATTATTTTCATATTGATGGAACAAGACCATTTGCTATCTGAACTTTTGCGTATCTGTATGAAACATTTGTATGTAGTTGTAGACAAAATTCTCCTGTAAATATTAAATACTCTCTTTTAAATACAGTCGAATCTTGATTCATCGTTTTTCCGTATGTATCGTATTGTTCTAACTGTCACGTCACAAATGCTATTCTTATAATGTTAATAAAACCCGTTTAGATCGTTTTTGAAACTAACAGATTCCCGCTTTTATCGTTCAGAAATTCTACCGACATTTTAAAAAAAAATATTGAAGTTACATTTGTTTTACAAAGAAAAACTATTCAATTCCTGATGTTAATAATGGAAAAATTACGAATTTGTTATAGTTTAGGTAAAGCACCTCAAACAACAGGTTTGATGTTTATGCATCCGTCGATAAAAATGTGGAAACGTGTGGTGTAGTTTGTTCAAAAAATGGTTGCAAGAGCTGAAGAAGTGCAAAGTGATACCGATGAAAATCGAACTTAATATAACCAATTAGAGCAAACCTTTGTGAAAGGCCTCGAAACATTTAAAGCAATTGGGAACTTGGTGTATTCACACCATTTTTCAGCAATCTGTAACAAGTGTCGAAAATTTACAGTTTGCTCTGAGAAGAAAGTGAATTTTCCAACATTTCCATATATTTTAAATAAATATATAGATTCATAAATAATAGTAGGGAGTGTAATAACAGGGAGTTGTTTTCAACTAAATTTTTATACTTATAACAAATTTACTAATTTTCATACATTTTCTAGTCATTATTTGTTATTTTTAAGTTAATCCGCATTCGTCGTTTTCCCGTATCTATCGTTCTCAATAAATAGTCCCTTGAGAAACGAACGATCGAGGTTCGGAAATAGGAGTACAATGAGCCGTTTCTTAGTCGGGATCAAGAAGGGCAAATAAAGGCTCTTTCTGACTGCACTGCCTGTATATAAATATCCATTCAAGCTTCGAGTACCCGTGGTACTTTCTAATAGGCTCACTTCGTTGTTGGTCATATAGTCAATTTAGTTTTTATCATTGTATTTCTCTGTACAGAACTTTGAGGGAACCATGCAGTTTCGTATGGCTAACTCTAGTTCATCTTTTAATATCTCTGGTCCACGATATCCAAACTCTTCCCTTTCAGTGTGCTTATTTATCTCATCGTTTAATAACTTGACGGAGCTGTGGTGGCTCAGGGGATAGAG